GTCTACCGTATCGTTCTGTTAGAAGGGCGCTCTGTCTGGATATAAACCTGAAACAGACTTTGGATCTGGTTTGGGTGCTCCGTTAATCATCGCAATAGGCAACAAGTACATTCCTATCGGACTCGAAGTGCCATTTCTGCTTCACTTCGGAATATTGAACACGACCACCTGCTATATATATACAATATAATATTATGATTCCAAGAGGGGAGAATATTTGTAGCTCAGGATTGTGGGCTCCTCTATGCTGTCAGAGCTTGGTTTTCTTGCAGACATTTAGTGGCCTAACTAGGTAACATCATCAGTGCTAGAAGGGAGTGGGGGTATGCTCTTATTTTTATATACCAGTGGCTTGCCCGATCAAGTTTTTGGTGGAAGTAATATTGATTAGACTGTTGTTTTCTTGACTGTTGGTCCACCAACACTGACAGAGCAAGCCACTGGTATATAGGGTGGCAGCAAACCACACTCCCTTCTAGCACTGACGATGTTACCTAGTTTGGTAATGAAACGTCTGCAAGAAAACCACCAAGGTCAGAGGGCACCAGGGACCTCAAAATATAGTGATTAAACCAGCATTGTGCACACGTGTTCTTAGATTTGCTCCCCAAATCAAGAAGGGTACATGTATTTGCTTGCCCCAGCCTGGCCATCACCTTTTCCCTGGACCAAGGCTACCCAAAATTCCTTCAGGCTGCAACAGCAACCCAGCCCTACCTTCTCCTACTTCTCCTTCAGCTTCGCAGCTTTGTTGTTGTAGGGCTGCTTCTCGCTGTCACTGAGGTTGTTCCACATTTCGCCCAACTTCTTGGCTACATCTCCGATGGAAATGCCTGGATTGGTGGACTTGATTTTGGGACGGAATTCCGAGCAGAAGAGGAAAAATCCAGACCTTGGGGAAGGGAGAAGATACAGGAGAGCTGAAAACGGGAGAGGGTCAGGAGCTTGGAAGCAAACAAGGGTGAGGTAGCTGGACCAAGGAGCTACAGTGATTTGCCTGTAATGAGGCACACAATTGTAATGCACGAGTCTCAAGCTTGCACGCCTCTTTTCTGGTTTCTGACACAGACGTCAGAAGGAGCTAATAAGGACCAGCCGGGACTTGGCCAAAGATCCAGGTCTGATCTTCACAGCCGAATCAAAAACTCCCAACACATCAGGGTTATGTTCAAGAAAGGTTGCAGTCCACACGCTTTAGCAAAGCTAAATCCAAACAGCTGTCAACATCCCAATAAAAGCGGGCAGGATAAATGATAATTTGACTGATATTAACCCAGGTAAGATACAGATATCTTAGAAATCTGAGAATTCTCCATTTTAAATCTGTGGTTTTTTTTTCAAAAAAGAAAGAAAACAGGCAGGATTTGAGGAACTATCCCTTAATAAGGCTAACCCAACTGCAGTGATTTAGAATATCATAATGCCCTTTCTATCTTCCTGTTGGAAAACTCAAAAACATCTGAGGATTGATCAGAAGAGCCCATTCATCAAAGCAGGCTGCAAATTGTCGTTATCAGCTACTCATTACAAAAATGTCAAGTTTACGATTCAGGCTTTTTAAAGTTTAGGAGGACTGGAAGAATTTAAAAAACTCCCAGCTATGACCGCTATTTACCAGCTGGCTAGCTTTCACCAGTGCAAACATCAGCTAAACGCTGCAATCTCTTTAAAGAGCAGCTTCGTCAAGTTGCGATACAGTTCAGGAACGCCCTGCTATATCCATCCCCTGCCTTATTCAACTGCTTCTGAAAATGCCAAGGATCAGAATGGAGAGGGTTGGAGTGAAGGAGGTGGTTACTTACGGCGGCCTTTTGGGTGCATTTGGGTCCTTCTTCTTCTTCCCCCCCTTTGCTGGACCATAATCTTTCATTTCTCTATCATATCGTACTTTGTCAGCCTTCGCCATCTCATCAAATTTTCCTTTCTCTTTGCTTGACATGGTCTGAAAGACAAAGCAGAATCCTAAAAAAATACCCAAAACACCCACCAACTCTAAATGAAGTCATCAAAGTAGGTAGAACCACCGTGAGAATTGGGGAGAAAAACCCTTTGATGGGGTTTTTCAGGTCTCCTTCTAGCATCAGAAGAGACACCAACCAAGCACCTTGGTAGAACGAAGGGTTGCGATTCAGATCCAATCTCCCAAAGACAATATAGTGTAAGGGGATGCGGCCTACCCACCATGCTTTAAAGCAGGGGTCTTCAAACTTGGCCCTTTTATGACTTGTGGACTTCAACTCCCAGAATTCCTCAGCCAGGAATGCAGCCGTTTTAAAGTATGGAAAATGGCTACTGCAGTTGTCTTCCACATGCTCAAAAAAGAACTTTGGGAAGATGCAATGTGAAGCTCTCCACCTAACAACACAGTCTCAAAACTGGCTAAGATATATTTAACCACCAGCAGTTGGGTTGGTCTTCAGCCGTGATCAATAAAAATCCTTTTCTATGAGTCCTAAAAAAAACTAAGCTGAAGAACCATCTCTTCAATATGGGTTATGTCAGTATTCCAAACCAGTGAGCAAGATTTTTTTCTCTTTCCAGAGAAACAAGCCAACATACAACTGAGTAGAGTTCATGCATCACACGACAAAGTCCATTTGGTTTGACTCAGGGACTGCTGTTCAGAAACCATAGCTTAGTGTAGCCAAATCAACTATAGTTGTATGTGTTGTATGAAGTTGATTTAGATTGTTACAGAATTTCTCACCTTCAACAGAGAGAGCAGTGTTGTCGCATCAGAACCCTAACTACGAATTCAGTTGTAATAAAAGAAAACCAAACAGATGTGGGTGAAATTCAGAAGTCTTGTTCAAAATAATTGGGCCATCTTTTCATGGGCACATCTAAAATGTTGATACCAAAGTGGAAGCCCCCCCCCTCACAAAAATGATTGCCACGGTGGCATAGCAAACTACGGAAATACCCACAAATCTCCTTCTGGACACGGTGCCCATATCATAATCCACTCCATCAAAAATAGGATTACAAGGAAGCAGTTTTGTTAAGGCCACAAACAGGAGAAAGTTGAAATAAGCAAGGAAAGGGCTGAGGACGCAGGGGGCGAAATTTGAAATTTATTTCAGCGGAAGTTGGACAGCGTATCAGTGTATTAGATGATGAATTACTTGGCCAGCTATCCTGAAGATCTTTGGAATAGCAGGGAGGGAAGCACCAGAATCTATTCTAGGGAGACCATACCTTCCACCTCTCTGAACATTTCTTGGAGAACTCTGCAAAGTTGACAGGAACTTCTGGATTCTTTTTCTTATGCTCTTCACGGCAGGTCTGCACAAAGAACGCATAAGCGGACATCTTTCCTTTCGGCTTTTTGGGGTCGCCTTTCGCCATTTTTAAAGGAAACACTTCAAAGCAAAGAACAATTCACAGTTTAAAATCAGTCTTGCATTCCCTTGTGCAGCCAAGATAATATGTGTCAAATTTCTTTTGCTAAGCGAGTTTTTTTCCCCCGTTTTAGGACCTTTCTTGCCACAGTTGTTAAGTGGATCCCCGCAGTTGACAAGTTAGTAACCCAGTTGTTAAGTGAATCTGTCTTCCCCGTGGACTTTGCTTGTCAGAAAGTCACAAACGGGAATCATGTGATCCTGGAATCCTACAACTGTCATAAATACCAGTCAGTTGCCAAGCCTCTGAATTTTGATCACGTGACCATGGGGACCATGCAATGGTTGTAAATGTGAAAAATAGTCACAGGTCACTTCTTTCAGTGCCGGTGTAACTTCCAACAGTCACTAAACAAACTGTTGTCAGTCCAGGACTACCTGTACACACCCTGCAGCCCTTCAATTGGTCAAGAAATGGGGAAATATTTTTTAAATATGCTTTTCTCGGGAAAATGCCCATCACGCTCAACCCTTTAGCAGTCCATCCATCCCCTTTAAAAAAATCTTAATTTCTGCCTCTTTTGCTGTTATGGCATGTCCCACCCTAACTCTCTACTGACAACTCATGAAAAAAACAAGTGCAAAGCAGCCAGAAATAAGCCAGAATATATTTCAAGAGATTAAACACATGGGTGCCCACTTGTGGACTTGTAGGCTAGGGCTGGCCGGCCCACCCACTCCGGTATAAACTTCTGGAGAACTTCAACCTTCCCATGTCAAGATAGCTGCAGGCGACCTCTCTCTTATCCTTGGAAAACAGTTCAATCCCATTTAAAGATCTCCCCCCCCCCAATTATTGCACACATCAGAGGACTGCAGTGCCGCTGTATCCAAAGAGATTGTGGGTCATTAAAAGGTTGGTGGCCATTAAGAGGCTGGTCAGCCCAGCAGTTGTTTGCGAAGTTTGGGAAGAGGATTTTTTTTTTATCTCCTTACAAGTTTCCTGTAAAGGGGAAAGGATTGGCCAGGGCAAGAAAAGAGAGCAGAGTGGTTGTTTTGTTTTTCCTGAAGGAGGGGGCAGAAGCAGCTTTCCTTTAGCTGGGGAGGCGATTAAACCCTCTTCCCTTTTCCTGCCTGAGCAGCTGGGGAGGGACGGGGGGGGGGAAATCTTTGCAATCCCGCGTTAGCAAAAAGTTGAAAATCCTTTTAGAAAAAAAAACATACTACCTCGGCACGCCTCCCCAGGAAAAGTCCTCCCCCCCCGTTTTGCAAAAGTTGCATTTAAAAATAATAATAAAAAACACACCACCCGTGCCCCAGTTCTATATATACATCTTGTTTGTCGCACCACCACAATCTGTAAAAAAACAAACAAACAAAACACACCAAACACACACATACACAAAAGTTTCAAAGCAGAAGAAACGGGATTTTTGTTCCGCTCCGTCCCTGCCTCTCCACCCCAAGGTCATTGGGAAAATAAATATATATATATATATATTTCCCCCCCCTTGCTGCGGGGGGGGGAAGTGGAGAAACTGCCGGGGCACGTGGACCCCGAGAGCCCCCCCACCCGCCCCCACCCGCTTTAAGCCGCCCACCCTAGCGGGGAACCTGCCCCAGGCTGAGCCTGTCTTTTTTTTTCGCGGGCGCGCCGTGGAAAAGGGGGCGAAAAAAAAAGCAGCCCGGCGCCCGTTTCCCCGGTCCCGATAATTCACCTTCCATTTTGTGAATCGCTTCTTGATGAAAGAAAGTGCCGCTCAAATGGGCCCCGGGGGGCTGCTGGGGGGCCATCCGGGCCCTGGGGGTCCTGGGGGGCGCGGGCGGGGGGCCGCCGCCGGGGCTCCTTGGCCCCTTCGCGCAGGCAGCCCGGCTGGCGAAGGCTGGGAGAGCGCGAGAGCGGAGCGCTTCCCCCTCGCCCATCACGGCCCCATTCGCTAAAATGGCTTCTCGAAAGGCTCCGCGAGCTGCTGGAAGGGCTTAACAAAGCCACCGGCGCTCGTCTCTGCCGATTCAGCCCCCGGGTCGGGCACCCACGGCGGGCAGCCGGCCCGGACCCGGCTCGTTTGGTAGAAAAAGCGATGCTCTTTCCAACCAGCCCGTTTGCGGGGCGGAGAAAAGCCGGGGGGGTCCCGAAAAAGCGGTCGGAAAGCGGCCTCCCCCCCCCTCACACACTCCCTGCCGTTCCCCCTGCTTAGCGCAATCGCCTGTCTAACAAAGGCAGCGCGCAGCCATTACAAGCCTCATTCCCCGCGCCGAAGGGAGGGAAAGGGCGGAAAAAAAGCCCTTCGCGGGCCCCCAGCGGCCCGCGAAGGGCATGAGCGGAGAGAGATAAAGACTGGGGGGCGGAGGAGAAAGGTTTGGGGGTTCGGGCCCCCCCCCTCCGCGGATTTTGCCCCCGCGTCGCTCTCCCTCCCCGTCTCTGCCCGTCTTTCTTCCTTTAGGTCTGCTAGGGTAACGCCAGCCATATTAAGGCGCACACAGCAAAGCCTACGGCGGCAGCCCAGGCGCGAGGAAGGGTCGACTCGGGGTCTGGCGGCGGACGGAGGGCGGCCAAAAGGACCTTTTCCGAGAGGGGAAAAGAAAAGGAGGCGGAAACGAAAGGTCGGGGTCCGATCCGAGGCGGCGGAGGGGAAAAAACGACAAAGGCGGGAAGGGGGGAAATGGGGGGGGGTTATTTCGCTCTCCCCGGGACTCGCAAGGACTTCTCCCCGGTCGGATGCTCAAGGGGAAAAGCCGTTATGAATGCAGAATACACAGCAGGGCGGGCAACTTGGCCGTTGGCCCCCCCCGGGGCCGGCGAGAGACACGCGGAGGCGAGGCGGGCAAGCGCAGGGTCAGCCCAGCCCGGAGCCGGATTCCTGCCCATGCGGGCTTCAGCCGCCGCTGCACCAGCCACGCTCCGCTAGCAGGAGCCGCGGAAAACCCATGCTCCGCGGCTCTTTCCTCGGGGGGGGAGGGATACGCGCGTGGGTGCGTGGACGGAGGGGGAAAGAGAGCACGATCTCGGGCAGCCAGACACGTTCCCACGCGCGCACACACTGCAGATTAAGGCAACCCCCCCGGAAGAATTCCTAGCCCCCCCCGAACCCCGCACACGCGTCCAGAGCCCCCCACGAGGCGGGGGAGAAAACTCCCGTGCCAGCCCGACCCGGGACGGATCGGATTTTTCGCCCCTTTAAAAATTAGGGGAAAGAGGGAGAGGGAGAGAGAGGGCGGGTGGGGGGAAAGGAAGAAAGAAAGAAAGAAAAAAAAACAGTAAGAAAGTTGATGGGAAAAGAGGCGGAGGAATAAAAGCCGGGACTGCAAAAAAAAAGGGAAGGAAAAAAAATCGATCCCGTATTTGTAGGGCAAAAATACATACATTATATTTAATTTTTTTTTTCAAAAATAAAAAAGGGGGAAAGAAAGGGGGGAAAAAGAGAGGGGTGGGAAATAAAAGGCGGCGCGGCCGGGCAGGGGCGAGGCGAGGCTCGGGGAGCTGCCGCCCCCGGGAAAAAGTTGCCGAGCGGGGCTCCGGGCACCTACCTGTATTGTTCGCGTGAACGTCGGCAGCCGCGAAAGGAAGAAAGCGAGGCGCACACACGACGCGCTAAGACTCAGCGCTCCTCGCTGCTGCTGCTGCTGCTGCTGCCGCTGTTGGTCAGCCTCGCGTTGGCTGCCTACGAGAGCGGCCTGATTGGCTGCGGGGCTCTGCCGTTTAAAACAACCTCCTCGCCTGCCCATTGGCCCGGCCGCTGCTGAATATTAAGCAGCGGCGCGCACCCATTGGCTGCGAGCGGGCAAGTCATTCATTCAAAAAGAACAGCCGCTCGGCCCCAGGTAGGCACACACACCGGCGCAGCGACGCCGGGGAGAGCGAGGGAGGGAGGGAGGGAGGGAGGGGGAGAGAGGACGAGATGGAAGGGAAGAGATGGAGAGAGAGGAGAGGGAGAGAAGATGAGATGGAGGGAGAGAGACCGAGGGGGAGAGAGAGAGTGTGTGAGAGGGAGGGAGAGAGGGGGGAGACAGATAGTATGGATGTGGGAGAGAGGGAGGGAAAAAGAGGGGGCAGAGAGGACGAGATGGAAGGGAAGAGATGGAGAGAGAGAGAGAGAGAGAAGGAGAGAGAGGGAGAGAAGATGAGATGGAGGGAGAGAGAGAGAGAGTGGGGGAGAGAGAGAAGGAGAGGGAGAGAGAAGGCGAGAGACCGAGGGGGAGAGAGAGAGTGTGTGAGAGGGAGGGAGAGAGGGGGGAGACAGATAGTATGGATGTGGGAGAGAGGGAGGGAAAAAGAGGGGGAGAGGGGGCAGAGAGGATGAGATGGAGGGGAAGAGATAGGGAGAGAGATAGAGTGGGAGAGTGGGGGGGAGGAAGGGAGGGGAGAGAGGGTGAGATGGAAGGGAAGAGAGGGAGGGGGAGAGAGAGAGAGGGAGGGAGAGGATGCTGGAGCCACCCGCGTTGGGGAGTTCGCAAAAGTTGTGTGAGTGCCGAGATTCTGAATCTGAACCCGGATCTGGAACAGAGATGACTTAGAGAGAGAGGAAACCCCAGTTAGTCAGGATTCACTCCTATTCAAAGGAGCTTGTCCAGTCTGCTGGAACTGTTGGGGTGAGTGACCCCAAAAGGGGTTTTTAAGAAGAGCATTTATACCTAAATCTTTGAAACCAGACTTTCTCGACCTTGGGAAGTATATATGGACTTCAACTCCTAAACACTAAGGCTTTTTAATCCCCAATTGTGTTATTTCTTGACCTTCTGAGCAAGATGCACTAAGTGCCCTGTTTGATCTCCAGGGCATGTGGCCTTGATAGTCAAGTCTCACTGAATTCAGCAGAGCTTACTTCTAAATAAAGATTCAGAATATCGCAGCCGTGAATGTATTTGCATGATTTGAAGGGCTTAATGTGACATTCACAGTCTTTTTTCTTTCTCTTCTCAGAACCCGCTGAGGCTGGCTGAGATGGGGAGTAACGGGACTAAATTTTAAAGACAGCGCCACCAATAAAAAAAGATCTCTGCGCTGAGCTTTCGAACAGATTCTTATTTGAAGGGATTTTATTTTGGCCCCAGAAAACTGGACAGGAATTAGACTGACTTCAAGGAGATCCTGATTTTTCTGCTTAAATCATGACTTCTTTCTAATACCCGCATCCATAAGAGTTTCACATCTCCCTCCCCTGCAAGGAACCAGTTCTCTGAATCTTACTAATTAATATCCCCATTCCGTCCCAGTCACTTCCCAAACAAGTGGAAACACAGCTTTGACGTTAGAACAGCACTGAAAAAAGGAACTTGTGACCGATCCTCGCTCTTGCAACCAGCGCAGAATCCTGATGGTCACATGATCAAAATTCAGACGCTTGACAACCAGCCTGGATTTATGACAGTTGCAGAGTCACGTGATCACCACTTGCGACCTTCCCAGGTGGCTGCCGAAGACCAAAATCAACGGGAGAGGCTGCATTCACTTAACACTCATATGATTTGCTTAACAAACATAACAAAACTCATAAAATCAGGCCTGACTCACTGAAGAACTGCCTGGTTTAGCAATGGAAATTCTGATCGTGGTTGTAAGTCTGTACTTAAGAGTGCTTAAGGAGTTATCAGTAGAGTAGGTACAAGGTTTCTAGGAATAAAAAAGCTGGGATGTGAAGCAACATCAAGAGACAACTCAAAGGGGCCTGAAAGTCATCACAAGATAGGGAGGGAGGGTCTTCCAAGTAAATTTAAATGTACACAAATGTACACTCGTAGACCAAACAATAAAAACATTGGTGTGTGAGAAGAAACTATCAAGAAACAAAGGGGCATGGAGTCATCACCAGATTAGGAAGGAAGGAAGGATAGGAAGGAAGGAAGGAAGGAAGGAAAAAGGGAAAGAAGGAAGGGTCTTCCAAGTAAATTTAAATGTATTAAAATGTACACTCATAGACTAAAGAATATTGGAGCTAGGAATGCCGTAGCTAAATCAGGAGAAAGGGACATGGCTACATTAAAAACAAGGCCTCTTCTGTGCCTTTCTCCAGTTTTGATTTTCCATGTCAAACTAATGGTTTGATCTGTGTGGATCAAACATAGCTGAATGTAAGGCATCTCTAATATATGCAGAATGACACAGTAGACTTTTTTTTTTTAGGGAGACCCCCCCACTTTTAATGTATCTCTGATTGTTACCTCTATTTTTAGTCTGTCAGGGGAGACGGGGAAATTACAGCAGTGTAGCTGTATTTGCTTTGCTGCTAATGATTATCTAGCAGTAAAGGCCCCGGTTTCCCAGGAAAAGGATGGAATGACATCTGTTGAATTTCTGCCTTGGGAAATTGTTCAAAATCTGAGGAGCTGCCCTGGTGGAAAAGGTGGCAAATGTGTCTTCCCCCCCCCATTTTATTTTTTTTTTTTTTTGGGAAGAGCCATTTGGTTCTCCACTCAAGGCGGAAGGCTGGACTTTGATTAATGACAGCTTTGTTTTCAAGATGTAAGTGAGCTATTAGTGAGGCATAAATCGTCAAACTAATGCAAATATTTCTCAGCCTTGCCAACTTTAAGACGTCTGGACTTCAACTCCCAGAATTCACTAAATAGAGGTCTGTTAAGACTCAACGGGGGGAGGGGCAGAGCACTTGTTCCATTTAGACCTTCTGCACAACCACAGGCCACAAACAAAACTGGTCTTGATTAACTTTAACAGGACCGTCTGCACGTGCATTTAACAGGTCCTGGCAGGGGATTGTTAATGCTTTCATCCAAAACTCCCTTGAACAATCAATTGGGAATAAGCTTGGAATTGACACTCAGTTGCTGCCATCCAGTACTGACTGTCCTCAGTTTACAACAGTTTGTTTAGTGACCGTTCAATGGTGACTTAGGACTGTTTTTCACAGTTGGCATCCCAAAGATCACGTGATCAAAATTCAGATGTTTGGCAACTGCTTCATATTTACCACCATTGCTGTGTCCCAAAGTGGTGTAGTCATCTTAGGCAACCTTCTGACCAGCTGAGTTAACGGGGAAGCCAGTAAAAGGGGAAAAAAAACGTCATCCAGCCAGACCCCCAGAAAAGAAAGGATAAAATTAACTTTGGTTGGTCCATCACTTCCAGCTTCTCCATTAACCTGAAAGCTAGTGAGCATCTCTAGGTTGACCTCACTTGAAGGATTAAGTATAACAGAGTGTCATGGTTTTCTATGGGGAACCTCAGTGCTTCAAGTCTCCTTTGGTGAACAGCTCCAGGTGCTGAAAAGGCCAACAATTTCACCCTCTTTTCCAGGCCCTGCTGGTGGAACATGCATTCCCAATAATCTTCTTCTTCTTGTGCCATATCTGTTATCAGACATTGGCGATCCAGTCGGAAAGGCATCCCAGCCATTGGTCTTGTGAATTTGCAGAGGCAAATCCCATGAAGCAACCAGCCATTCTGTTGTTCTGCTTGAACCAGAGTGATTGATCCCAGCTAGCGACAGCCCTTCCAGAGATCTGAAAAGATGGTTCCCTTTAGCTGACTTTGCCAAGGATCTGAAGACAGGCTTTCCCAGATCCAAAAAGAAGAGAAAAGATGCTAGACATCTCTAACTTATACAGAAAAACCTCAGCTTGCAGTCCCCCAGTTGGGAGTGAAACTTCCAATGGTCTGCTTGGAAACCCGACTGCTGGACTTGATAGGCCGAGCTCCGATCCAGCAGGACATGACTCTAGTTCTTATGCGAACCGGAAAAGAAGTTTGAATACGGATTGAAAGCATCCAATAAAATGTTCATCTCATTTCATTTGAAATCACGGACAAAATCTCACAGGGATCCCCTAATCCCACCAGCTTCGGATTTGCTCGCCCATTATAAACAAGGACACGGTTTAGTGACTGTGCAAAATTACAGTGGCACTGACGAAAGTGACATATGACCATTTTTTTTACACTGACAACCGTTGTGGCATCTCCATGGTCACGTGATCAAAATTCGTATTTATGATGGTTACAATGTCCCGTGATCCCCTTTTGTGACCTGACGTGCAGAGCCAATGAGGTAGCCAGATTCACTTAACAACCAGGTTACTAATTTAACAACTGCAGTGATTTCACTTAAGAATTGTGGCAAGAAAAGTTATCAGATGGGGCCAAACTCATTTAACAAATGTCTCTGTGAGTAACTGAAATTTTGGGCTCAATCGTTAAGTCAAGGACAATCTGTATGGGAAAAATTCAGAAATGTTTCCTTAGCTCTTAAGAATATGCTCTCTACGGCTCCTTCTGGTTGCTCTTGGGCACTCAAGCCACGAAGGAAGAGAAACACAGACGCACCACAGGACTAAAATATAGAATTATGTTTTCTTCGACCTTCCCCTTTGGAATCCTCAAGTCAATTTCCCCCACATCGTCTTGTTTCAAAACTGATTTGAGTTTGGGTTTTTTTCACCCTGCCACAACCCTGCTCTTGTTGATGGGAAACATTCCTTTGGTGCCCACAAATATTTGCCACGGGACGACGCTGGTGAGATGAGAAAAGGTCACCGGTTCAATGGACTCCTTATACAACAATTGACGATCGTGGAGAAGGTGCTTGCCACGCTCGGCTTTATGAGACTGGAGCACTCAAAGGCTCAGAAATCGGGGAGACAATTTTTCATGAGAAAAAGACATTGACACAGGTTCAGTTCTGAACAATACGTTTCCTCTCCCATCACACAAAGTTTAGCTTTGCATTCTGTGCGGGCCTTGCTTTCTATGAAATGCCTTCCACTTCGAGGCAACTCTGTGCAATCCAGTGAAAAGGAAATTGTGGTTTTTCAAATGTCTGTGGAGATTCTCACTCATGCTGATCATGGTTGTCTCAAAGGTGCTTTTTTTTCCCTCCCCAAAAAAAGGCAACTGGGCTGTTTTTTGTGGAAGAGGTAGGAGATGATCAGGCTGAGCCTGAGGGAGGGGTCAAACACGTCAAACACACAAGGTGGATAAATCTAGAATAAATTGGGATCCCAGAGGTGCTTTTTTTCAGGAGGCAACTGGACTTTGTTTTTCTTTGAAGAAGTTTCCCTTCTCATCCAAGAAGCTTCTTCAGCTCTGACTGGATGGTGGGGAAATGGGAGGATTTATACTCCTTGCAGATAGTTGGTCATTTGCATTCTTTTAGAGAGTTGTTGAGGCCACTTGGAGGTTTACCTGTGTCCTCAGGGTCATCTGAGTGGCGCAAATGGATGTGGAGCTTTCTTGGTTGCAGGATGTTTTCTGTCCTGGGTCCCTTGAAGACAGGCACAGGTTGTTGGGGATGAGCCTGTGTTGTCTGCATCTCACACTGAAGTGCTAATGGTTCCTGTCATCTGCAATATTTTCTGGAAATCTGTTCATGCTCCTGTCCCATTCGAAGGATGTTCATCCCAAAGTGCATGGCTAGATGTCTATGGAGTTTCTCAGTCTTGCAGGTCACCTTTGGGACAACCATGACAATTAACTGGGATGAGTATCCTGTCAAGAAAGCCACAAGGGAAAGAAGAGTGGAGTCCTCTAGGAAGCAACTAAGCAAGGAAGCCGATGTTCCAATGAGGTCTGGAGACAGTCATGGAATAAGCCACAATGTCTACTGAAGTTGTACATTGTGTGCTTTAACTGCTAATCACTCGGCCTGTTTTCAAGGTGACCCGTCCCCTGTGTAACAACTGAGTTATATCACCATTAAATTTGGCTATGGCACTTCTCCATTCTGCCTTTTGACCAGCAGGGGTCATGTTATTTATTTCACATAGCAAGATTCTGCCCCCTGTGGGTTTTTTTTCTTCCTCTCTCTCTAAAACAGAGGTCCCCAACCTTTTGGGCACCAGGGACCGGTTACTTGTAGAGAGGTTTTTCCACAGACCGGAGGGGGTGTGGTTTTGTGTGCTGCCTGCATCCTGCGGATGGGGCTTTCCTTGCTTGTACGGACTGGTTGCTGGCATGCTGCGGCCCAGTACTGGTCCACAGGCCAGGGATTGGGGACCCCTGCTCTAAAGGTTCATGCCGTCCTTATGAATCACAGGATCCTTGCCTAGTTGTTGTACCAACCCCGCAACCTTATGCCAACACAGCGACTTCCTTCTCGACGAAACTCTGGATGAACACAATGGACCGTGTGTAGAAAGTGGTGATGCCTGCTGGTTATCTGCCTGGCTGTTTTTGTGAGTTTTGTTGTTTTTCAGATTAGAGACACCGGTTGTTTTTTTTTTGTTTTTTTTTTTTTTTGCTACAATTTGTGGCCAAGCGTCTTTTAAATAAATAAATAACTAAATAAATAACTAAATAAATAAAAGTTCTGCTGGGAACAAATGCGTTTAAGAAAAAGCATAGGATGGAAAGTCATGTGTTTTTTTCTCCTCCCAAATGAAAGCGCGGCTTTGTGTCTCGTTTTAAAAGTCATTTAACAGATTTATAAGAATCCGTTTAGGCTTTCATGCGGCCGTGAAGATGGGTACCACTGGCTGAAATGAGGAAATTGTCTTGCCTGTCTAGGGAAAGATCCATAGCTACTTTTATAAAAGATTAGAGCGCCTTTATAGATTTGTGCGGAAAATGGATAAAAATGAATTGGGGATTTGGGGATTTATTGATTAAAAAGGGTTGCTTAGAGGAAGAAGATTCAGCCAGTTTGGTGTCATGGTTAAGGCATCAGCTGAGAAACTGGGAGATTGGCAGTTCTGGACCTGCCCTGGGTACAAAGCCAGTTAGGTAACCTTGAGCCAGTCACTCTTTCTCAGCTCTAGGAAAGAGGCAATGGTGAACCGCTTTTGAAAAACTTTTTCAAGAAAACTGCAGGGCCTTGTCCAGGCCGTTTCTGAGGATTGGACGCAATTCAACAGAAGAGAAAAAAAATTGGAGGAACGGAATGAAATTATGTAATTCAGGAAGGCAGAAAGGTTAATAATCACGCCTGTGACTTCTGCAAAGAAAGACAGAAATTGCTTTTTTTTTTTTTTACTGTTCCTCTCTTTTACTTTTATATTTTTGTACCTTCTTTTACTTTTTCTTTGGGCTCCTGTATTTTTTTAATCTTGTGTAAAATCCTTTTTCAACAAAAATTATGAGACTAAAATTTAAAAAATAGACCTGTAGATGCCTTTTATAAGTGGGGTAAAATGCCATCACCAAATTGTGATTTTGCCCCCCCCCCGAAAACCAAAATATCCAACACCACAATGACAGAGTGCCAAAACAGATTCTATAATGGAGATTTTGTTGATTTCCCGGTTGCATTTTGGCTTTACACCGGATATTACGAGTAGACCTGGACTTACGACCGCAATTGGGACGAGCATTGCCAGTTCAGTCTGCTCATTGTAAGGGTGATCATATCACCCTGGGATGCTGTGACCATCATAAATCCAGGCCGGTTGCCAAGGATCCGAATTTTGATCATGTGTCCGTGGGGAGGCAGCGACGGTTGTACTGGTTGTAAGTCACTTGTTTCAAACCGTCACTAAAGAAATGGTTGTGAGTTGAGGACTACCTGTGTTGCTCTAAGGCAGAGGGCCCCCAACCTTTTGGGCACCAGGGACCAGCTCTGTGGAGAGAGGTTTTTCCGCGGACCGGAGGGAACATGGTTTCACGTGCTGCCTACATCCCACGGATGGGGCTTCGCTTGTTTGTGTGGACCGGTGCCACAGCCCAGGTGTTGGGGACCCCTGCCCTAAGAGTTTTGCTTCATCTTATGGCTCCAAATGTGCCACAGGTGAGGGACCCTCCACATGGGTCACTTCCCTTTTTGCAAATTCTGCCATTCTGCCCCAGTGATCCCAAGCCCTGGACCCAGAACCGTCCAGGAGTAGCTCAGGCAGACTCTTTCAGCATGGGCCAGGTGGTTGTGGCGGCACTTCCCAGAGTCTCTTTGGCACACAAGTCACACCTGCAGGGGTCAGAGAGGGGAACCCCCTGCAAACCTCCTCGCCCTAAGTGGAGCGGCTACCGCCTTGCGTCTCCCTGCCCACCTCCCCTCTCTCTTTCGTGCCCAGGGAAAGGGGAAGGGGGATAAAAGGAAGACAAGGGAGGTTGCAGCACACCAGACATCCCCTTGCGAGTCATCTCACAGCCTCCCTTTGAAGGGGCTGCTCTGTATTCTGAGACATGCGCTCCACTGCTCACATCAGCAACTCTGCCAGAGTGCTGAGCGGCCACAAAACAAATGCAGGGCTTTGCAGAGCTGACAGCCTCTTCTTTGAACCCCCCCCCTCTCTCTTTCTCTCTCTTGCTCACTCCTTTTTCTTTCTTTTTCTCTACTCTTTCTTTCTCTCTCCCTTTCTCTCTCTTTCTCTGTCTTTCTTTCTCTCTCTTTCACACACACACACATACACACACCCCTTGTCTTTCCTACCACTCTTCAATCTCTCTCTAGAGTAGTGGTGGAGAAGGAGCAGGGCTCCAGGCCAGACACAAAAGGACTGGGGATCGACTCCAAGTAATTTCTGGAGGACTACAAGTTGTCTGCTCTTGTATTGGTAGTCCTCAGCTTACGACCGCTATCGAGCCCCAAATGTCGGTTGTTAAGTGAGACATTTGTTCAGTGAGTTTTGCCCCATTTTCTTACCGCAGTTGTTAAGTGAATCACTGCAGTTGGTAAGTCAGTAACCTGGCTGTAAAATGAACCTGGCGTCCGCATGGGCTTTGCTTGTTAGAAGGTGGCAAAGGGGGAATCACGTGACCTAGGGACACAGCAATGGCCGTAAGTATGAAACAGTTGCCAAGCATCTGAATTTTGATCACGTGATCGAGGGGATGAGGCAAAGGCCGTAACTGTGAAAAATGGTCATAAGTTAAATTTTTTCTTCCTTCTTTCCTTCCTTCCTTCTTTCCTTCCTTCCTTCCTTCCTTTCCTTTCCCTTCCTTCCTTCCTTCCTTCTTTCCTTTCCTTTCCTTTCCCTTCCTTCCTTCCTTCCTTCTTTCCTTTCCTTTTCCTTCCTTCCTTCCTTCCTCCTAATTAAACACGTGGAGCTTAATTGCAGTAACCATTACATTAATTGAGATTGTCATTCAGCCCAAACTTAAACCCAATTTATTTTTTTATCCTGGTTCGATCCTCCTCTTAGAGTTAACCTGGATCTTTTTAAATCACCCGCACGCCGGTTTAAGCGCAAGTATGTCTGGAAGAAAAAGTTGGCTGTCCCTCATGTTATTTTTTAAAGTGGATAATGGAAGGCAGAGCCCATTTCTGTTTTGTTTTTAATTTAGTCAGGTTCTCAGAGATCATGTTTGAAAACACAGCACCTCTTGTGTTAGTGCCGGCTGAATTTAACATGGCACACAGATCCATTTAGCCCCAATCTGACTGCGCTTAAAAATCCAAATTTGGTTTGCCGTGACAGGGCGATCCATCTTAGCACAGCATTTTAATTTTTTTCAGCTGGATAGCTTTAATTGATTCCACTTCTGGCAAGCACGTATGTTAATTGCAAGATAGCAGGACTGGTGAGAAATCTCTGGATAGCATTAAAAGATATAAAACGGGACCTCCTTTCAGAGTTTTGCTAGGTATCGATCTACATATACAGTTAATAGCGAAACACCACAATTAGCTGGCTCCCTGGGCAGTAAATCAACTTTTCCTGCCTTTTAAAAATTAGCGTGGCCTGTCATTGCTCCTTTCTGCGTTTTGTTTATGGCAATAGGTAACGTGGAAGCAGAATCGGCTGGCTGAAATAGGACCCCACACGATACAAAATACCATTTCAGAACAGCTTACAATTATTGTAATAAATTCACGGCAGCCACTGATACCTATAGAAAAGGTTGGCTCGGAAGATGTCAAGGCTTTGCTGGACTCTGTCCACCCCATCCACTCAATATGTATATTAAAGGCCATTGTTTGGCAATCTGCCTTCAACAGTGAATGTGCTTAAAGAGACAAGGCGCAAAGAATGGACCTAATAACAGTTTGCAATCAAGCACAAAGATTGGGGTTAGCAAAAAAACATGGCCAGCTTGCTGAATAATCTTGTGGTTTTGTAAACCTGGTAGGTCATGGTTTATGATGTGGCCTGTTGGGTGACTGGAACACTGGGTAAGCAAATAATGGTTTAGCATTTTGGCTAAGCTGGTTTTGCGCGATGTGGTTTTGACTCTATAAACTTGGAATCATTTATGTATTTTTTTTTCTTGATTAACCGGGCCAGATTAGTGATATCACTGCCGATACTTTCATTATGTGGACTGGCTGGGAAATCCTGGGAGTTGAAGTCCTCATATCTTAAATTGAGGCCTTTGAACTACGGTGCTGGAGAAGACTCCTGCGAGTCCCCTGGACTCCAAGGCAATCAAACCGGTCAGTCCTAGAAGAGATCAACCCCGACTGCTCTTTAGAAGGCCAGATCCTGAAGTTGAAACTCAAATACTTTGGTCACCTAATGAGAAGGAAGGACTCACTGGAGAAGGGCCTAATGCTGGGAAAGATTGAGAGCAATAGAAGAAGAGGACGACAGAGAATGAGATGGCTGGATGGAGTCACTGAAGCAGTAGGTGTGAACTTAAATGGACTCCAGAAGATGGTAGAGGACAGGAAGACCTGGAGGAACGTTGACAAAGCAAGCAAGGGTAGTAGTAATAGGTGCCTTAACAATTGGAGCATCACTTGAACACCATTGGCATTGACAAATTCGCTATTAGTCAATTGCAAAAGGCGGACTTACTAGGAACCGCTTCCATCCTGCGACAATATCTGTAATACCATCAAACATCCACATCTGCCTATCCCAGCCCCTGGGTAAGGACTCGATAGATAAAATGCCAAATCCAGTCTGAACATCTGGCTGACTGTGCGTTAATCCATAATAATAATAATAATAATAGTACTGCACGATTATGGATGAAACGTGTAATAGTGATACCCATCGTCATCAGGGCACGGGAACTATGTCCAAAAACTTTGCAAAATACATCAAGAAACTACAGCTCCCTGCAATAACTCCAGCAATGCTACAAAAAACTGCGCTACTCCAAACATGTTACATTTTAAGGAGGTACCTGGTTGACACCTAGGATGCTGGCAGCAACCCGTGTCAACCTTCAGCGCCAGCCAGTTTGAATGTTCAGTTGACTTTCATTCAGTTGACTTTATTCTTCTTAACAAGAACAATAATCAAGTTGGAAGGGACCTCGGAGGTCATCTAGTCCAACCCCCTGCTCAGGCGGGAAACCCTAGAGTACCATTTCAGACTACACGGCTGTCCAGCTTCTGCTTAAAAACTTCCAGGGTTGGAGCAGTCGCCACTTCCCAGGCGGGGGTTCAAGGCAGAGGGGTCAAAGCGCGAGCGGGCGCCCCTTGCAAGAAGCGGAGTCGCTCCGGGCCGAAAGGCGAGACGGGGGGGGGCACGAATGATAGTGGGGGTGGTGGGGGGTGGCGGGCCGAGAGGGGGCGGGGCCTTTGCAAAAGCTTCTCCCTTCCTTCTCTCCTCCTTCCTCCCCTCCCTCCCTTCCCCCCCCCCAGCTGCCCGGCCCCGGGGCGCGCAGGCAGCGGAGGGTCCCGAGCGCAGCCAAGGCGAGACGCGGCGCCCCCTCCGCCCGTTCCTGCCCTCGCCACGTCCCGCCCCCTCCACGCGTGCCCGGCCGGCGCGCTCCTCCCTCCGCCGCTCCGCCCGCCGCCTCCGTCCCTCTCCAGCCGAGGAAGAAGCTGCCGCCGCCGCCCCGCTCGCCCGCCTGGAAGGCGCCCTGCCCGGCCCTGCGCCCCACTCGCTCGCCCACCCAGCCACCCACCCGGGCCAAGACACACCCACGCACACACAGATGGCCGGGAGCCGCCCCCGCCTGCTCGCCTTCCTCCTCCTCCTCGCCGTCGCCCTGAGCGGCCGAGGTAAGCCTGCCCGGGGCGCCCCTGCTGCAACCGGGCGCCCGCGATCGCCTTTGTGACCCCGCCCTGGGCTCTCTTCTCGGGGTCCCCCCGCCCTGGGTGGGTTCCTCGACTGGCCGGGGGCTTGGGGGGGGCAGATCGGGGGCATCCTCGGCTGGGTTGGGCTGGGGCATCATTGCGCATGATCCCTCTCCCCCCAGGAGAGGGGGGGCAGGAGAGGGGGGGAGAGCTGCCATTAGGCCTGGGCCCTTGGGGGGGGGGGGAGGAAGGAAGATCGGTAGAGTTATCTTCTTCACCCCCCCTTTAAAAAAAGCAGTGGGGGGCGCAGGGAGGGTGTAGCAGGCGAGGCCTGCGCGCGATCCCTGGGAATGGAGATGGGTGGGAGGGGAGGTGGGCTTTCCTCGCTGGCAAAGGCCCTGAGGCCCCCCCCCCCGCCTTTAACTCTATTGTGGCCAATGGTGCTGAGCTCGGGCTGCCCGGGGGGGGGACGATGGGGGGGGGCGCCTGGCGAGGCATGGCGCATTGCCGCAGCTTCTCTGCAAAGGGGCATTCTGGAAGGGGGGGAAAGGCGGGGGGGGTGGGTTGGAAGGAGAGGGGACCTGTTAAGAAACGGAGACTTGTGGGGGGGGGAGGAAGGGCGTGACACCCCCCCCACTCCCCAGGTTGCTCAGCCACCTCCTCTCCAATCCCGGAGGAAAAACAGGATAGCCAAGCCGAGTTCGGTATCCTAGATTCTGGGTGTAGCAACATCCCGGTGGGATTTCTCCCCCCCCCCGCCCCCCAACTGTCGCTTGGGGAAAATAAAAATTAACCGCCCGTGCACACACCCCCGGCTTAGCGTTTTGCAAAATAAAACCAGCCGGTTAGTACCGTCTTCTGCTATCATCCTTGCCAAGGAGAACGACCCTGCAGTATTTTGTCTTTCCAGGGAAACCTTACAGGAGAACAATAGGAAAACCCTTCCAGAGCTTGGCGGGAGGTGGGGGGGTGGGTCCCCCCTAGCTTGGGGGGGGGGGAAGGTTCCTCCAGAGAAAAGGCACCAATTTGGGGCTCCTTTTCTGTGGCGAAGAGAACAGAACTGGGTTTTGGGTTCGGGTGCTTGCTTTAAGGGCTGGGAAAATCCCTTTGGACGGGTGGTTTCCTGGCTGGGGAAAGGGAGATTTCTGTTCTCTTGAATAGGAGGGGTCCTTTTCTTGCAGGAGAGATGGAAGCAGAGAGGTTGGCCAGTGTGGGAAGAATAGACTTGGACATTTGCGTGGTGGGGGGAGAAAAACCTGGCTTATGCTGCAGTCCTTCTGGGGAGCCATGTGCATCAGCCGTTTGGGCAAAAACTGCAGCCTGGAAGGAGCAAATCTGTGGTGGTTTCTGTTAGCGGGTCACACCCCCTTCTCTATCCCTGTCTGTTGACCGCTCCTTCTTGATGTACACCCCATGGAACATTCATTTATCCAGGTTAGGGCGGCCATGCTAGGAATCCTCCTTCCTAAGGATGCAACCAGGTTCACCTCTCGGTAAAAGAAGGGTCAGGATTGCAGCAAGAACACGAGCAGGTGGATTTATTTTTTGGGTGGAGAGAACATGAAGGTGAGGAGAATGTCAGATGTCCCGAGGGAAGAAGATTTAAGGAAGAAGGCACGGGGAAGTAACTTCTCCAGGGAATAATCAAAGCATTCCTTTGGTTTTGGAAATGGGGGGCGGGGAGGAAGGAGGTGGAGGAATTGCCACATAAAAGGAAGAACTGCATAGGTAATATATACATATATTTAAAAAAAAAAAGTGGTTTAAAGGAAGGGCTTGTTACACCAAAAAGATGCTGCGTGAAATGTATTTGTTGCACAGCTTCAATTGAAAAAGGATTGACCAGTGAAAAGGGATTGATTATTGGCTGGTCTGACTTCTCAGCTAGGGTACCATCTCTCCAATATTTTGGACAATGGTAATGTACACAGGAATGTATGGTGAGGAAGGAAGGAAGGAAGGAAGGATACAAGGAGGAGGAGGAGACCATGACCAAGACCAAGAAGAAGACCGAAAAGAGGAGGAGGAAGAATTCATATTTCATTTCTTTACTGCTGTCATTTTATGTCTGGGGTGTTTACTGTACCATATACAGAATAGTCCAAACAATTGAAATAGACAAAAAAAATTCCAGCTGTCTATGGAATTGCCTAATCTTGCCCCTGATGGTTTTCCAGGATCCTGCTACTTTGCCTTGCATTTGATCTCACAATTCACCAAACACTATTCTCTTATGTCTTATCCCAACAATTGTTCTGTTGTTCGCTTTTAAATTGTTGCTTTTTTAAATAGTCATTATTATTTTTTTTAGTAGCCAGCTTTCCAGGAATGGTGGAAACAAAAAGAAATACAATGTGTTTGAAACTCGCCATTCAACTGAAATAAACTATTACACAATTCTTGTAGAAGCCCTGGGCCACCTAATTTGCTACAAAAGCAATTGTGGAGATTAGGTTATAAGGTCTTAAACAATACTAGGCTGTCACATTCCATTTGGATGTGTTTGTTCAATGATATTGTAAATCCTCTTTTATCTGCTGTCATAATCAGCCTTGTGGTTCTAGTTTTGTGACTGGACAGAGGATGTTCAAGAGCTATTTATGAAGAGTTTGGCACATCTCATCTCTTGGGAGACGGGGAGATCAAAAGGAAACCTGGTTTAGAGGCTTTGATTCAGAACAGGACCTACTTGGTGGTGGTGACACCTGATTATAGAACCACCATCATTTGCAGAAGCATGGCACGTGTTTGTCTTCATAAATGTTTTGTACGCTGGCCAACTGAATGAATCTGATTTTATACAACACAGTAGCTACTGTGTGAAGTCATCCCCCCTCCCCGAGAAGGAAATATTAAAAGGGCAGAAAAATACATTTCCTCAAAGGATTACTATCTTAAAGAGACAAAAACACATGCCCAGTTTTTCTTAATAGCCCCAGGTCTCTCTCCCCCAAGCAGACGCCAGCTCTGTAGAAATGCAGATGAAGGCCCCAGCTGGAAGATCAAGAAGAAAGACACCTAACATCTACATACCCCACCCAAACTCTAAGACAGGACATCATAGGATTAACACAGAAATACCAAAGGGCACACTCAGACTCAGGTCAAAGTTCATGCCACAGGAAGCAACTCCAAACAAAAGGCTCCAGAGAGTATAAAAACCCACTCCCCACATATGCTCAGCCCTTTTTCTCTCTCTTTTCTGCCAGAGCCATCTTTCTGTCTGGCTCTCCTCTTCAATAAACTACAACCTTCTTTCTAAAGCAGTCGCCATGTTGTTTATCCCTGGCTTGGACTGAACCATGATGAACACTTTTCTTCCAATACTACATTAGCAGATGTTAAAAGATTGAGAAGAACCAAGGAAACCCACATCTCCTTTCAGCTATGGAAGAAGATAACAGGATTCTGGATCAGTCATTATTGACCAGCCCACCCTACCTCACTGGATTGTGGGAAAAATAGATGTCACCTATTGTGCCTTTGGCTCCTGAGAACGCGAGAAGATAAATCTAACAAATGAATGTGTGATTCAACCATCGTTTGTGAAACTCTACTAAACCCAAACATGCCCCGTCAATTTTTTTAATTGAAATTAAAAAAGAAAGAGAAAAAGTCTGTTCATCCCTACATGGGAGACATAATCCCATGGCTTGACCTAAATCTTCTCCATGTGTGTTGTTTTTCTCTTTGTGTGTTTTTTTTTCCACCCTAAATCTTTTGTCCAGTAAAAACCATTTTCAGAAATTAACCAGATACATGTTGCCACTTTTAATGTGTGTAGAGACACCCGGAGAAGAATATTTATGTCAGAGAGGAGTTCAGATACAGGGAAAGGGGTGGGTGGGTGATAGTAGGGTCTGTGTGGGGGGAGGGGTCCCTTTTGTATTCGCAAAATTGGAGTGCCCCATTTCATTGTTAAACTTAATTCCTCAATCACAGTTCAGCCAGAGGGCAGAAGGATAAGTTGTTGTTTTCATTAATTCAGGCTTAAGGCTTCTGTCCATTCACAGCAGGAGTCAGCCTTTTCTAGCCACACAGCCAGGAGCTGAATTAATTCCAATCTACATTTGTATTTATAGCAATAGAGGAGGGGAGCTTCCACCCCATTCCAGGTCCTGTCTCACCATTGGTTCCTAAGAAGGATGAGTGAAGAACATTGGGATGGTATGCCAAGAGAATATGTTCTCAGTAGGGTCACCCGAGGAGTAAGGTCATCCCATCTGCCCAGGTCAACTAAACAGGCCTTGTATGTTGGGCAGCAAAGATCTAGGGGAGAAGCTGCGGGCAGAGGATCACTTTAGTGACCGTGGCATCATCAGGTGCAAAGAATCAGGACCACACGTTAATTTGCAATTCAGAACATAGGCTGTTCAGGCTTATGCACAAGAGTCTACTCAACTAACGTTCAACACTAAATTGGCACCAGCTAAGAGCCAATGGAATTCAAGAGGACATGGACCATTCATGGCAATGTAGTGACTCTAGGCTAGTGACTTGTTTAACTCCACCTCCCAGCTCTGCCTGTCCTAGGGCATCAAGTAAAACTGAATAGGAGAAAAAAAATGGTAAAAAAAAAAAGAACAACCAAGAAAACCACACAGAAAATATAAAATGATTACTGAGATCATACCTGATGGTGGTCACCTCTGGTCCAAAGGCACTCAATAGGTGGTTCTCAATGGGTCTCTTGGCGCTGTGCTGAGTGCTCCGCAAAACAATACAACTATTCAAATGAAAATGCCTGTTGATGAAGGACATTTATGCATTGTTCTGGAGTACTCCTTCTTTTCTTTGATGCAAGCTGACCTCGAGATAAAAGCTTCATGTCTCCTTAGTCTTAAACCTAGTGTGGTTGGGGGAGAAAAAAAAACCCTAATTAAAAAAAAAACATCCTTTCTTCAAAGTGTTACTTGACTTGACTGCATTGTAAGTGAGTAATTTGTAAGTAAATTTCTCCTCTCTAAACATTATATGGGAAAATACTCACACTCCCCCCCCCCTCTCTCTCTTTCTCTCTTTACAGTGTTAAAATACAGTTAGGGACGTGTGGTATTTTTGTTTTTTCCGGTGGAGGTCACATTCACGCTTTTGATGGCATGACTTGGGACAATGGCACGGATGAAAGTAGGACAGAAACTTAAATTAGACTCCAATTTACATTTAATTAAAACTGAGTGCGTCGGGTAAGGCGGCCTAGCACTGGGGGAGTAAGTTGCCCAAGCTGCTTTGATCTTTTGAGTAAAACATGTGGATTGAGCATTTGGGGGACCGGGTTAGGTTTGGGGGCTAGGATTGATCGTTTTGTAGCCTCCCATGCAATGCTGGGGTTCCTTAGGGAAGGCGGTGTGGCTGTTCAAACGGGTCGATTTCTACTGGGTTTTAAAATGGTATGTGAAGGTAACCTTTTTATCCAAGGTTTGTGACTCAACTGGGTTGTTTTGGGAAAAAGAAAACCACAGCTAAGTTCCAGTGGGAGTATGTCGTAAACGTAAATAAACAGTGATTTTGTGCCATTTAGACTTTGTCCCTTTGAGTGCCTTTAAACTTAATTAAACTTGTCCGAAATATTTTTTGACCTATGCTGGGTCATAAGCATCCTTTAGAACAGTGGTTCTCAACCTGTGGGTCGGGACCCCATTTGGGGTCGAACGACCATTTCACGGGGGTCGCCAAACAACGCAGTCCGCCATTTTTTTCCCCCTTTTCCTTAGCTGTGCTACTCCCTTTTATTCTATTGGCTTTTGAAAGCCAATAGAATAGACTCTCTTGAATAGAGTCTAATTCTATTGGCTTTCAAAAGCCAATAGGAATTGTCCATGCTGTCTCTGCCCTGCTGAGCCCACCAAAAGTCCCATTCTGCAAACGGTGCTGCACCAGTTGAGTAGTCCTCGACTTACGACCGGTTGAGTAGTCCTCGATTTACAGCCGGTGGGGGGTCGCGGCATTAAAAAGGTTGAGAACCACTGCTTTAGAAGCCATGCTGTAAGACCTCCTCCTCCTACTCCCTGATGAAATGGAATCAGGGCCTGCAGCTATAGAGCAGGGCTTTTCAACCTTTTCACCCATTGTACCACTTTTAGGATATGGCAACATCCGAGTGCCACCAGTCGCCTAGCAAGGGGTCAAAAACCTGATGACCCCCCCAAAAGTACAGGTAGTCCTCGACTTATAATAATTCACTTAGTGACTGTTTGAAGTTACAGTGCCACTGAAAAAGTGCCCCCCAAGCCACACTCGAGCAAGACCCCTGCCTGCCCGCCCAGCGGCGCTCTTCCTCCTGTCCGAGGTTTTCATTGTTGTGAGCATTTCTGTGGAGGATTGGCAGCGGGGGTGGGGTGGGGGGTGTTTGATTTTTATTTCCCCCATCTGCTGGGTGGTTGCAGCAGGTTTTGGTCACTTCACATGACCCTGGGACACTGGGACCATCATAAATATGAATCAGTTGCCAAGCATCTGAATGTAAATCACAAGATCCTGGAGAGGCTGCAACATTTCAGTCGATCGGCGCTTCTTCTGGGCTCAGCAGAAGCACCAGGATCAGCGCCGAGCTCCAGCTGGAGCCTGGTGCTGATCCTGGGGCTTCTGCTGAGCCCTGACAGCCCTGCAGCTCCAGCCATCTCTCACTCAGACTTGTACAGTGCTGCCACCGGTTCAGCTCATTCCCCTCCCCTGCTACCCCTTTTCTAGGATGGTCGCGTACCACCTGCCAGGTGCCAATGTACCACAGGTGGTACCCGTACCACTGGTTGAAAAGCCCTGTCCTAGGGTCAGGCCATCCCCTTTTGCGACCTTCTGACAAGCCAAGTCAATGGGGAAGCCAGATTCACTTAACAGACGTGTTACTAACTTAATAACTGCAGTGATTCACTTAGCAACTGTGACGAGAAAGGTGGTAAAATGGGGCACAATTCACAATAACTGTCTCGCTTAGCGACATAAATTTTTGCACTCAACTGTGGCGGTAAGCGGAGGACTATCTGTCGTTTGAGGATGTGGGCCTTCTGTTTGCGTTCTCATCTGGCACCAAATGGTAACCTTTTGGAAAGTCCCCTGTTGGGTTTTGAATAGCTGTTTAGGAGAACCTTACTCACCGGTTGGTTTGTCTGTTTTGGTCCCCAGGATACGCCGATGACTCAGACTTTGATTTATCAGACGCACTGGATGATATCCTCCCCACAAAGAGGCGTAAGTATGGCCCCCATTGCTCCATGTGTGGATATCGTGGGTAGAGGGAATATTGGCTGTAGATTAGGAATTGGAGGGGGTGGTGCGGTGGCTTAGCAGTTAAGAGATGGGCTTGTCAGCTGGAAAGCCAGCAGCCCAGGTTTGAAACCCCAGCTCCACGTGGACAGAGTGAGTTCCCGTCCTCGCCTCGGCTCCTGCCAAACTAGCAGTTCGAAAGTATACAAATGCGAGTAGAAAAATAGATACCACTTTGGTGGGAAGGCAACAGCGCTCTGTGACGACATGCTGGTCACGTGACCGCTGAAATGTCTTGGGGCAATGCTGGCTCAATGGCCTTGAAATGGGGATGAGCACCAGCCCCTAAAGTCGGCAACGACTAGCGGAGTAAAATCCGCAGCGGACTCCTTTACTTTTTTTTTTTTTAATTATTAGTAATCGGAAGGGTTTGTTGGCAAGCCCAGTTCCCTCAATTACAATAAAAAAACAAAACAAAACAAAAGGAAAAGGCCAAACTGAAAAAGAAGCGTTTAGATAAAAAAATATTACAAAGACAAAATCTAAAGCAGGGAGTCTTCCCTAATGAATAGAATCGTATGTCCTAACCGGGCAGCTTGAAAACATATTATCAAATTGGACAGGCCCCAGACTTGCTGTTTCCGAGATCTGTATAAAGTCATTTCATTTATTCTCTCTTTTTTTTTTTTTTTTTGCAGGAAAGCAAAAGCTTTCTATTTATTTATTTATTTATTTATTTATTTATTTATTTATTTGGCCAATGTCTTAAAGCCTGTTCTAGAATTTCCACCGGGAGGCCTAGAAATAGAGATTTACTCGCTGCTCCGTCACTTGGATTTGTCTGTCGAGGTTAAGCTACGTTCTTTTTAAAATCGTGACGGATAAGCCAATGGCTGGAAGGTCCTGTCCTTTGATAAGGCAAGAGACAGGGTGGGCGGGACCACAGTGCAAAGTGGGTGGGGCTATTTGATATCTGGGTGGAGCCTGAGTATGCCAGGATGGGGAGGGGAAGGATTTGGGTCCTCCCCCTTTTTTTTAAAGGATGCAACTGAAAACATTTTTTAAAAATGAGCAGATTTTTAGAGTTAAAAACAATACAAGTATGAAGAAAAAAGACAAGTAAAATGATAAGTAAATGGTAATAAAGAAAAGAAAAAAGGAAAGATATAAAGGAGCAGCTCTCAGTGTATTAATTGGTTATAAATGCATGTATATTTTATCCCCTCGCTTGCTGTCTTTCATTATTCTACCCTTCCTAATCGCCAAACCTGTAAATCATAACTTCATTATTCCCATTTTCAGCAAAAAGTCCATTAAGGGTTTCCCAGTCACTGACATGAATGCAACTTGAATTGTGTGTTGTGTTGTGATTCCTGAAATCAGGTGGCCTGGAACTGTGCCAGGAAGGGCTTTTGGGGTGGGATTTCAGACCACGGGTTTGGGGCATGTTTAATCCTGCAAATTCAGCTTGTTTGTGCTGAAGCATAAACCAAGGTTTAGAAATCACCACGGTTTAAATCCTCTTACGAAACCAGAAGCCCAGAAACAGAGTTAGAGCTTCAGATGACATGGAAACTCACCATTCTCCTTCCACAAACACCCAATGTTTAGAAACTTAAATTTAATTTAAACTTTAAATTTTTAATAGCATCAACTTTGTTTCCTTGAGCTTTTAACTGTAGATCAAGATGGCCCTGCTCTAAACACTTTACAGAGGTAGCCACACTGAGGTTGTGTATGTCTTACTTATGAGTAAACCCAGCTAAGAGTGCAGTGTCGGCTCAGGCTGGTTGGCCTCTCCATAGAACAAAAATGTCATTTATTCTGTCTTTTTATCTTTCCCAGCTACTCACAAGCCGCCCAAGAAGACTTCAGGTGGCACAGGTTAGCTTTCTTAATTCTTTGAATCAACTACAAGTCCCATCACCCCCAGCCATCGTGACTGTCGGCTTTAAAGCAAGTTAGGGTAAATTTGCTGGGGTTTTTTTTAACCCCCTTTCTTTCTTGCCAAAGAGCAATTTAAGCAAGTTGCAAACGCAAGTAGTCCTCTACTTACGGCTACAATGGAGCCCAAACTTTCTGTTGCTAAATGAGACTTTTGTTAAGTGAATTTTGCCCCATTTTTGCGACCTTTTTTTTGTGTGTGCCATAGTTGTTGGATTAATAACAGGGTTGTTAAGTGGATCCGGCTCCCCCATTGAGTTTGCTTGACTGTCGGTCGCAAAAGGGGATCACAAGACGCTGGGACACCTGCGACCGTCATAAATCTGAGTCGGTTGCCGGGCATCTGAATTTTGATCATGTGGAACCACAGGGAAGGCTGCAAAGGTCACCAGTGTGAAAAACGGTCAGAAGCCCCTGTTTTCAGTGCCGTCGTCACTTTGAACGGTCACTAAATGAACTGTTGTTAAGTCAAGGGACTGCCTGTACAGGCTGAGCGTTTCATTTGGGGGGGGGAGTATCCTCCATCTTTGTCTTTTAATGGGACGTTGGCCTTTTGTCATCCTGACAGTGGCCTATCTGGGAGGGCTGTTTGGAAGATAAAATGGAACAATCCCACGCCAGCACTTGAGAGAGTTGTGGCGTTACGTGCCAGTTCTGCCCGTTTGGGGTGTGCGAATGATGTCGAGGTGCAGATAGAAACAAAAGGGGGGGGGATTTCATTGCAGTGGTGCTACACACACACACACACACACACACACACACATACACACGTCAGAAGGGGTACCTGCAGCAGGTACCCCTTCTGACGATCTCCCTCTGTTTCTCAAGCAGGCGAACTCGATCTGTCGGATTACTTTGATTCCCCACCGGAGAGAACCACCAGGCCTGCAAAGGCCACCACCAGCCCGTATCCACGGAAACCAGGTAAGGACACCCTGGGCCACCCCCCCCCCCCACGGAATGGGGTGAAAGTAGAACATTTGGTGGCCAAGAATTCCTTTCTCCCTCCTTTTCTTTTTTCTTTCTTTCTTTTTTTTTCTTTCTTTCTTTCTTCCTTCCTTCCTTCCTTCCTTCCTTCCTTCCTTCCTTCCTTCCTTCCTTCCTTCCTTCCTTCCTTCCTTCCTTCGGATGTTGTTATTGCAATACAAACAGGATGGCCACAGTCCACAAGCCAGCTTCTAATCGAGCCTAACAAAGCCAGAATTCCCTAACATCCAAGTAGGATTGGATTTCATTGGAATTTGGCTGGGATGCCACCAGGTGATAGGCAGCATGGGAAACTATCCTGGGGGAAGGAGCTGGGCAAAATCTTTGCTGTTTTCCCTAACGTATGGTATAGGGGGTTGAGAAGGTTGAACCACACAACTTAAATCTGGCCTGCATTTGGTCTCAGCTCTCAAAAACTGCAGCCAGACCTATTTGTGAGGCAACTGACTGGGGAGGGCTGGAGTGAGTTAGTTGCTGGGCTGACGGGTCTGTGTTCTCCCATCTGCAGACGATGGCCGCTGGAACATCCCCCACACCACCACCACCAAGCAGCCCAAAGCTACGAAGCCACCCCCCAAAAAGACTTCAGGTAATTTTTTTTAACCACTATTAAACCTCAGAGGCACCATTAGAAATCTGGAAGACAAGAGCTGCTACCTTGAGGATCCAAAGAACTGAAAGTGGGATGAAGAGCAGAAGCTTGATCTGGTATTGGAAAGAGAACGGAGTGGGGCTTGGGAGGGTTCTTCAGATATGTCTTCACTTAAAAGGTTTTCTCCTTACTATAGTTATTCTCTCTGCCTTCTCCCGTGTGGCAGGACAATATGTAGAAGATAAGAGTGGGCTCTGGGAACGGATGGATGAATGGATGGATGGATGGATGGATGGATGATAGGTAGGTAGATAGGTAAGGTAGATAGGATAGGTAAGATAGATAGGAAGGTAGGTAATAGGTGGATGGATGGATGGATGGATGGATAGATAGATAGATAGATAGATAGATAATGTAGGTAGGTAGATAAGGTAGATAGGATACGTAAGATAGGAAGGAAGGTAGGTAGGTAGGTAGGTAGGTAGATAGATAGATAGATAGATAGATAGATAGATAGATAGATAGATAGATAGATAGATAATGTAGGTAGGTATGTAGATAGGTAAGGTAAGATAGGTGTGTGTGTGTGTGTGTGTGTGTGTGTGTGTGTGTGTGTATATACACTGTTAGCTATCAGGAGAGAGACAGGGGAAGGAGATTTTACCTTGAATGTGCACCCTGTCAGCCCAAATATGGGAGAAAGAAATCTTCTTTCTTTTTCTTTTCTTTTGCCTGTATCAGCTCAATCTAGAGCAGTGGTTCTCAATTATTTTCTGTCATGCCCCCCCTAGGAAGAAGAAAATATTTCGCGCCCCCCCGCGTGTCTGTCTATCCAATCGGGTCCTTTGCGTGTGTCACATGCGTCCAATATGACAGTATTTGCCGAGGTCAAACGAGCCCCCCTTTACGGAGCCTCGTGCCCCCCCTGGGGGGCCCGCCCCACTATTTGAGAACCACTGATCTAGAGCCATCCACAAGCAGCAGTCGCCTGTCTCTCTCCTGATAGCTAACAGAGTGGGAGAGAGCCTGTGGCTTAGAGGTTATAACAACTGCCTAACATGCAGATAAGCCCAGGTTCGAATCTCAGAAGAGTAAGTCTGGCTGAAGAGAGTTAAAGGAACTCGAAATAGCTATACCAGTTCTCTCTTTATTCTTTGTTAGCACACACACACACACACACAGAGAGAGAGAGAGAGAGAGAGAGAGAGAGAGAGATAAGGTAGATAGGAAGGTAGGTAGGTGGATAGACAGACAGACAGACACACACAGACAGATGATAGGAGAAGACAATCTATTAGGTAACTAGCCTTTGAGGATTTGGGGTTCCCAGGCTGAATTTGGGGATTCAGACTTCTTTCTTTGATGTATGTGTTTTCCTGATATGCAGTCTGGTTTCTATAAAAGCCTTCACCAACTCTGACCCTCAACATGTAGAGGAGTTGGCTGTAAGGCCTGGTATTCTCCCCTGGCTGAAATCTTGGTGGTAGATTGTAACTCAAGACACCTGGAGATGAGTGGGTTGGGAATGGCTGGTCTTGTATCGAAGGGCGTGACCATCACATGCATCAAATCGAACTCAACCTGAACTGATGGGCAAAACTATGCCTGGGAAATAGTGTAGAAACCTGTGGGAATCCTAGGTAGATGTCTTCAAGCCTTTTCTTACTTCTTCTAAGAGGTCAGGTCTTGCTCAGTGGAAAAAAATGGGGATGCTAGAAACCCTACAGCCCTAAGCAACCGATCTGCTCATTTTGTAGCGAAAGATCCAATGGATTTCGACTTATCCGATGCTTTAGATGACCAAAATGACAGACACCCTGGGGGTGGACCACCTAAAGGAAATCCTGGTGGAGGTACGTTGATAATTCTGCTTTTTTCTTGGTCAAGATAGACTTCGACACCCTCCCTTCTCTCTCCACGTGTCCACTGAAGTTGAGGGGAGAACAGCTGCCAATGGGAACCCAAAGCCTTGAAGATCTGCTCACCTGCTGGGCAGAGACTGCATTTTCGTTAAAGTAGGATGGTAGCAGCTCTTGTAGGTGTTGAGAAGAGACTGAGGACAGTTGTGGGAAAGTCTGCGGAGAAGAGAGGAGAGTTGAAATAGTCAAGAAGGTGACGACTACTACCTCTATTATATACAGAGTATCAGTTATATCATGGTGGCTATCAGCTGCACCAACCTTTCCAGGGAAAGTTGGTTCCCATCAAGCTGATGGAGGAGGTGGTTGGATGTTCAAGAGGTGATGGACGTGATGGGATGCTGTTGATGGAATCAGATCCCAGATGGAAGGGGAACATGATGGCTCCAAAGCTGTCTTTCTCAACCTTGTTGAAAGACATATAGACTTCCCAGAATTCCCCAGCCAGCATGGCATTCTGGGAGTTGAAGACCACATGTCTTCAAGTGGCCAGGGTTGAGAAACACAGCTCTGGAGGGTGCAGACTTTGCAGCAGAAGGAAAGCCCTCCCTGCTCAGACATTAGAAGCCGAAGGAGTTTATAGTATTCAGCCATCCGCCCTCCCCCCTTTCAGCTTTGCTTTTCCTAATTAGATACAGCTAGTTCTCAACTTAGGACTACAATGGATCCTGCCCATTACGGCCATTAGTCACGATGGTCTTAAAGCAGCACACCCCTGTGATTGATCCCATTTTATAATCTTGCTGAGCTCATTTAAGCAAATGCAGAGGTTATGAAACAAACCAGTTGTTTGGTATAAAGCTGATTGGGTTGAAAACCAGAAATAAATGCTGATTTGGGGCAAAAATGCCATACAATGATGCTGCAAAGGGCCCAGCATGTGGTCATGTGACTGCAGGGATGGAGATGGGGGTGGTGGCCATCAGAACGTCAGAACCGGATTAGACGTAGTTCTGGGAGGTCCGCCTTAGCTTAGAAACCAGTCTTAAGTCCACCTGTAAATCCTTACAGGAACGCTTGAAAAGAGAACAGCTCCCGGCCCCCGGAATGCTACAAAAAAGATATATTGGCAGGTTGTTTTATTGCTCCAGGTTGAATTCTCGCTTTCCTTTGCCGTGTGCTTTGGTTCCCAAGCCTAAATCAACCCCTTGCTATTTTCCATGATCAGTTAATGAATAAAGAATCCTGTTCCAGGCTCAAAAGGTGGAGACAGAAGAGGTGGAAATTCTGGTAAGGGGCGTCTCCTTGATCTCCTCTGTCTCACCTGGCTTCCTTTGCTCACCCTTCTCTTCTTAAGTCCAGTAGAAAATAAGAATAAAGTCCTTAAAAATAAAATAAATAAAATGCACTGGAACTGTTATTTCTTGCATGAGATGGTTCCAGCAGTTGCTCTTCCAACTGGCTATCACCAGTGCATGGTGTGAATTCTCTGTCCACTCTAACCTGCTAAAAATCCTACACAGGCTATCTGTCTCTGCTTGCCAGCAGGACTGATGGTCAGGGAAGATGGAATCTCTCTTCAGTCTTGCCTGCAGGAGCTTCGGCTTTTGAATTCATCTTAGTACGAAAGCAAAATCCCTCTGCAGACAGAAAAATAATATACAGCAGGAAGTAAACTGGCCCAAAAGCCGTCTGTCTGCCATGTTGCTTTTTCTTACTTGTAGGGCCTTGTATTTTTATGTAAGAACTTTGGGAATTGGTGTCCCTTCTTATCATTGGAAGGGATAAATCACCTCTGTGCCCAAGCGAACCAAAGACCTCTGAATATAGACCTTAAGGTAACCCTTTGTGACCCTTAATTTAATCCGAGGATTTTGAAGGCATTCATTAAAAAAAAAAAAAACTGGCTCATAAACGATGTACTAGGATTCCCACAGAAATGCTTTTAAATGTCTCCAGAGGTTTCCATTTCTGGACAAGTTTACAAATGCCATCAGTCATCCCATTCTTGGGCTTACCTTCATTTGCAGCTGGGGGTCCAAAGTAGGGTTCAAAATCTCTATGAATGTTTGTGGGCCTCACTTGGTCTTGAGTGGGAATTGCTGGCGCTCCACAGAATCTCTGTGGAACATCTGTAGAAGGTGCCCCATTCAGATGTGTCCAGATGGCATTGAACGAGCAAATGCTTTCTCATGGATCGAGACCAGATCTTCCCAATAATGTAGATCATGGTTCTCCAGACCAGATAAAAGCCAAAGTCAAATTAAAGATGCCTTCCAATTCCTCCGTGCGGTGCTATCCTTCCTGTTAGTGTCCTTGTCATGAATGATACGGAGAAGCGTCTTCAATTATATGAGATACGTTGCGCCAGATCCTGCAAAGGGCATGAAGGTGGAGATGGAAAGCCTGAAAATAAAGCAGTAAACATTCTGGGGTTAAAACATTTCACTTTAAAAAAAAAAATCTATTCTTCTGCATTTCTGGATTTGGATTAGAGAATAACTAACATCGCCAAAAAAAATAATCACTTTTATAACTTTGGTTCCAGCCAACAACTCCTTTACTAACCCATACGCTTCAATCTAAGGATCGTTTTTCTTTTCTTCTTTTCTTCTTCTTGTTTTACTCGTGGCTTTTTTTTAAAAAAAAAAGTAGAGTAAATTTGGTTAGAGTGGTTAAAAAAAAAAAAAAGACCAATGTGGAATTTTAAATAAGTGGATTTTACTTGGACTTCTCAGGGATTTCGGATGCTGACCTGATTGGTATCGTGGATGAAGGAGGTTATCAGCCTGATAAGAAGAAAGGTGGGTTTCTGTGTGCTGGGTTGACTGTAGTGAAACGTGAGGAATATTGGGGGGGGGGGTTTGCTCTCGGCCACATCTTGAAAGCTGTAAGTTTAGCTCTATAGGCAATCCTCAATTTAGAAGCACAATCGGGACCAGAATTTCTGGTTGCCAAGCCCCCAGATTTTGATCCGAATAAGAAGGGAAAGGGATTACAAGTCTTATAGTCCAACCTCTTCATCACACGATGGTGTGGATGCTGCAAAACCTCCTGTGAAGAATTTCCAAGCCCAGAAGATCCATGTCTGTGATCTAATAAGACGACGCATGCAAAGATTTGGATAAGATCCACAGGCCCTCAGCTTACAGATTGGCAGCTGCGGATTGATTGCTGTTCTGAAAAGGAAACCTAAGGGTGATCCTTTCTGTCTTTTCATTTGGAGCCAGTCGGGTGGAGGAGGAGTCGGGCGCTGGCGTGTCCCGTTTTGCAAACAGCCCCCGCTATGGTGGGCAGAGAAGGAACAGTGGTGCAAAGCACCTTAAACACAGAACTGCACCCAAATCATTGGTACCCTGGAGAAGTTGTCTGGAAGGTGTTTGGTGGGACACCAGAGAGGCATTGGGTCCTCTCCAGCTTTCGGGATCTTGCTTGGATTCACCGGAGTCCTTTCTGTACGGGAAAGAGTGCAGAGAAGAGCAGCAAAGATGGTTAGGGGACATATGAAGAACGGTTGCAGGAATTGGGTATGTCTAGCCTAGAGAAAAGAAGGACTGGGGGTGACATGATAGCAGTGTTCCAATATTTGAGGGGCTGCCCCCAAGAAGAGGGGGGGTCAACCTATTTTCCAAAGCCCCTGAAGGCAGGACAAGAAGCAGTGGATGGAAACTAATCAAGGAGAGATCCAACTTAGAACTAAGGAGGAATTTTCTGACAGTTAGAACAATTAACCAATGGAACAGCTTGCCAACAGAAGTTGTGGGTGCTCCAAACACTGGAGGTTTTTAAGAACAGATTGGACAGCCTCTTGTCTGAAATGGCATAGGGTCTCCTGCTTGAGCAGGGGGGGCTGGACTAGAAGACCTCCAAGATCCCTTCCAACTGTTTGTTCTGCTAATTTGCCGTTGAATGCGGTCGGATCCGATGTGGTGAAAGGTGGGAAACTAAGGCCCACGTGTAAAATAAGGCACCGGCTTTCTCCGGGCTTTAGATGCTCCAGATCGCAGGCATTCCGATGGCCGCGCCGAGCACCACCACAAAGGACTCGTTCTTCCAAGCCACTCGAGTGTTTTCCTTCTCCAATTAGAGAATGGAGGAGGGGGAGGAAATTACTGCTTATGCTGCAGTGGGCAGAAATGTGCAGACAAAGCTTTCATTTCTCCGCAAACCGCACCCACTTTCTTGACTGCGCACGGTGCTAAATTTATAATCAATCTCATTTATTGCTACTGACGCAGCAGCTGCTTAATTAATACGAGGGCCAGCCGAGTGTCTGCACGCGCTCGCGCGCCGGGGCTGGGATTTGCACAGCCTTGGCTCGGCACCCAACTTCCTTCGTCAACATATTAGGAGATAATTAAAATGGCCCCAGGATTGATTAATTGATTATTTATCTATTTGTTTAGCTCGGCACCCCCTGGGCGGCTTGAAATTGGCTTTTGAGGAACTGGGGAGGGGGGGGGGAGAGAAGCGGCAGGGGCTTCTCTCTGCCATTCGTCCTTGCTTTCAACTCCAAGGTGTAAATCAGTTGTATTTCAAGGAGACGATTTGGACGGAGACAAATGTAGGGCAGGCGTGTCATCGCCGCTGGAAATCTGCAGGGTTTTAAAACAAAGATCTCCCGATTCTGCTATTCACTTAACGAACTTCAGGGATTCACTTAAGAACTGCAGGGATTTGCTGAACAGCTGTGGCAACCCCCTCCCCCAAAGATTGTAAAATAGTGTCTACCTCATTTAACAACAACCTTGCTTAGCAATGTGAAAGAATAGAGTAGAGTAGCGTAGAATAGAATAGAATAGAATTGAATAGAATTGAATAGAAGCTGGAAGGGACCTTGTAGGTCATCTAGTCCAACCCTTGCTCAAGCAGGAAATTCTATACAATTTCAGACAATTTGTAGTCCAGTCTCTTCTTAAAAACGTCCAGTGTTGGAGCATTCTGCAGGCAAGTTGTTCCACTGATTACCGGTAATTGTTCTCACTGTTAAGAAATTTCTCCTTAGTTCTAGGTTGTTTCTCTCCTTGATTACTTTCCATCTGTTGCTTCTTGTCCTGCCTTCAGGTGCTTTGGAGAATAGTTTGACTCCCTCTTCTTTGTGGCAACCCCTGAGATATTGGAACATGGTTATCATGTCTCCCCGGTTCTTCTCTTCATTAAACTAGACATCCCCAATTCCTGCAACCGCTGTTCATATATTTTGGCCTCCAGTCCAGTCCAATTGTGGTTATACGTCAAGGGCCACCTGTATCTATACTATAAAGGGGAGAAGATCCATAACTTGTTTCAGACTTTTAGGGCATACACTTCCTAAATGTTGCGTGTTCTTCATTAGTTATGGGTTTAATGATTGCTCGTTGTTTATTCTTCTGTATAGGAGACAGCGACAGTGATTACAATAACGGTAAGTAAGGATGCTCGTGGCAGTCTCGGCTTCTTTTCAAACGATGGAGCAAAACTTGAAACAGGGTGAAGATTTCCCTTGATCTCTGGCCTTTTCAAATGTCCCATTTAAAGCCCCCTCTCTGTCTTTCCCGGGCACCAAGCTGCAGAGAAATGCTAGATGGCTTTTAGCAGAGATTGGCCTGACCTGTTATGAGAGCGTGGGGATTCAGCTAGGGGTCACCTCGAAGCTCAGGAACCCCTGTTTTTCCACCCTTGTTTTTTAAACTAAAGATAACCATGGATTTCCTTCTTAGCTCCTTCTGCAATTCTTCCACGGCTTCTAACCCAACGCCTAAGAGTTGCATGACCCCAGTTGACCTGGTCCATTTTTTGAGGGGCTCCTGGAGAACCAGACACACTCACGTGGGCATTTGGTGGTTTTCTTAGAAACGGAGCAGGGCAAATGCAGAAATATCATCACCCTTTCGACTGTAGTCAATTATTTGCCTTGAGTTGAGCAAAAAAGAAGAAGCTTTGAAGAGCTAAGTTTGTCCTCGTTGGCCAAGTCATGGTTTGACAGTATGAAGCAATCTCTGGGATGCTTGTGCAAAGAATAGATTATAGAACAATCCCAGCTTGGATCATCCCACTTGGTCTCTCTAGAAACATCTGAATGATCTCCTATTATCCGTAGCCATTGGTCTTATAGGCTGGAGATCCTGAGAGTTACAGCAAATGAGTCCATGGACTGTCAGATGGGGGAAGACTTCAGAAGTGGGTCCATTCACCTGATAGCCAAAATAATGACATAGTAGAACAGAGGTGTGGCAGGAACGGAGAAAAGAACTTAGTGGGGACTTTTAGTAAACATCTAGGATGCAGATCATCATCCGTAACGTTCAACTTGTCCTCCATTTCTACAGGTGCCCTGGTGGAAACCGGGACAATTGCTGGCATTGTCAGTGGCCTTGCCATGGCCTTAATCGGTGCTGTCAGCAGCTACATCTCCTACCAGCAAAAGAAATTCTGCTTTAGCATACAACGTAAGTGTCTCTAATTTCTCCCCCCCCCCCATGCAGGAGATCTGACTCCTGGTGAAAAGATCCCTCAAAATCCAGTTGCTTTACCCAGAGGGGGGGGGGTGTCTCAATCTCTTCTCCAACAAAGCCCGCAATGGGATTTTGTTGACTTGGCTCTTCTCATTGACCGTTGTTATAATCTATAATAAATCTATAATAAAAATGACGAAAAAAGGACATTAAACATAGCGGGGCATATGTTTGTACATGTGAATGTGTTCTCTGTAATGTGCACGTAGAAATACACAATCTCCAGAAGGAACATCCTTAGGTCTAGAAAAGCGTTGGATAAAGGCGGCACTCAGATGCCCTGAAAAGGCAACAGGAAATTAAAGTTAATTATAACGGAGGATTAATTTCAGCCATCAGACGTGGCATGCTGGGATAATGTCAGACTTTGGATGCACAGCTATGCACAGCAGCTCCTGAAGGGACGTTTTTATGGAAATGGGGTAAAACAGCCTCTCAGTGAGGCTTATATGTGGCATTTCTGATGCCCTGTTTTGGCCTGGTTTAATGGCAGAAACAAGCAAAGGAGGCGATTTTACTCATTTCCAGCTCCCAGTTTCTTCCTAGTGTGGTCCAAGCCTGATCTCACTTGTTAGATCTGTTTGAAAGGGGAAAAAAAGCAGGAATGAATGCAAATATTTTAAAGGAAGAAAGAGGGAGAAATTGTTTAGGTGAGGTTGGGAAGAGGCTGTCAAGTCCTATGGGCCAGGGGTCCCCAACCCCATCCGTGGACCGGTACTGGGCCACAGCGTGCCAGCAACTGGTCTGCACAAACAAGCAAAGCCCCATCCATGGGGTGCAGGCAGCACACAAAACCACGCACCCTCCAGACATGGAAAAACCTCTCTCCATGGAACTGGTCCCTGGTGCCCAAAAGGTTGGGGGTCTCTACTGTAGGCCACGCTGGGCGTGACAGCTCATCAACATCATGAATTCCTCACCTGTTTTGGAATTCAAGTTGGAGGTTTAAAAAACAAACAATGTCAGAGAAGGAGCATAAAAAAAATACCGTTTGAAACCCAAACCTCTGTTTGGTTTGCCCTTTAGTCAAATGGAGCAAAAAGTATTCCATTTCTTTCTTCCTCTGTTGGGTGCTGCAGCCATCTAAAAGGAGTGTAATGAGTTTGCAAATAGAGATTTAATCTTATGCTGTAAATTAGGGGAAGGAAGCCTACCACAGGGTTGTTTCGTTGCTATCCTGGCTGTGTCTCTCAGGACAGCACTTACTAGACGTGTCTTCTGGTTTTCTGCGTAAGCTTCAGTCGTCTCACAACTTCTGTGCCAGTTTTAATGTTGGGTGTCAAGTCTCTTCTGCTCTTTGCTATTTTTAGAGGGCCTGAATGCAGAATATGTGAAAGGAGAAAACATGGAAGCGGTGGTGACCGAAGAGCCACAAGGTGAGTCAGTGCGTGTCCTTAAGGGTGCACACCATGTCACAAGGGTGACACACTGTGTCCCAACTTTGGTGTGACAGCCCAGGAGGAGAGCTGCAGCATGTTTGTGTAGACCACAAGTTGCAACTGTCCTTTTTGTTTCCAAGTATAACTCGGGCTTCCGCTCAGATGTCTTAGGCTTCTTCAGAAGGTTTTGCTGGAAGTAAGCTCTTAGTAGGTCTTCAGGCCTTCGTCTGGATTTCCCAAGGTGTCCTGCCTCTTCCCACTCAAGCCTCCCATCACATTGTCTGTCCTTGCTTACAGCCTGTAAAATCCACAACCGTGGAAGGGGCCAGCTCTCTGTTCATAATGGAATCTAAACATCTGAGAAGTATGTGGTCTCCAGTAGAGATTATGTCACAAAAAAAAGAGTCCCAAGGTGTATCCAAATGCTGGGTATGTCCATGATGGAAAATAAGAGAAATGTACCACGTTAGAAGCTGTTGTGTGGCTGTGTAAATAACTGAAATGGTCCTGTGACTGTTTTTACGAATGAAGGAAGAATATGAGACTCCTTTGGTGACCCAGGAGTACTCAATTCAGGAATATCAAAATATTTCTTTTCTAATGATATGCATGTTGTAGACGCCTAGTGTTGGAAGAGACCTTAGAAGTCTTCTGGTGCAGCCCCTTGTCCGGGGCTTGAATTCTCAGACCCCAAATGATGGTTAAAACTTTGCTTGAAAACTGCCAGTGATGGAGCCTTTACAACTCTAGGAGCCAGGCTAGTCCAGTGTTTAATGGCTCTCGTGTCAGGAAATTCATTTTTCATTTGAGTTTGGATCTCCCATGAATGGAATTTCCATCTGTTGGCAAGCTTGGCTCTTGAATCCCTCTGGAAGCAAGTTAATATAACATGGAAAGCAATTCTAGTACAAATGCAGGTCACCTGAAACTCTCCAGATGTTTTGGACCTTCACTACCATTAATACTCAACAGCAGGGCAAGCAATTGTGGCACTGTTGGCTGAAACATCTGGAGAGAACTAGATTATCTGCCCCTGTTCTGGAATTTCACAACTACCTGCTACAAGAAATGATGCTTCTATTGTATTAGCCATCCAGCCAGGCAATTCTATAAATACTTCCTAGCTCATTGAGATAGTAATAGCACAAACTGATGTGTCTACAGCTGTATTTATGCTGACTGGGGAATTCTGGGAGATAAAAGTTAATGCATCTTAAAAGTTGCTAAGGTTGAGCAACACCGATCAATAGCATCCTCCAGAACAACTGGAGAGAGAGCATATAAGGTGGGCTTCTACAACTGCAAAGCCATTGAAATTATATAGTTGCAGCAAGTTAGTGTGTTTTGTATTTTCCTAGAAGACCAGGCTAATTTTTTTCTTTTTTTCTTCCCTAGTGAAATATTCTGTCCTAGAACCACAGACAGCAGAAGCTCCACCGCCTCAAGAAAACGCAAAAGTCTGAAATCTCAGCTCTTTGGCTTAAAAAGAACCAATTGTTGACAGAACAAAACAAAACATGTCACACACAAGAGCGCGCGCACACACACACACAAACACGCACACACTCCTCTCACCTAATTTGTAATTTAGCTTTTACAAAACGTTTAATTTGGATTCCAAAGCTATTTAAATGTGCATTCCCCTGACTAGGGCAGGCTTCTTTATTGTGGTTAGGCTTGTAGACTGGTTGAAAAATAATAATAATGTTTTTTCGGGTTTTTATTTTTATTTTATTTTTTAAATATATCGTTTTGTGAAGAATCGTAGGTTTACATTTGCCATGGGTCATGTCCGAGCTTTGGTCAGGTTGAATATGAAATGCAAAGGTTCTTCCAAGTGGTGTTTCATGGTAGACGTAGAGATGTTCATGAATGACATTTTGATGGGACGGGGTTGGGGAGAGAAGGTAGCAGAGAACGGGTGAGAACAGTTGAAGTGCCTGTAGATGACCAGCCCAAAATAGACTAGGTGGAAAGTTTTAGCCAAAGTTCAGCTCTTGGTTACACAGAGCACTTCCACCGAGGTCCTGGTGAGCTATTTGAGGAAGGAGAAAGGCTTCAAGAGAGAACAAGACCCATGCAAAGTCTTAATAGGTCGGGCCAAGAAGACACCGTAGCCCCACAGAACTGGGCTTCACTTCAGCTATGGACCATCTTCAGTTGTTGTTTTGCTTTGAGTAGGACCAGGGACCTGTGTAAATACACAGCAAGAGGCTAAAGTGGAACCTGGACCTCACTTGTTAGGCTGCTGTACTGTGCTGTGCTGACCCGTCCGGTCCATTTGGACAGAATGCATGGGCTGCCAGCTTCGTAGTGGTTTTCTCCAACTTTTTGCAGAAGGCTCCAAAGCTTGAATTTCAAGAGAACAGCTCAAGGCGGGGGGGAAAGGGTGTACCAAGGAGTGTGATGATTCACTTGCATACCAACCCTATACTGGAGTTCAATGTGAAGGGAGACATCCAGATAAGTACAGAATTAGAGGGCTAAAATCCAGAAAAGGGAGGTGGTTTGGGTTCAGGAAATGCAAGCGATGGTTATTTTGAAATGTTGCGCCTTCAGGTTTTCAAGGTCTGGTGGTGCAAATGTTCTCCAGCGAGTAGCATCTCTCTTCTGGTATTTTATGGGCTGGGTCATCACATCCCACTGATTCATACTTCAGGCCTGGTGTTTCCCCAAGGTCTCAAATCTGAGCTCAGCTGGATTGTGGGCAGCCATGTTTATTCAGTAGCCCAGTGTTTGAAGGTCCTTTTCCAGGAGAAGAGAAGATGTTGGGCGTTTGAGTTTCTAACCTAGATGGAACCTGACTTTTACAACTTCCTCCTATACATGGAGGACACTCTTCTGTTTGCACCTCTTGGTACATCAGAAAGCCTCAAGGTCCTTCTCCTAGGAAAACCCTGAGAACAAGACCACTTGGAACTGAGTTGCTAGCCAAGATGGGTTTTCCTGGGTGTGAATTCTCCTATTGGCCTGATTCCTGGGATATTCCCGAGGAAAGTAAGGAACAAGATTGCTTTGCCATTTCTGGGAAGATGAAACCATCCATGGGGGTAGGATGAGATAGCAGTTCCCATCAGCCCTCCATCCTGTTCATATCAAACCAACTTAGTTGATTTTCCCACTGTGCCTACGCAGTCACTAGTTGGGCTTAATTTCCTTGCCTCAGTAATAAACCACAAGGGGAGACCTAAGAACAGTGGTAAGATCCTTGCTACTGTTCATGTTCTCCTTTTGTTTGACTCATGAAGGGGAAGACCACTCTAGCTCTACACCAAGAGTTTCCAACCTTGGACACTTTAACACTTGTGGACTCCCAACTCCCAGAACTCCATAGCCAGCATGGCTGGCTCAGTAATTCTGGGATTTGAAGTCCACAAGTCCTAAACTGGCCAAGGTTGGACATCTCTGCTCTACATCGTTGTACAAAGATGATTCTGGGGGAAACGGGTATTCACAGAAAAAGGCCACATGGCTGTTTTCACTCTTTTCCCTAAACAAACCTTGATCCCTGATATGTCTTAAATTTAGCTGGCTCCCCAGTTTATTGTTATATTCGGCAGGGGCACCAGAGGAAGTGAAGCAAGGGGACTTTCTAGCCTTATTTTGGGACAATTTTGATTGTAACCACTATCGGTGCTAGCCCAGAGGAGCAGCAACAGCCCTCTACTGCGGAGCTGAGCAAGAAATGAGCTTAAATGTTGGCCCATGTTGGTCATTCTCAACCTAAGTCCTATTAGCCGTGCATTTCACCATTGTAGCAAGGTGTACATTTTCACATGCAAGGTTATAGTATTTTTTTTCTCTCTTTAGTGCATGTAATCGGTCCATGATATGTATACACGGTGTTGGGGGGAGGGAAATGTGGGTGAAATACCTAATTCAGATTTCATTTTCAAACTAATCCTTTGTGATGTTTGTAGGGGACTCTTCTGGTAGGTTTCAGTGTGGTAATCATCAGAGCTAGAAGAGGTTTACATGGTGTGGTCAAAAAAGCCCAGATGGTAGTCACAGTACTTAAAAAAGAATGGACAGAATCATACCTGCCGTACTGACGCTTTTTGACCACATTCTGTGAGCCCACCAGATCAAAAGACTTCATTTGATTGAGGCACATTGGACCCTCTATGGATGCTGCTCTATGTCACGGAAATTTCTGGGTGAATCTCTTAATGTCGGGAGCACTACCAGCTGTATCTATAGGGGTTTAAGGAAATTTTTTGAAATGTTATCCTGAGACCCCCATATTTATCCATGATGGAGGTGAATCCCATGGATTTCAGTGGAGCGTCAATATGAGATGGTTATAAATGCTAGTCCAGATGGTTTGGTTTAGCTTCATAATTTGCACTCCACAAGCATAAGACCTTTAAAGAAATGTGTATATTTTGGACGTACTAAATTCTCTTATCCCACCCCATCTCCTCCCATGTTAAATTAGGACTTGGGGGGGGGGTCAACAGAGGAAATCAAAGGAGGACTGCAGCTTATTTAAGGAAGCCACTGAGATGACTTTTCTTTGATGGGATTCTGCTACGGAGGGATTCTCCTATGAAGGACTCACTGTTCGACCAAGAGCTACGTAGGGAAATAATGTTGAAGGTTCTCCATATTTGAGGTGGCTTCTAGGTACTAGAAAGTGAGGTCTGGTCTTGCATCTCTGTTTTCCAAATTTTATGGAGCAGAAAAGTCCAGGGGAAACTCAACCACACAGATGAATCTACATCACAGCCTCTTTCCAACTACCGTCTCTCTTTTTAAAGGACAAGTCAAGTACATCAAACATTAGACTAGGGTTATAGTGATGCATCTTTAGATAAAATAGTGGGGAAATGGTGGCTGTACTTGGACTAGAAATCATTTTCTCACCTAGGTGGAAGTTTCTTTCTTTCTTTCTTTCAGCCAATTATGGGGAAACGTTACTGTAGGTGTAAAAATTGTCTGTTTCGTTGTCTTTCTATTGCTGTCCTGCCACTGATCTCCATCTTGAAATACTGTGTCTCGGAGGAATTCCGCTACCCCACATAGATGTTTGAAAAATGTTATGTATTGCAGATTCTATGAACAAAAAAACCAAAACAAAAAATAATTGTCCCGAGTGTTACGTTAAGGAACAAAAGCTACCAGGTTTTCAAGATGTGGCAGTTGATAAACCTGTGAAGTACTTCCCTTCCCCAAAGTCTTTTTGTATGAATTTGGTAAATGGTTATGCCTTAATGTAAATTTTAGATAGTCCAATGGAAGGACTACCTAACATCAGGTGCAAAGAGCAACAGTGACTGTTACTGCCTCCCCAGACCATGATCAACAGCGCAGTCTTCCCCAAAAGTCAAGACTTAAGTTCTTGTGCCCTGGTTTAGTTCTTTCCCTGAGCAACAATGGCCCAGACAAAGTCTCCACGGGGTTCCTGTCTCCAGGCCACCAAGGCTGAGGATGAAGGAGTAGCAAGGGCTGTCTGAGGAAGACCCAGCCCTGTTGCCCTTCAGACCTTCAAAAATCCTACTGCGGAGCAGGATGTCTACCAACTTGGGTCTAGGACAACTTGCTGCAGCCAAATCACCATGGGTCAATTCAATGCTGTATTAATCCTTCCGTTCAGTTACTTGGATGATTGGTGACCCTGTTTTCCTTGAAATTATTGTAACTCTTCTCCCAAAGGTGCTTTTTCAAAAGGCAACTGGACTTTTTGTTTTCCCTTGAAGACGTCTACGGAGATTCTCAATCATCCAGGTCAAGAGGCAACTGGTCTTTGTTGTTTTTCTTTGAAGACGTTTCACTTCTCATCCAAGAAGCTTCTTCAGTTGCTTTTTGAAAAAACAAAAACATCTCTGGGATTACCATGATCTGGAGGACCGAGAACCTCCGTAAATATTGTTCACTCTTGTATTTCTGGATTGACTTTTCTTTTTTGATGATGGGTCACGGTTCCGTCGAAATTCATTTTATTTTATTTTTATTGGTTGTGTTGTCTCGCGTTGTTGGCCACGATGAGTTGGCTGTGGCGAGTTGTCCCGTTCTGTACCAACTCTATTGCGCTTGAAATACCCAAAGGTTAGAAGAGAGAAAAACCCCATGTGTAGATCGTACAGTTAAGCCTAAGATTCTGTGCATCGAGGCGGTTGTGTTGACTTGCTAGGGCCATTCTCGGGAAGTCGAGAGATGCCAGGGATCCACATCAGGGGTCTTTTGCATGCAAAGCATGTGTTCCTTTACCCAACTATGACCTCTTCCCCGCTGAGGAATTCTGCCCATTGTCTGTATATTCAACCAACAGTATGTTTGGCTTTTTCCTGGCTAAACTTCTCTGTAGCAGTGCCAGCTGTGTTGTACCACACCTCTGGGAAGGGGGAGTGGGTCCGTTTCCATTTTTTCTACTCTGCTTTTTTATATTGGTAATTAAAACAGATCTGTGAGCTGAAAGGCCACATCATGTAAGCGTAGCCAGATGTTCAGAGCAGACAGATAACAGGCGTTTATAAAAGTCTTCCATCAGGCCAAAGATGTATATATATATATGTAGAGACCACATATTGTGCCCCAAATTCATATGCAACGCGTGTTCTTGGTAGTCAAAACGAAACATCTAATTAGAGAAGAGGAAAAAAAAGGTTTCCTGTTAGGAGAATGCTAGGAGGAACTTAGCCACTTCTACTTTTTAAAGAAGCGGCCTAGATTTTACCTTTCTCTCCTTCTTGTTGGCATTTTCTTTTGGCAAATGTGGACCGGTGTCAGTTGTCTCCTTCTCGTACAACTGGCAGTATCTGGTTTGTTCGTTGGCCTCTACTGCTGCGGTAGGAACTAGCGTTCATCCGAAGGGTAGAACTGAAGAGCAGAAAAGGGAGCTAAAACAAAAAGGGGGGTGGGGAGAAAAGTGGGAAGGAAAAATAGATCAGAGACGACCGATTAAAAATGGAGACGGCGTATCCAAAGAAGCGAAAGCTTTTATTTAAGCAATACATACATACCATTGGCTAATACAGAAAGGATCTGTTCCCAGTTGAAAATTGCGAGTTATGTTGTCAAAAATGTAGAAAAAAAAAAGAAAAAAGGCAGACTCATTTTGCTAAAGTGCATATAAGAATTACGGGGGGATGGCTATCCGAACTTGAATGCTGAAGTACAAAACTGGAAAAAGTAAATAAATAAATGGAAAAAAAAAGACTTGTGAACAAAACGGTGTCCTTGTGTCACTTCTGTGTGTGTGGTTTGCACAACATGCAGCCTGTTTTCTCATGTAAAGAAAAAACAATCTTGCACTCTTTAAGGGACACAAGTAGTTCCCAACTTCTTGTTGTTAGTTGCGAAGTTGTGTCCGACCCATTACAACCCATGGACAATGTTCCTCCAGGCCTTCCTGTCCTCTACCATCTTCTGGAGTCCATTCAAGCTCACGCCTCCTGCTTCAGTGACTCCATCCATCCATCCACCTCATTCTCTGTCGTCTCCTTCTTCTATTGCCCTCCATCTTCCCCAGCATCAGGCTCTTCTCCAGTGAGTCCTTCCTTCTCATTAGGTGGCCAAAGTACTTGAGTTTCCACTTCAGGATCTGGCCTTCTAAAGAGCAGTCGGGATTGATCTCCTCTAGGACTGACCGGTTGGATCGCCTTGCAGTCCAGGGAACTTATAACAGTTGATTTAGTCAGCGGCGCTGAAAAAAGTGACTTAGGAACCGCTTTTCAGCCTTAACGGACGTTTCAGCCTCCCCATGGTCACGCGATCAAAATTTGGACGCTGGGCAACTGGTTCATATTTGCGATGGTCACAGTGTGTCCCAAGGTCACGTGATTCTCCCTTTGGCAACCTTGCGACAGGCAAAATAAATGGGGGTGCCAGATTCACTTAACCACCAGGTGACCAACTTGAACAACTGCAGCGGTTTGCTTAACAACTGGGGCGAGGAAGATCGTAAAAGGGGGCAAGACCCACTTAACTGCCTCGCTTAACAACAGAAATTTGGGCTCGATTACGGCTATAAGTCGAGGGCTGCCTGTATTCCCTTTTTACTGCACAACTTCCATGTCAAGGGGACGTCATCGTAATAAGAGGCAAGGGGAAACCTCTTGGGGAGGGGAAAGCACCATTTTTGTAAGCTGTCCTGACAAGTATTGCAGCGCAACCCTCTATAGAAGGGAAGGGGTGAAGGACGCACCTAGTTTAAGAATTTTGTTGCATCTTTGATTCAGAAGTTGTTTGCAGCTTCCTCTTTTGAGTAAAACAGGTGAGCGGGGTGGGGGAATCTCCAGGCGGACGCTGCGTGCACGCGTGGTCTTGAATACTGAGAGTAAGGATGAGAAATTGGCAATCATCAGCACCCCTCCCTCTGTTTCAAGCTTCACTACTGGGAGGTGGGTTGGGGTCAGAGAAAGTCAAGATCCCTTAAGCAGGGGTTCTCAACCTTGGCAACATTAAGACTTGTGGACTTCAACTCCCAGAATTCCTCAGCCAGCTTTCCACAAGTCTTAAAGTTGCCAGTAAAAATGAGAAATCTGTGCCAGTTCAATGGGGTGGGGCAATTTCAGTGTGTGAATTTGCAAAGTAGGTGAGAACTTCCCCATTTGAGGAGGTGGAGCAGGGGGAAGGGAGTTCCCTTTGAAAGTTTTGCCTGTTCTGAGCGACAAAAGTAGATTTTTCATATAAGTGCGCTGCCAAACTTCAGCAGTGTGGCCAAAACTATGTGACCATGTTTTATAGCAGTTCCAACCAGCTTTCCTGATCAATGACATGCAGAGTTAGGGCATTACCACTGTCAACACCTCTCCCCCTCTCCCGTGATGGTTTTGTCCAAGCTACTTTAAGACAGAACTCAACAGCTGTGCAACATGTTGGATGGGCAATCTTGACTAAGCAACCCATCGTTCGTGACTTGTCTGGCTCTAAGATTGTGACAAGACACTCATCGTCTTGTCACTAAGGGAAGCCATGCTTTTTTAGGAAAGAAGTCGAGTTGCTCAAGAGAAAAGGCAGAAAAACATGAGACACTCAAAGCTACTGTCCCAAATGTGCTTTTTCAAGGGGCAACTGGACGTCCTTGTTTTTCTTTGAAGACGTTTTGCTTTTCATCCAAGAAGTTTCTTCAGCTGCTGCTTCTTCAGAGCAGAAAAAGCTTCTTGGAGGGGAAGTGAAACAACTTCAAAGAAAAACAAGGAAGTCCAGTTGCCCCTTGAAAAAGCACACTTGGGATAGTAGCTTTGAGTGTCTCAGAGCACCCAGAAAAATGCCAACGCGTGTAAGGACTTTTTATTTAGTTCCTTTGTTACAATTTGCTCTTTTCTAAATCACTTGTAAAGATTGCTTTCTACATTAAAGGTGGCTTGGCTTTGCAAAGACCCCTTTGCGGTCCAGGGAGAGAGGGAGGGAGAGAAAGAGAGAGAATAGCAGACACTGGTTTATTTTTTTTTTTAAACAAAGTCTGTCCATCTGCAATTCATCTATTTAGATGCCTAAGAAAGGGGTAAAGGCCATTGGGGAAAAAAAAAAACTCTCTGGAAAATAAATGAAAAACAAGCACAGCTGAGCCCACAATTTGTATTGCTAAGTGAGAAATTTGTGAAGTGAGTTTTGCCCGAATTTTACAAATTTTCCCCTCCACATTTGTTAGCAGTTCTTAAGTTAGTAACCTGGTTGTGAAGTGAATCTGGTTTCCCCCTCGACTTTGTTTGTCAGACGGTCGCAAAAGGGGGATCACGTGACTCTGGGGACGCGGCAACCGTCATAAATGTGAGTCAGTTGTCAAGCCCCCAAATGTCAACCCCGTGGCCAGGAGGTTGCTGCAAAAAGCCCTAAGTGTGAAAAATGGTCCCGAGTCCCTTTTTTTCCAGCTCCGTCGTCGCTTTGAACGGTCACTAAATGAACCGTTGTAAGTTGAGGACTGCCTAGAATCGAGTCAATTCTGTGGTCTCCGTTTGGAAAGGGAGCAGGAAGTACGTGTGAAAAATCGTATCCAATAATCCACCAATTCAACGGTTCCTTGTACAACCGGGAGGGGTTTGTCTCCCGAGCGACGAATCCCGCTCGTTGCTTTTAAAACATCTTTATTCAAAATATACAACTGCTATAGGAATAATAAAAAAAAAAATCATCCATTTCAAAGTGCATCAGAGCTGTGCCCCAAAATACAGCATTGGCTGTGGCTTGCTTTCCCCTTTTCTGAAAAACCCACCCACCATGTATTAAGTACCGAGGAAAGCGGACAGGTTTCACTTCCCGGACACGAAGTCAACTTTGTACGTTTTTTTTTTTTCCGTGGGAGGCGACGTTGCAATGCGGCCTCCATCATCGCTTGCCCAATCGACAGGCTTCCTGGTTTTGCTGCAAGCTACAAGAAGTAAAGAGTTTGGCCATCCCTACGACGCTCAACATTTTTTTTTTTTTAAAAAGGACAGATTAAAAAGGAAGAAGTAACCAACACCACTCTTCAGCGTGACACTGCAAGGAAATACTTTTGGCTTTACTGTAACACACACCGAGGAAAGGGGGGGCGAACACCCCCCCTCTGCCCTCCACACCCCCAAATTACACCAGGGGGAGGGAGGGCAGGTTTCTGGCAGCAGGTAACATGTCTGTAGTAAACCTCGTGGCCTCGGCTGGGGGGGGGCAGTCAGACGGAAGTGTGGACCGGTGTGACGGCGGGAGAGGAGCCTCGCTCGGAGGAAGACGAAATGGAACGCTTGGTGGCTTCCCGCTGCAGCTCCTCCACCCTCTTTTGCAGCTCCGTTCGGATGGCCAGGAGTTCCTTCAGGTTCTGGTGAATCGGCATCTGTGGGAACGGAAGGCAGGTTTGGGTTGGCCTTGGAAGAGCCCAGAGCCCAAGGTTTAAGAGAAGATAGTCTTGATTGCTTAAATGGACTCCAGAAGATGGTAGAGGACAGGAAGACCTGGAGGAACATTGTCCATGGGGTCGCGATGGGTCGGACACGACTTCGCAATTAATAACAACAAGTCTTGATTGTCATTTTTTTTTTTTACTGTGGGCACACTGGCCCGCATTAAAAATGAACTTCTGTTGCCTGCTTTCAAAAGAAGTATATATCTACCCATAGACATACATAACACACATATACATATCTATATATCTATATATTTATATCCCGTGTTTTTTTTTCTAAAAAAAAAAAAAAGGTGCTGGAACTCACACACGTCATACAACCCACCTTGCCTACCCTACAAGGTTCCATCCAAAAAAGGTGCTGGAACTCTGTTCTGGGCGTTCTATGAGAAAAAAAAGCCCTGTTTATATCTATATATTTTTCCACAGTGGCCCAATGCTCGAAAAGAGCGAATTGGTGGGCTTCTTGTTGCAGGGAGTCACCCAAGCCCAGGCACTGCAAAGCTGGCTGGTGTATTCTGGGAGTTGAAGTCCACGTATCTTAAAGCCACAAAGGTCGACAAACGCTGTTTTAAAAGTGTTAGAAGAAACACAGAAATGCCTTGCTGATTCGAAAGAGGAAAAAAAAACAAATCACAAGGAAGGGAGGGAGGGAGGAAAGGAAGGTTAACTCCTCAGCTGCAAAGGTAGAAATTACCTTGCAGGAAGCCTGATGTATGACTAATTCAAGGTGACAAAGGTTTGGCCTTCTGGGATGGATAAGCCCTTCCTACCTGCTGCATGGATGTCTGGTGGGCAATTGTGAAGACTTCTGAAGGGCACCTGATCACAGAGGGCTGAGCTAGTTATTTTTAAGAAGGAGCTCGTTCACGGAAGTTTGAACACTGGGAGACAGCTGTTCGCTTTCTGTGTCTTAATTCTGCTCTTGTGTGGAATCATAGCTACTGAATATTCATGCATGCATTGGAAAGCTAGGTGTGTTTGTGTGTGTGCGTGTGTAGTTATTGCCATTGAGGGCTGAGCAGCTGCATTCACACACTACATTTAATCCTGTGGCTGAATTTACCAGTCTTTCTGGCAAATTGTACAATATACTGCGGCATAAATTAATTGAAGGAATTAGGTTGGTGAAACACACCACGTCATACACAAGCACACAGGCAAACACACATCCCAAGCTTAAAAGCCACTCAAATTTAGCCCGTTGTGGAAATGCTGCTGCTGGGAATCAGCCTTGGTTAGAAACGTATGAATAAAATCTGCGAATTACGAGGGTTTTAAAGATGCTTCCCATCTACTGGAGAGAGTCAGTAAGGATTTGTTCTGAATCTGGCTGGTAAGCACAGTGGATTTCATTTCGGGATTTATTAGGTGCTTAATTAAGAAGGTTTCTATTACTCCCCCAGCACAGCTAATTATAAGAATCTAACCTGTAGATCACAAATAGGCGGGTTACGCGGCTGCCCAGTGGGCAGGATATAAAACCACGCAAAGGGACTACGTTTTGCTAACGCAGCTTCTGTCTCACAACTAATGCAAGCTTCAAATTGCCACCATTTAATGGGGATTTTCTCTCCACACATCTGGAGAAAAGAGATGGCATCTCTTCCCCCTCCTCTTTTCCAGCATTGTGTGGTACGGGGGGGGGGGGGAGAACAACACGCACACCCACAAGGAGAAGCGCAAAAGGTGGTATAACCGCCATGCACTTCAGGCATGGCTTGTTCTAAACCGTATGGAACCAAACTCTATACAGGCTTCCCGCGTCCCTTTGCTAGCTCAAGGACACCCATTCAAAGAGAAATTGTTCTGCAATGAATGTGTCGCTTCTGCAGGGCCTTAAATCTTTTTTTTTCCCTCCTCCCCTAGGAAGAAAAGCATCTGTCGAATGAAATGACTATTTTAACCCCGCTCTTTGATGCTGCGAGATGGTCCCACCCACATGGAATGGCGTTAGAATGGAACAGAACTGTGCACCCAGCAATCACCCACCCCTTGAAGGCAGAAAGACAATGGGTGTTTTTGCCTTTTTTTGGGGGGGGGGAGTTGACTGTGGCTATTCCCTTTTTGCCTTCTGGGGGGGGGGATTTGACTTTGGCACAGGCGTTGGAAAGCATGCAGGATTCTGTACTGCCACGGGGCAGGATCAAATACCAATGTGCTTCTCTGACTCAAGAGCAGGGGTCTTCAAACTTGGCCCTTTGATGACTTGTGGACTTCAGCTCCCAGAATTCCTTAGCCAGCTATGTTGGGAGTTGAACTCCACAAGTCATCAAGGGGCCATCGTTCCCCCGCCTCTGCCTTAAAGGCTGCATTTATGGGACTGATATCAATGAGGTGGGTTGGCCCCACCATGATCTACATCAGGGGTCTTCAAACGTGGCCCTTTTATGACTTGTGGACTTCAGCTCCCAGAATTCCTCAGCCAGCGTGCCTTTCTGCTTAACAGAGCTTTAGCCATTCCAGATAATCCACTGCATGTGTGCTCTCAAGAGAGCTTATTCCCAAGTTAGCTTATGGAGGACTGGAAAGCTTCCATCCTCAAACCAGCTTCTAGTTTCAGAGGGCCGTTCCAGTAAGGAATGGCTTATGGGGTTTGGGGTTTGCAACACTGAATGATGTAAAGTGGGAAGATCCTTTCAGTGGGAAGCTTATCAACCTGAGGGTCCTTTGGGGTCCTCACTGCTCTCTGCAGACATTTCATGACCCAACTAGGTAGCATCATCAGGGCTAGAAGGGAGCAGGGTCTGTTCCCTTGGGTTCTTCTTCAACACTGTGCACGCCCTTTTCATGCAGAAGGTTCCCGCCAGGGAACGTTCAGATGCATCAGCACACACTTCACCCCTCTACAACAACCATCACTACAAGATGTGGGAGCTGCCAATCTTGGGCAGCTGGCTTGGTGGGGGCCACGTTTCCATGTGGTCCTCCAGAAACATCTTCTCAGTTTAATCTCAAAGTATTCAGGGGAAAAACTGAGATGGAGCCTCAGTTCCTACGATGGATGTTTTAAAGTATGGGACACCCCCAGGTGCCTACCCCTCGGGTTGATTTGTGGTTAAGACCGCATTCTTTCATGGTTTGCTTTGGAAGGAACAAGCAGATCACCTAAATTTGGCTGGCCGAGGCCCAGCATGAGATCTATCCATGTTTATTTCAGGAACTATCACAGATGGCTTTAATATCTGTATGAATAATTGATAATGAAATGTGGACTACACTATCTATTTATACTTCAGCACCAAGCTTTTTATATCTGGAGGGGGAGAAGCTTAGAACAGTTTGCTGATTTATCTATTATTATTATTTAAAATCTAAGTGTACATTTGTGTCTGGCCTTCCCTACCAAAAGCTTTTTCCACACAAGGCTGTATTCCCAGCAGTCTTGATAAAACATTTCCTTCCCAAATTGTGGTTCCTTCAAAACAATCTGCAGTCAGTTGCTTTTTTGCCAAAATCCCACAGCAGAGTGGCATACTCATTAGCTGGCACCCGACTTGTAACTGCTGATCAGAACATCTCCCATCTAAGCACAGCATACGTTTCCTGCAATTTTACTTTTTTAAAAAAAATATTATTATTTTTTTTAGCAAGCTGATTTCCAAAGCTGCATCCACCCTGAGAGGCTGAGAACGATTTATTCACAGGATATGTTAAGGGATTCTGGAGAAGGGCTGAGACGCTATTCATTAGCTACTATTTTAGCAAAGAAAACTAGAGTCAGCACAAACACATAATCCGAGCTGGCAACCAGATGAACCTTCTTAATAGGTCCTAGGAGGCAATTAGCGATTGTGAGTTTTCTGCACCTAAAATGTCTTTCTGGTGTGGCAACAACAAATCTAAAGGTAAGAGACGGAATGCAAAGTGCTTACGATTCAAATCTTGGAATCTGGCTCCTGAAAAAGGTTCGTTAAGGGGAAAGGGAATTCTCTTACATATCTGGCCATGTTAAGAACGTGCAGTGGATCCTCACATTTTCAACCAAGAGTTATGACTTCTCTCTGTAGTTTTTAATAACAATGACACAGTGACTATGTCCTGAGCCGTCTCCAGATGAAAGGAAGAGAAAGGAAGTCCAGCAGATCCAATCTCCTGTCAATCACACCTTTGATCACTTGTACGATGTAGTCAAAACTCTTTAAGATTTCTAGTTCGTTCAGGATTACATGCTTCTATCCCAGTGGTTCTCAACCTTTTTAATGCCACGACCCCAACCGGTCGTAAGTCGAGGACTACTCAGCCGGTTGTAAGTCGATGACTACTCAACTGGTGCAGCACCGTTTGCAGAATGGGACTTTTGGCGGACTCAGCAGGGGAGAGACAGCCTGGACAATTCCTATTGGCTTTGGAAAGCCAATAGAATTAGACTCTATTCAAGAGAGTCTATTCTATTGGCTTTCAAAAGCCAATAGAATAAAAGGGAGTAGCACAGCTAAGGAAAAGGGGGGGAAAAATGGCGGACTGCGTTGTTTGACGACCCCCGTGAAATGGTCATTCGACCCCAAATGGGGTCCCGACCCACAGGTTGAGAACCACTGGTCTATCCTGTTTCCTCAGTGTTAACTTGCAAAAGGCACGCAAACTGCAGGACACGCGTGCAAAGCTTACCTGGGGTCTCATTCGGGGGTTCCAACGTACGTAGTAGTTGACCCACAATTCCAAATGACTTAAGCTGGCTACTGGATAGAGAACGTGGTTCTTGTAGTTGACGTAGAAAGGATTACTGAATTCCTCCACCTGGCTATTGATGTGGGACCACAAGGAGACAGTCTTGGTATTTATCTCCTGAGGAAAACAAACAAGGTGATGAAGGGGTAGGCTTGCAAAAAAAATTATGCTGCATTATAACTCAAAGAGGGATGGCCAGCTCCCTTCTCCTGGAAGAGAAGCAGGCATCAGAGAGGTTGTCAGGCCTAGCCCAAGAACGTCGTTAAAAGAATCCAGTCGAAGTATAGTTTGTTATTTGCAAATATTCTACAGACGGAATCTTGCCAGCATAAACCTATAATACTCTTTTAAGAGAAACATCCTGGGGGATTCTAGGGAGCGGCTGTCCTAAATCTTATCTTCCTAGATCTTCCCTAATTTCCTCTTCCCACGATCCAGCTTATAGGAGGGCAGAGTTAAGTGCATCCTCAGTTCAGAATCCTTGTGTTGCCACAAGAGATTCAAGTCCAGCCCCACCCCCTTTGTTGGCCCTTGTCCAGCACCAATTTACTACTGATCGTTAGTTGATCAGATTCTTGTGTATAGATAGTCCTTACAACCATTCAGTTAGTGATTGTTCAAAGTTATAATGGCACTGAAAAAAAGGGATTTATGACTGTTTCTCACACTTATGACCATTGCAGCATCCGCATGGTTACGTGATTAAAATCTGGATGCTTGGCAACTGGTTCATATTTATGACGGTGGCACGGTTCTGGAGTCCTACGATGCCCTTTGGTGATTCTCTGACAAGCAAAGTCAATGAGGTAGCCAAATTTACTTAACAGCAGTGTTACTAACTTAACAAGGGCAGTGATTCACTTAACAACTGTGGCAGGAAAGGTCGTAAAACAGGGGCAAAACTTACTGAAGAACTGTTTCGCTTGGCAACAGAAAGTTTGGGCTTGATTGTGGTGTTAAACTGAGGACTGGCTGCATAGAATATTCTCAGCCGTTACTTGTGGTTCCCAGGTCAGTACAAAACGGGCAAGGGTTATTTGAGAATACTAAGCAATTGTGTTTTTTTAAGGTTAGCGTTTCTTGGGAAATTCATCTACTAATATTTAGGCATGTCTGGTAAATGACGAGCTTGGGGTAGCCATCATGTCGCAGTGAATGAATGTCAGTTTGCGGGCAGGGTGGTTGTCAAATAAGATCAAAAGCAAAAAAAAAAAAAAAATGAAATTGTCTGGATGTCAGCAAATACCAGAATTTAGAAGCAATGAAGTGTAGGGGGAAAAAAAAAAAAGGTATAATCCGTATACCTACCTAAATATTGTGGCTGCAATTAAATGGCTACGTTTAACAGGGTTATTAAAATTCTAAGTCAAGCCCAATCTTCCCTTTACAGCCATTATTAAATCAAGGGTTCAGAATCGGAATCCGTTATTGGATTCCTCTCGCAATTTTATATTCCTCCGGTGCTATCAAGCATCTGTTTGCACTACAGTTGCCTCTTAAATTGCATTTATCTTTTTTCTTCCTTCCTTTCCTTTTTTTTTTTTTTAAAAAAGAGGGAACTGCATTAGATTATCCATTCATGAGAGGGAGCTGGCTGACAGGCAGGCGGTTTTGGTGGGGCTGTGTAACTCAGCTCCATCTTGTGGTGCAGCTACGCAATTTGATTGTGTTCATTCGAACACAACCTAAAGCAGAGGTATTTCAGCCAGACCCCGCCTCCTCTCAAAAACAGAGGAGAAATGGTACCTAGCAGAAGCTTTGGGAGGGCTTTGGATACTCTTCCTGTAGAGCAGTGGTTCTCAACCTGTGGGTCGGGACCCCATTTGGGGTCGAACGACCATTTCACAGGGGTTGCCAAACAAGGCTGTCCGCCATTTTTTCCCATTTTCTTTGGCAACGCCCCTGGCACCCGGTGATGTATAAGTGGTTGGGGGTCACCACAACATGGGGAACTATATTATGGGGTGGCGGCATTAGAAAGGTTGAGAACCACTGCTGTAGAGCTTGAAAAGATTTAAGTGTTCAATTCTCACTTGAAGTCTCCTTATGGATTTCCTGAGAGCAAAAGGAGGTACATGTCTGAGCCAAATGTAGACGTCCAAAACCCAAAACCTTTAGTGTCGGATTATGCGCTTAAGCTTGTCATTTGAGCTAGAAATGTTAATTGCTCTTAAGGGCAGAAATTGTCTTCCCATCAAAGACTTCAATGCTGTGTTTGTGGCATTTGGTGCTGCAAAGTGAGAGATGAACACTGAAATCCTTTCAAACTCTGCGGGAGGAGTGTCAGAACCTGGCCACTTGAAGACCTGAGGACTTCAATTCCCAGAATTCCCCAGCCAGCATGGCTGGCTGGGGAATTCTGGGAGTTGTAGTCCACAGGCCTTCAAGTGGCCAAGCTTGGATATCCCTGGTCTACAGCAAAAGGAAAAAAAATTAACCTGGAATATCTTTCGTCTTTTATCAAACCATCACGTTCACCGACTATTTACCTCTTTTATTCGCTGATGTTCGGAGTTGTACAAAAAGGTGCCAAAGAGACAGCTATAAAGATGATCCAAAATGCTGATCAAAAACAGCTCGTTGAATTCGAACGCTGCTGGAAACTAAAGCGGGAATACATTTAAATTTTTTTCCTCGCCCCCCCCATTAGTAGAAGGCAGATCCACTTTTCATTTAAGCAAACAGATTTTTATGGAGTTAAAAAGACACAGGGTGTCAGGAGTGTTACAACATGCTCAACTAGGCTAGCGCCGTTCGGTTACGGTAACAGCCACAGAATTGGAAGGGATCTTGGAGGTCACCTAGTCCAATCCTTCCCCCCCCCCTATCAACAACAGATCTCTTTTGATTTGAAGGTGCTAAGCAATTCAGGCACGTTCTCTATCATCCATCCTTGATGAGTTGCAACTCTATTGCTCTGTGGCATCGTGTTGATTGTTCGCTAATTTAGACAAGGTGGACGATCAGAAACAAATAAAAGCAAAATGTTGTCCTCCAAGCCCAAACATCCAGCAGAAAAGTAACAGGGCTTCAAAATCTTCTTAAAGGTCAAGAGGTTAGGGACCTTCCCTATCTTAGGAAGCCAGGTATCGCTGGAGGTGAGGTAGAGATGGGAGGATGTTGGGAAGGCAGGACCCTTTTCAAATAAAGCTTCCTTTATAACTCCCATATGGTACCTATCTGAGCACCTTACTATAAAAACACAACTAAGAACATTTGATTAGTAATTCCAAGAATTACTTTTATTTAGGAATGAGCTGAATTGAAAGACGAAGATTAGAATTTTTCCACAAAGTTACTCAGGAGCTCAAGTACTATCGCTTCTATAATATAAACAATATCCTCAGAGCCTTAAGAAAAAGAAGCTTCGTTATTAATTGGTTCTGAATCTGCAAATCTCAAGAGTTTGCACACATCAATTAGATGCTTTTGATATGTAAACTGGCTACTGGACCACAGAGCTACAAAGGATGGCAGCAATTGAGAAGAAAAATGAGTTTATAGATTCAGGAACAAGTTTATCATAAGCTCATCATAAGCAGAAAAGACTACAAAATCACTCTAGTTTTTCTGTTTGAAAAATAGTCTAACTCTATGTTACTTCCAAGAGCTGTTCTGAGCATGGCAACAGAAATATGTTTAAAAAGTAGAAAATAAATGAATAAATATGTAAGTTCTCACCTGCTTTGTCATTTGCCAGACACAATCTATGAACTGCAGGAAGATAGGAGATCTGTCAGCATCTGCATGATCGTCATCCCCTTGACCGACTCGCTGTAGCAGAGGGAAACAAACAAACAAAAAAGGAACTTAGAAAGCAGGTGAATTCTGGGAGTTGAAGTCCACCCATCTGAATGTTGCCAAGGCTGAAAAACACCATTAAGTTGCTGTGATGTAGGAACCTAGCCTGCAAATGATGGACACAGTCAACTTCCACTGATGTAGAACAGGGGTGGGCAGTTAGTTTTCCCAAGGGGCCACATGAGAAACTGGAATTTTTGCAGAAGGCTGAACCAACAGGACTGTGAAGGTGCATAGGCATACATGCATGCATGTATGTAAATTTGAAAAAAAAAATAGCAGTCATCTTCAAAATAAAAGCAATCCATGCTGGCTGGACAGCGACAATCAAAGGGCTGGATGTAGCCTGAGAACCATAAAATGCCCCGGTCTGGCGTATAATGTTAGCAGTGGATGGAAAACACTTGCAAAAAGGGACCAGCATTCTTAACTGCAATTAGGAAGCCTCAGAATCCAACCCAAGACGAACCCAAAGCTGCTTTTTCAAAAGGCAGCTGGCCTTTCTTTGTTTTTTTTCTTGAAAATGTTTCACTTCTTCAGTTGAAGAACTGAACAGAAGAGCTTGAAGAACTTCAACCGAAGAAGCTTCTTGGATCAGAAGCAAAACCTTTTCAAGGAAAAAAAAAACCCAAGAAAGTCCAGTTGTTTTTTTGAAAAAGGGACAACCATGACCTGGATGATGGAGAATCTCCACAGACAACTGAAGAGGAAGTTTCACGGTGCTAAACCAAAATCAGGATGGAGATCAGCCTCTTTAGTGTTTTCACTGGATCTTTGGCGTGACGGCTACCCTTTTGAATTTCCAGAATAAATCCTTGCAAGATTTCCTTTCCGGCTTGCGTGACACTCACCATGGCGAAGCGATGGCCAAAACTCATCCATTCCTTCTCCAAGAGGACCTCAAAGCCTTTGATGGTCCGATAATAGCTGTCCAGCATGAGCATCGCCAAGGAAGTCAATTGAGCAGTACGGTCCCAACCGTCACTGCAATGGACCACCACCGAGGTTTTGCCCGACTCAATTCTGTCAGCTATTCTCACGGCTCCGGCAAGAAGCATCTTTTAGAAAAAAAAGAGAAGAAAAACCCACCCAGGTTAAAAATCTTCCGGTGCAGGATATTCTGTCAGAAAAAGGCATCTTGGTGATGCTCAACTCTCTAAAACAGTGGTTCTCAACCTTTTTAATGCCGCGACCCCCAACCGGTTGTAAGTCGAGGACTACTCAACTGGTGCAGCACCGTTTGCAGAATGGGACTTTTGGCGGGCTCAGCAGGGCAGAGACAGCTTGGACAATTCCTATTGGCTTTTGAAAGCCAATAGAATTAGACTCTATTCAAGAGAGTCTATTCTATTGGCTTTCAAAAGCCAATAGAATAAAAGGGAGTAGCACAGCTAAAGAAAAGGGGGAAAAAATGGCAGACTGCGTTGTTTGGCGACCCCCGTGAAATGGTCGTTCGACCCCAAATGGGGTCCCGACCTACAGGTTGAGAACCACTGCTCTAAAAACTGGGGTGTCCAACCTTGGCCACTTTTAAGACTTGTGGACTTCAACTTCCAGAATTCCCCAGCCAGCTGTTCTGACTAGAGGCTTCCGGAAATTGAAGTCCCCAAGTCTCAAAGTGGCCGAGGTTGGACCCCTCTGCTCTAAAATAATTACTTCGATAGGATATAAAAATCTTTCCGGGTGGAGATTTGAGGCAGCCTACAGGGAAGCATAAGCACAATGTGGCCCCACTTTCCATCAATTACCCGTATGTATTCCAGCCAGTGTGTACTCTCCACGTTGGACAGCCACCGGGATTCATCAATGACGGGGTAAACAATTTCTTTCAGTTTGCGCAGCGATTCCCTCATCACGTGGATATTCGGGATTTCCAAGAAGATCAACTCCACGTTGGGATAGGCGCTTTCGCTTTCGTACCCGCCGCCTTTGGCCTGAAAATACAGTGGGTTCCCATCATTCCTCTGCGTTACGCTGAGAAGCAGTTTGGTCTAGTGGTTAAGGCGCCAGGCTAGAAACCAGGAGATGGTGAGTTCCAGTCCTGCTTTAGGCATGAAAGCCAGCTGGTTGACTTTGGGCCAATCACCAGGAGAGAGAGAGTTCTAGTCCCGCCTTAGGCATGGAAGCTGGCTGGGCGTGCCAAGCAACAGGAGGTGAGTTCTAGTCCCGCCTTAGGCATGAAAACCAGCTAGGTGATTTTGAGCCAGGGACACTCTCTCTCTCCTCCCAAACACCTTACAGGTTGTTGTGGGGCGAATAGGAGGAGTATTAAGTACGCTGACTACCTTGAGTTATTGATAAAAATAATACAGTGGGATAAAAATAAATATATGATAGAAAGCGTTTGACAATTTGACCTTTTACTTTTAAACCAGCTTGCTTTTTTTGGCTTGCTGAAGCTCCTTTAACCTCCTCCTCTGGTGTGACTCCTACCTTGTTGGCATCTGCAACGCTGTTTTGCCTGGCGTCAAAGATGAATAGCTTGTGAGACTGAGCGTTGGCATCCATGATGGTTTGTAAGTACTTCTCATCTTCTTTGCACTGCTTGTCGTTCGGCCCAACGAGAGGCTGGCTGCATCTGGTGAGGGTGGCCTGGCTCTCTGGGTGGATCCAGGATAACACCTAGATTAAGAGCAGAGATCGGAGGGCGGGCGAGAAGAGAAAGAAACCAACTAACTTATAAATAAAGCCCTTGCTGACATCTGCTCTATTAAATGGGATATATTAAGAAGAGGCAATTAACCAACTGGAAGCAATCAGATACAAAATAGCAAGAATAGAACAGAATAACAGAGCTGGAAGGGACCTTGGAGGTCTTCTAGTCCAACCCCCTGCTCAGGCAGGAAACCCTATACCATTTCAAACAAATGGCTGTCCAATCTCTTCTTGAAGACTTCCAGGGATGGAGCACCCACAACCTCTGGAGGCAGGTTGTTTCACTGTTTAATTGTTCTAACTGCCTGGAAATTTCTATTTAGTTCTTGATAGAGTTGTAGTGGAGCAATTGTTAGAATACAGCAGTGCAAGCTGACTCTGCCCATAGCCAGGAGTTCGATTCTGACCGGCTCAAGGTTGACTCAGCCTTCCATCCTTCAGAGGTTGGTAAAATGAGGACCCAGATTGTTGGGGCCAATAAGCTGACTCTGTAAACTACTTAGAGAGGGCTGTAAAGCAGTGTGAAGCAGTATATAAGTTGAAGTACTATTCTTCCTCCACTTTTAAAACCCACTGTGTCTTCTTTCAACCCAGATTTCCTTAATAGAGATTCAGCATAAAGCCTTCAAGAGAGAGATCTGGTTTATTTTCTTCCTCAAATTAGGCATTCCTGAAAACACGTCGGCTACGGTATGAGGATGCGATGAAATTTGACATCAACATTTCAGTTTTGAGTATGAATCTTACTTACTGGAACTCTGCCTTTCGCTCTAAACGCAGCCACGCGGGAGAGATCTTCGTCTTTGACGCTGGTTGGCACAACAAGAACGGCAGGATATGTGTCACAAAATTCATACATGCTGTTAATTTTGGATATTTTCCAGCTCTCGTTGGGTAAACCCTGCATTGAAACAAAACATTTTTATATATACATCAAATTCTGATATGACATACTGACTGTGGAATCCCCGAGGAATGAATCATAACCGAATTGTGATAAATAATTAAGTACAGTGCTGATTTTTTTTTCTGGATTAAAATTACACAAATGCAAGCATGTTTGGGAACACAGCTTAAAGTTTGAAATTTCTGGTGCGTATATTAAACACGTTTACACCTGTTATTTTCCCTTTTCTTAAGGCATCATGTTAATGTATTGTATCCATTTGGCTCTATTGTATACTGTAAACAATCTTGAGTATTTTGGCAGAGAATTGACACTCAAATGTAGATACTTATTATGATCGTTTTCCTATAGTTAGAGAAACAGTATGTTCCTTGGGCCTGTACTTATTGCCTATATGTGCTTAGCCTTCAAACTAGAACATGTATATGCGCCTTTGTAATAAAAGCTTATGCAGTTCACATAATATAAGTCCAGAATTGCTTGATGGTGAGATGGGAGGCCTATACATTTAATAAATGAAATAGATAGGGATCTACCGATCAACCCATTCACATGGTTTCTACTTCATAGGAAGAAACGGGATTAGCTTTCATGCTGTTTTTAACTTGAAGTACCTAGTACCTGGATGAATGAAAAGATGCACAAACTTACTAGATAAATTTTACCCCTCTAAATTGATAAAGTATACTTGCAGTTGAGAAGGTCTTGGTGCTCTCAGAGCTTGGTCCTCCCAAAGGTGCTTTTTCAAGAGGCAACTGGACTTTCTTATTTTTCCTTGGTTTTGCTTCTCATCCAAGAATCTTCTTCAGTTCAAAACTGAAGAAGCTTCTTCGATGAGACGCGAAAGGTCTTCAAAGAAAAACAAGAGAGTCCAGTTGCCTCTTGAAAAAGGACCTTTGGGACAACCAGGATCTGGATGATGGAGAATCTCCATAGACATCTGAGCTTGGTTGTTTTCTTGTAGAATTCAGGGGTAGTCAACCTTGGCTCTTTTATGAGTCATAAAAGAGCCAAGGTTGACTACCCCTGTTGTAGATGTTTCATGACCAAACCAGGCAGAATCATCAATGCTGGTCATCTAATAACCAAGTTACTTAATGTGGCAATGTTACCTAGTTTGGTCATGAAACATCTGGAAGAGAGCACCAAGGACCCCTCATTTTGACCCTGAGCTACAGTTATTATTCTTCTTGATACTTGTAGTTGTGCCTTCGCAAAGGGATCAGAGGCCAGAAGGATCTGAAACTAAGGACCAAGAGGTTCAAAGAGAGTCCATCTGAAGCTGGATAGACCTTCCACCCAGTCTGTTCAAAAACTTTGGCTCCAATTTATGAGCATTCATCCATCAACCCGTCATTTCTAGACTTCGGTTCAAGAGTTCTACATCCTCCCTGGGATGAAGAAAAGGACTTGGTCTACGTGGCCAAAGAATACAACGGGGAGGGCATCGTTTTATTGCAAATGTGTTAGGGGTGCATGTGTCTCTATGCAGAACGCTCGATGCTGGGTGATATTCAAAACATGAAAACCTATCGGACTTACCTGTCTTTTATACTCCGCCACCGGATCATAAACCTTCCAACCATTTGTAGGAAATTTCTCTTTGTAACTGAATGCAAAGAATGGCTGGATGCAAGGAAAGAAAAGCACAAGAGGTTAGGGGGTCACTGAAGTTCATTTTGGGATCCCCCTACAGGGATTTAATTCTGAGAATTAGGAATGGTGCTACCTGCCAGCAAACTGAACTACTCAAACTCATTTTTAACTTTGCAAGTAACCCTTGGCTTACAACCGTTCGTGGCTTATGACCGTTTTTCGCATTGACGACTACTGCAGCATCCCCGTGGTCACGTGATCAAAATTCAGAGGCTTGGCAACTGACTCGTATTTATGACGGTTGCAGAAGGCCCTTTTGCGACCTTCTGATAAGCAAGCTCCATGGGGGAGGCCGATTCACTTAACAACCGTGTTACAAGTTCCAATATCTCAGGGACTGCCCCAAAGAAGAAGGAGTCAAGCTGTTCTCCAAAGCACCTGAAGGCAGGACAAGAAGCAACGGATGGAAACTCATCAAGGAGAGAAGCAACCTAGAGCTAAGGAGAAACTTCCAAACAATGAGGACAATTTACCAGTGGAACAACCTGCCTCCAGAAGCTGTGAATGCTCCAACACTGTAAGTCTTTAAGAAGAGACTGGACAGCCATTTGTCTGAAATGGTGTAGGGCAGGGATAGGCAACCTGGGCTCTTTTATGACTGGTGGACTTCAAGTCCCAGAATTCCTTGAGCCAGCCAGGCTGAGGGGAAAGGGAGAGGTTTCCAAGCTGTGCCATGCTGGCTCAGGAATTCTGGGAGTTGAAGTCCACGAGTCATAAAAGAGCCAAGGTTGCCTACCCCTGATATAGGGTTTCCTGCCTCAGCAGGGGGTTGGACTAAATGACCTCCAAGGTCCCTTCCAACATTATTAATATTATTATTATTCACTTAACAACTGCAGTGATTCATTTAACAATTGTGGCAAGAAAGGTTGTAAAATGGGGCAAAACTCACTTAACAACTGTCTCCCTTAGCAGCAGAAACTTTGGGTTCCACTGTGGTCGTTAAGTCGAGGACTACCTGTGTTCCTTTTTGCAGAAATCATTAACTGGCATAACCTATTCCCACTCAAGGCAGAAACCTTATTCTCCCCGCAGCTGTTATGTGCAAAATTAATCTACTGTACTGACATCTGTAATATTTTTAAGCTTTGTGATTATGAAAAAAAATCAGTATATTTAGATTCCCTCGCTCTTCCTCGTGTGTTTTCCCATGGCTAGGAACTTTTTGTTGATGCTTACCAGCCCGTGAGAAAGAGGAAACGCTCGGGTAACCAGGTTCTGAAGAATCTCCAGTCTATGCTCTTCCTGTTTGTAAGCGAGCCGCAGGTTTCTCATATCCTGTTGTCAAAAGAGATCTTTAGGTCTGACTTGTTGTATATAAAAAAAAATTACAGCACTTTACAAAGATGGAACTTTAAGCATTTTGCATTGGCGATTCTCGCTAGAGAATATCATGTTTAATTTATGCCGTGGGCACAGTAGAATTCCATCCTAAACTTTTGATTTCTAGGACAATAGCTATAGAGCAGCTTGGTGAAGTTGGTGCTCAAATGGATCGCAACAAACAAACTGATAAGTTGATCGGACCATCCCAAAACAAGGAACGGACATCTCCCTGACAAAATGAGATTCTTTCCAGCCTTTTCTTTTAAGATGGAAAAAGAAGCACATGAAATCACTTGTCTGAGATGGTATAGGTCAGGGGTAGGCAACTTTGGCTCTTTTACGACTCATGGACTTCAACTCCCAGAATTCCTGAGCCAGCCATGCTGAACATACTTCCTCAATATCCAACCTGTACCTTGCAAACAATCTCTATACCGCACGAATTGTCTCCGTGGCTCTGGACTCCAATCTTTTCAACTCTACTTATTACTCCGAGGGGAACGTCAAGCACAAAATGTGGATCCTGAAATTTTGAGTGAAAAAGAAATAAAAATAAAAAGTTTTTAAAAACGCACCACGGGTAAATATTTAACATTCTAACAGCTAGGACAAGACAAAATGGATTCATCATGTAACATTGAAAACCAATATTATTTTGCTTCCCTCGTGGTTTTTTTCACTCATCTAGAAATGATTGTTTTCCTGGTTTATAAGGATTTAAAAGCAAGAGAGAAAGAGCAAAAGGGTAAACAAGACTGAAATAATTAGAGAGGTCTTGTGTTATCCCATCACAAGATCCATTCTTTCCTAAGCTCTTGTTTTTAAGGTTTTTAAAAAGAGACTAGATAGTGACATATCTGAAATGGTATAGGTTCTTCTACTTGAGCAGGGGGCTGGACTAGAAGACCTCCAAGGTCCCTTCCAGCTCTATTCTATTCTAATTCTAATGGTGGCAGGACATGTCAGCTCACTGCGGCCTCTATCCTTAGTTTATATGTTCATAAATTTTGGATGGCAAAAAGTGTTAAGAGCAAAAAGGCTCTAGAACGATGTTTCTCAAACGTGGCATCTTAACGGGGCAGCTGAAGTTTATGCCTTTTGAAATCGCCAAGCTTGAAAGACTGCTTTGGAAAGAAAACACAAAATGGGCAATAACGGAACGAAGACTCACCCTCTCAACGTTCTTGAAATACATTTTGTAATCCGTCACTGTCAACGTGCCACTGATGGCTCCGATGAATGGACAGATATAGACCACATCTTTAGCTGAGAAAAAAAGGTGACACTTTATCAGTGCTTACATCCCTTTATTGAACACTCTTTCACGCAAGACATGACCTCAGCTTTCAAATCCCAATTTGAATATGGCATTAATGGGTGGAATAAAGTCCTTTTGCACGGCAAGGTACAATAAAGGGGTTTTTTTTAAAAAAAATCTTCCATGGCCCTTCCTTTTACAGTTTTGTATTTTTATAGTAGGAAAGTTAAAAAAAAAAGAAAGACCAAGCTATGCCAATTTTATGAAACGCTAAAGGCACAGGGATTCCCATTTCAAACAATTAAATATTTAAGCACAGATGATGTCTTAAATTTTAATTGTATACAAAATATGCATTAATTGTATATAAGATCCATGCAAAATATGGATGGAATGAAAGAGCCTGGTACAGTCCTTAAATATTTTTTTATTTCCTTCCACATAAGTGGCTTTCTATTTCTGATATTACTACAGAGCAAGTACACTATTATAGCTAGTATTATGTTGTTCTACCATCACTGTTGAGCAAATAATCTCCAGCCAGGGAAAACTTGAAGACCTGTGGCCTTCAACTCCCAGAATTCCCCAGCCAGTCAGTCTGGGGAAATAGCAAATGCATTATAACCAGCTCACTTTTATGCCAAAGGTGTTTTTCCAAAAGGCAACTGGATTTTCTTTTGAAAACCTTTCCCTTCTCATGCAAGAAAGCTTCTTCAGTTCAGCTTCTTGCATGAGAAATGAAACATTTTCAAAAGAGAAAAAATAAACAAAGGAAGTCCAGTTGCCTTTTGGGAAAAAGCACCTTTGGGACAACCCTGACCTGGAGGATGGAGGATCACCACAGACATTCAGCTTTACCTTTAATTTTTCAGTGGACTTTCAGACAGGAAAAGAGACGATGGCCAGCATTTCATTTCAAAGTATCGGAACATTATCACAATTTTTTTTAAAAAAGAAAACCTACAACAAAACATGGGAGGTGAAACTGCTGAGCAGTTAAGTATCTGTGGGATTACACTCCAGACATCCATCTCAGGGCTTGCTTAATTCTATGTTAATTTGTAATTAAAATTCTTTTCAGGCGGATCCGCCTATTGTGTTCAGCGATGGCGAGAGGCTGGCTTGGGCTGAAGGGATTAAGGATTCAAGATGAAATCTTGCAGCCGAGTCGAACCGCGTTCTGGAAGGTATCAAACCGCAAGGGAGATGCCAGCCTGTGACATTTAGCCGCCCACTAGGACACAGGGGGCATCTTTTAAGGGTCCCACTTACCAATGGCTTTGATGGACTCTCCCGGAAAGAGCGGTGCTTCTTCCATCTGGGCCAGCTTGTTTCCATCCCTCAATGCCTGGCAGAGATCCAAAGGCAGAAATTAAATTTCAGGTCTCATCTGCACAGCTTTCAGCGGAAAACCCACTGCAAGTTGCTTGGACTAGGAAGTTACAGAAGCCACACAAATTATAGCTTTTTTTTTTCTTTCTCCAAGCAGATCACGTCAACACTGCAGGGGACAGGGTGGGGGGTGGGGGAGACACTTGTTTGCACAGACAAGGAGCCAGGAGATCACAGGATCCTGCCACTTGGGTACCAGTTCACCACCACTACTCTGGTCCTGTGATCGGCTACGGCCGATCTGGCTAAGCGGGGTTTTCGTTGAGCGGGATGAGGAAGGGGTTATGCTAAAGTTACCCATGTGGTACACCTCATTGCAAAGGAAAGTCTTTCTGGATGTAAGATTTCGGAAGGGAATGGATTCCCAAGCAGGGGTAGGTGAGGAGATGGTGTCATGGTGGCCGATCGTAGATCTCTGGGCCTTCATCAAGGCAGGTTAAATCTGTCCAGGTTGTACAGAGCATTCACGAGCCCAGACGGCTTTGCTCTTGATGACACGTTGACGAAGCAACAAGGGTTGAGTGGCAAAACATTTACACCAAAGTCAGACTGATTATCCCAGAAGCGTGTACAAAGGTTGTAAGCTCCTACGGATCTAAAAGGCTTCGGGAAAGGGAGGCAGTGTTGTTTAGTCAAGCTTCATAAGGGCTCCTCACCTGCTAGAAGTCTTAAGAGATCAAATGTGTACTGGAAGACGGTCCCTCTTTCATCCTGAGATGCCAGGATACCCTCTTACCAGCATCGTATGGAATTGATAATGGAGGAAAGAAGGTTTCCGGGACCTTATGGCAAAATTCAAACACCCGTAGCTGTCCTCTCTGTCTCGTGGCTACAAGGAGCCCTCGACTTATGACTATCGTTGAGCCCAAAATTGTCCATCGCTAAGCGAGACAGCTATGGGACGTTCGCCCCGTTTTATGACCATTTTTGCCACAGTTGTTAAGTGGGTCGTTGCAGTTGTTAATAACAGTGCTGTTAAGTGAATCTGGTTTTCCCCCATTGACTTTGCTTGTCACGAGATCGCAAAAAGGGGATCACGTGACTCTGGGACACTGCGCGACCGTCATAAATCTGAGCCAGCTGCCAAGTGTCTGAATTGTGATCCCGTGATCCTGGGGATGCTGCAACGGTCATAACTGTGAAAAACGGCCATAACTCACTTTGTTCGGTGGCGTTGTAACTTCAGTCGCTAAACAAATGGTTGTAAGTCGAGGACCAGATCTACTCAAAAGTTCAAAGTCCCTTGGGGAGTCAGGCTAGCTAGCCCTGGTTAACCCCCCCCCCCCAGGAATTTGGCAGGAATTTATTTGCTGGGGTCTTCAAATTCGCAGCCCTTGTTGTGTTTTCGTGTTTCAACTTCTCTGTTTGGTTGTCAAGCTCTTGAGCAACAGGTTGAGAAAACCCCAAAACGTTTGCCCTTTTCCAACGCCCCAAGGAAAAGACCGGCTGTTAAGTTAGGGAACGAAATAGGAGTATAAATATAAACCTGATCGACTTCTGCGTCAGAAGGATAACCATTGCGTCCATCCTGAATCTCCTGAATTGCAAGGTTGCAGCAGTGGCAAGCAGAGAAGTGAGAGGAGGAAAAAACATGCACAGAATAGGTGAAAGGACAGAATGTTTTTGGGTTGTTGTTTTTTTTTGCAAAAAAGAAACAGTAGATACTTTAACATCAATGCACTTGGCCAGCTTTCTCACACCTTCCTAAATCTAATGCAGTAAAGCCTATATATATTGGCACCTACGAAACCGGTTACTTTGGTTAAAACAAAACAAAACAAACAAACAAACAAAAAAGGAATGAACAGGAACGCATGCATTCCTGCCCTTCTAAGAGGCAGCCTCGACCTCAAGTATGTCCTGTCCTTTTGACACGAGAAATCTTTAACCTTTCAAACAGAAAAAAAAGGCAAAATGCAGAGGAAAAAGTAGCCCGCATGCGTAAAACAACAGAAGAAAACGGATTACAGCACAACTCGGTAGCAGAAACAGAAACCATGCAATAATCTGAAGTTTAAACAATGACGTTTCCCTTCCCTCATTTGGTTCCATTGAAGCAATTTTGCTAAGAATGCAATGCAACTGTCTGATTAATACAGAGATTTTGTGCGACGCTCAGGGCAATGTGCCAGGCTTTGGCGGCAACCGGTTCCGATTGCCTAATTAAAATGTCAGCTTGAAATGATTCTGCACACCTCCCAGAGCTGTGTCAATCCATGAGTGATGCTATATCGCTGTTCCTCAAACACCTTTGAGAACTTACTTCCAGGTCAACTGAGGTCTCAGAGCAGGGATCTCCAATCTTGGCAGCTTTTAAGACTGGTGGATTTCAACTTCCAGAATTTGGGAATTTATTCTGGGAATTAAAAGTCCACAAGTCTTAAATTTATCAAGGTTGGAGACCCCTGTCTGAAAGCAAACATGGTGCAGAAAGCTTTGAAGAGCTTCCTCTAGAGCAGGAGTCGCAAAGTCCAAACATGGCTGGCTGAGGAATTCTGGGAGTTGAAGTCCATAAGTCCTAAAGTTGGCAAACTTGGTGATGCCTGCTCTAGAGCTGCAGAAAGGGTTGTCCTTTTGACCAGACCTCTCTCTTTCCCCAGCTTTGAATGTCTCCTTATTCTGTCCACCTAAATGTCCATGTTTTGTTAGGGAACTAAAAAAAACCTGGATAAATTCCATAGCTAGTCTCATCTAGGTCTCTTTCATTCGGAAAGCAGTATTCATTTGATCTTCAAATAGTCAGCAGCCAACTCCAGAAGGTTAAGGTAGATTGCGCTTTTAAAATATTATTTAAAAAAGCAGAATTGAGCTGCTGTGTTTAAGTCTTGTCTGTCAGAGATGAAGTGCCTGGGATTTAGCAGAAGATCTGGCAAGAAAAAAGAAGCTAGAAAGAGTTGGCTGAAGGCTTAACAATCAAATAGGGAGATGAGGAAAAAAAAATGTGAACACTGTGCAATATGTAACTGAAATAAAAACCTTGCCTTTTACAAATAAAAACTTAGAGCAGTATTTTTGTGGCAATGGTTTCCACCTTGATACTTTATTTTAAGGTTCCCTATATGAATCGTAGTTATTGTATGGTTAAAGCAGATAGTAAGTAGTCCAGGTTTTTTTTTCCTTCTTTTTATGCATTTCTTGCTTGTCTATTTGATAATTTGAAAGAGGAGCACTTTCTGGGAAAGCAAAGCAAAGCAAAAAAGAATGAATCCCTATAGAGATTCTCAGTCATCCAGGTCATAGTTATCCCCAAGGCAACTGGAGTTTGTTTTTCCTTGAAAAGACTTCGCTTCTCGTCCAACTAGCTTCAGCAGAACCGAAGAAGCTTCTTGGATAAGAAGTGAAACCTTTTTAAGGAAAAACAAAAGTCCAGTTGCCTTTTGAAAAGCACCTTAGGGATACCAAATGAATCTGTTTTAACAATCTGGGAGCCACTGCAGTGGTAACCACCTCAGATCCTTGAGTTAGACTCCCTCTCCGAAGAGTTTGACAATCAAGCTTGTGTAAACGGAGGCATGAATTGGCCTCTTTGTTGACACACAGACTAAATTAAGGTTTCCCTTAGACTTTTCTTTCCAACCACTTGAGCACGCTGCATGCCTTACGGCTGCAAATATTATCCCCTGCAATCTACAGCATGTAAGTGTCAGCTGGGAGGATCCATTTTGTCAAAATTAATAGGATAAAACGTACGTTGCCTTTCCTTGCCTTTCCAACGTAAGTGAAAGAGATGCACACTCCTACTCTGATTTTTATCGTTCACAAAAAACTGGAATGTATATGTAACACTTCCATGGCAAACAAGCTGTTATGCTGCGTAGCGAGATGGCCCAGCAGCTTGAAAAACGATCATTAATGAAGTCAAGAAGAACAAACACCAAGGCACATCAAGTTCTGAACACAACAGAAAAAAAAAAAAATACACAAACAGGAAAGAGTCTAACTTGCTGATAGCCACATATATTCTTACCCTTATGGTGGGCTTCCTGTACACCTGTTAGTTAAAATACAGATATTATCCAACAAATTATAGATTGAAATAGATTTTAGGCAAAGCCACCTTCATTCAGATGTTTTCAGAAGCCCAGTGAGGACCCTGTATCTACACGGCCACTTATTACAAGATTGATGAATTACAAGATGAATGAATCAAGGATCTTCAAATAACCAACCGTCCTTCCCTTCTATCCCCAAAATTGTGGAATCTCATCCCTTAATTTTTTGTAGGTGTTGACAAAAAATATCAAGAGAATCAGAAGCATAAACAAGACCAGAAAGTGAAATATCTAGTCAGCATAATTGGGATAATAGTATTTAAAAAATGCAATTATTTCACTGATTTTTTTTTTTAAAAAACTGTCATTAAAAGAAAAGCAAAGGTAAGGTGCAGATTTTAACATGGATGCACAACTACTTTCATTCCTTCCACACTTGTTATTCTCAGGAAACAAGCAGCACTGAAATATTCAGATTTATTCTGCATAATTAAATAATAATCTACCACTATTGGGTAGACTCCTGAATAAATTTAGGCAACTCTTTAAGCTCTGATCCCTTCAGTCAGGTAATTAATTTAACAAGACCCAAACGTAGGACTAACATTTATGGTCTCAATGCTATTTCATCATTGTATATTTATTTGTTCTTGATTGTACCATCCTAACAAAATGCGAGAAGTAAATATAATTTTTCAGGAACTCTAATGGCAGAGTTTGACTCAGACTGGAGACCATTTAACAAATGTCTCGCTTAGCGACATAAATTTTGGCCTTGATTTGTACTATTGACGAGATGCATTAAATAAGTTAAGACAAAAACTCACCCGGTATTCTCTGGATACGTTGTCCGAGAGGACAGAGCCTGAAATTTGGCTAGAAATCGTAGCAGCAATGAGTTGCTTGCACCACTCAACGTGGGACCCTGTAGGGCTAGAAAAGGAGAAAGAACAGGTATTTTGACTTTCTAAAAACGGCTTTATAGCTAGACACATACTCCTTGACGTACAACAAGCATTAGTTTTGTGACTGTTGGAAGTTACAAGTGCGCTGAAAAAAGTGAGTTATGACAGTTTATCAAACTTACAACCATGTCCCGGAGGTCCTGCAATCCCTTTTTGCAACCTTCCCCCCAGCAAAGTCAATGGGTGCAGTGCACTGCAGTGATTCACTTAACAACGGTGGCAGGAAAGATCGTAAAATGGGACTAAACTCACTTAACTATGGTTTAGCAAGGGAAATGTTGGACTCCATGGTGGTCCTACTCCGAGGACCACCTGGCCTTATTTTGTGAACTCCGACAAAGGCAGCACATTCAAAAGGAGCATTTTGAAAAATAGCCTTTTTCTCCAACTCTCCCTCATGCCCACCCCAGAGCCCCCCCTTCCCAGCCCAGATGGACTACAAGCCCCATCAACCTTCCCCAAAGAGCTCTCCCCACCAACCTGGACTACAAGCCCCATCAACCTTCCCCAAACAGCGACCCTCTACCCCCCCACCAGCTGCTCTGGGCTATAACCCCCCCCCTCCTCAAGGCAATGCCAACTCCAGACTGCCGGCGGGGGACCACAAAACTCATCATGCCCAGAGGCCCAACTCCAGCACTCTGCACCTCCTCCCCCCCCCCAGAGCCGCTTCCCCTTCTCCCCCTCATGCCAGCCCCGGACGACCACAAAGCCCATCTTGCCCCGCCCGGGGGGCGGCCGGCAGAGGAGGGCGACCCCCGCCAGGCCCGGTTGCGCGCCATGGGTTCTGGAGTCGGCCCGGCGCTCGCAGGCCCGGCCTCCCCGGCCCGCCTCACCTGTCGGCTGGCTGCTCGGCGCCAGGCGAGGCCGGGGCTGCGGCTATGGGGGCCGCCAGGCGGGAGGGCCGACGGGCCGGGACCCCGGGCTCCGACGCCCCCGGCCCGACGCCCAGCGCCGCCACCGGCCTGCCGCCCTCCATGTTGGGCGCGCCCGCCGCCGCCGCCGCCGCCTCTTCCGCGCCCGGGCCGGAGACGGAGGGGCCGCGCCAGGCGCTCCGGGCCGGGCCGGGCCTCCTCGCCGCCCTGACGCCGAAGCTGAAGAGGGGCAGGCGTAAAGGGCGGGCGTGCAAGGCCGGGGAATGGAAGTGCGAGTGTGAGTGCAAGAATGGAGAATGGAAAAGGTGTGTGGGTGTGCAAGGCTGGGGCCAATGGGGAAGGCGAGTGTGCAAGGCTGGGGAATGGAGGTATGTGGGTGTGCAAAGCTAAGGAGTGTAAGTGTGGCTGTGCAAAATTGGGGAAAAAGAAGAGCGAGTGCGAAGGCAAGACTGGACAATGAAAAAAGTGTGTGGGTGTGCAAGGCTGGGGAAGGAGGAAGTCGAAGTGTGCAAGTCTGGGGAATAGAGATGTGTGGGTGTGCAAGGCTGGGAAAGGGTGAGTGTGCAAAGCTGGGGAACAGAAGTGGGTAGGTAAGCAAATCTGGGGAACAGAAGTGGCTGTGCAAAGCTGGAGAAGTGCGGGGGTGGGAATGGCAAGGCTGGGGCCAATTGAGCAGGTGGTTGGGTCTGCAAAGCTGGGATGGGAAAGGTTGTGCCAAGCTGGGGAATGGGAAAGTGGGTGTGCAGAAGGGGAAAACGTGCAAGGGTGGGTATGCAAAATTGGGGAATGGACAGTGCTTGTGCCAAGCTGGGGGAAATGGACAATGTTGGTGTGGGATGTAATGCTTATATTCCCATTTTTAGGCAAAAAGGTCATGAGGGACTCCACATCCCGTGTGCCTTCGCCTCGTTTTGGTCACTCCTATGCTTTTAGCTGTGGTTGGGACAATGATGGCTTCACGGGATACTGGATTCCTTGGCGGCTTTGCATGTCAACGGTGACCCTTGTTGCCACTTTCCAAATCGGTAGACTTCAACTCCCATCGCCCCCAGCAAGGAATTAAGGGCAGCAGCCGCGCAAGGAATGCGTATCCTGGACCTTTCCCATCCTAAATCAGCAAATCCAGGGGACTGATGCCCTCCCCCCACCCCAAGCCAGTGTATAACTTACAGGAAAGAAATCAGAAAAAAAAAAATAAGTGATTTGATTTTTATTTCATATGAATTAAGCCAGTCTTTTTTTTTTAAATGAGCATTTTCACCAAGTTACATTTTTCCCCCAAACAACATTAAATTCTCTAGAAATCAAGACCCAGCAATGCCTTGGTGAAATGCAAGTAATGAAAAAGGCAAGGCATTTTAAACCCCTTTAGTTTAATTTCCTCCCCCAAACGGTTGACAGCTATAGTGTTTTACTTTGTAAAAACAAACGTGTCTTAATTCATTCACCCCAGTCCAAAGGAAACAAGTATTTCTTGTAGATTTACCACCAACACAAAATTTTAGGGTAGCAAGGAAAAAATGAGATGTCTTATAACTTTCAAGCAAGCAAATGACAGTTATGTTTGAGTCTGCGTAGCTTTTCGGTTTTCTGCTCTAACGTTTAAAATAGAATGATGGGTTACGTCTGAGTTTTTTGTGATTCAAGTTACATATTTCATTTCTCCAACTCGCTTCCCTTTAGCAAAGTACCCATTGATAGGTGCAATAAAACGTAGAAGACCAAAGCATCACCAAAGAATGATATTTTAGAGGACAAACATGAAAAAGGAAAATAATTCATGCTCTAGCTAGCTGAAATTACTAAGTATTTTAGTCTATCCCTGAAGAAATAGTGCAAATTTCTTAGTATACAATTTTATTCTATTAATGTGCTCCATTTACTCTTATACTGAAAATATACTATTCCTAAAATATTCCAATGTCCTCTAAAACTAAGAAATTTATAATATTTTGGAGTTTGACTTTAAACTTTAGAATCATATTATTTACACTTTACAGAAAAGACTTCCTATCCTTAATTTACACATTTATCCTATAATTTCTGCCTTATAATTTGCAGATCAAAACTTACATATGAAGTAATTTACACATGGTAACCCCCCCATCCCAATACTTTTAAAATAAATCATGTTAGCTACAAACTGTCCTCACAAATCCTATGTTTCAGTTGTTCTGAAATGACCAAATACCACTTTAAAAGTTTATATCCTAAGCAAAATAGGTATTAAAAGATCAAGTCACAGGGGTTGTGCTGATTATACAAGTGCTCAGTTAAGTTACGCTTTAAAAAGATTCCTGAAAGGAACAAATCATAAAATTTGACAGAAGACCAACACAATGACCAAAAAGGAAAAAAAAAAAAAGCCCCACCCTGCAAATTTTAAATGTAGGGATCGGACAACTTAGTGGACTCCAGATATTCCACACAATCTGTTGCTGCTAGCAATATTATCTGGGGCTAATAGCAATCAAAGTGCAAAGCATCAGGAGGAAAATTCCAAGTTGTTTTACCCCTGATTTAAGTTTTTTTTTCAGTGCACAAACTTTCTGCAAATTGTTTTAATGTATTTCAGGAAAGACAAATCTATTATAGAATGTCAGTCACACAGTTATGCTCACGCACACACGCACACATGCAACAAACACCTCCCTTCATTTCAAAAATTAAACGTTAATCTGCTCTGTAGATAAGGCTATCGCTTAACAGGCACACGTGTTCAGGAAAGTTTTCGGTTGCTGGTTGCTCGCTGTTGTGAATGCTGTCACCTTATGCATTAAAAATGGCCTCTGATCGGAGAATTGTTCCTTGAGGCCAGACTGTCTTGCAAGTGGTCTAGCTTTAAACTCTCCTCTCCAATCACCCGCATAGACGGGTGATTCAGAAGGTCCATGCTGACCCAGACGGAGATGCAGCTAAGCCTCAGCGAGGTAACACTCTGGAGATGGACAATGAAATCACGCTTCTTCCCCAAATGGCAATTAGTACTGAAACCGCTAGCTAAATATATTTGGATGCTCCAAAGTAAACGACAACAGAACAAAACAACGCTTTAGGATAGTGGGATAGCATGTTCCCCGGCGAAAGATTTCCAAAGGCACGTAAATCCACTTTTAAAAAGCTCCCCTGGTTTCAGATACTCTCCGCAGGGGCAAGCGTTCTGGAAGAAGCTTCAGATAAGGCATTGTAGTTTTCCTTTCGTGTCCCGCACATCTGAACGAGCACCGTTTTCGGATAAAAGAGTGACACTTCTCTCTTTCTCCTTCAAAAGTGAGTTTGCACATGCGACATCATCTGGGAGGAGGAGGAGGAGGAGGAGGAGGAGGAAGAGGAAGAGGAGGAGGAATTGGACAATTTGGGGTTGCTTGTGATTTGCAACTCTTCCAGCCGCTTCATGTAATCATCACGCAGGGCTAGAAGTTCCATGTAACGCTGTTCCACTGGGTTGGGCTGCTAAACAAAGTGAAAAGGTCTTAAAATGACAAGAGTTTGGCCATATACAACTCCCCCCCCCAGGAGAAACTGACTTCCCAACACTCCCAATGCATTTATTCCATGAATTTTGACAAGTAAGAAAAGGATAAAGGGCATTAACCAGGATACAGAGAGGGCTGCTTAACGGTGAACATGTTGCTGATTCCTGCTGTGATTTTCTGCCTTTTTTTTGAAAGCTTCAGCTTCTCAGTGAATCACATGATCATTAAGCGAATCTAGCTTTTGGCGATCACGGGATCCCAGGACGCTGCAATCCCCGTAGTAAATATATGCGAGCTGCCAAGGACCCAAATTTTGATCATCTGTGGGAATGCTGCAACGGTCATAAACAGGAGGACTGATGGTGATTTTTATTTTTTCAGTGCTGTTCTAACTTTGAACAGCTCACTAAGCAAATGGTTGTAAGCCAAGAACTAGCTGTAGTATCCTGGAATAAGCCAGGATGGTTCGGCGTATGCTGCCAAACTCAGGAATCTGGTTTGCGGCACCCCTTGCAAGGTAAACAAGAATGGAACAAAGGGAGGGGTTTACGTAAAACAAACCAGAAGTCGTACTAGAGGGAAGAGCGAATTGTGTACGAATTACAGATTGCACTGATTGGATTTTTCGAAGCATAACATCTCATTGGCCCTCTCTGCTTTCCCGTCCTTTAAATGAGAGTTTATCCAATACGCCTTTGCCCTCCCACCCTGAAGAAGCATAAAGGGGGCCTAAGGAATTCACCTGCCCTAAAAGGCTTAATGCTCCTAGTTCAAACATTCTTGGTCGCTACAGCCTTTGCCTAACGCTGTTTTTCTCCAGTAATCTCAGGTCTTGCTCTGCATCCCTTTCAAATTGCTCCTTTTGAGTCCCGCAAACATCTTCAGAACCAACATTAAGCCAGGAGGACACGCTGGCCTTTCTTCCCCGATGCCGGCCTGCTGTCAACAGCCTGAAAGGCCCATTGCAGGAAAGAAACAGCTGACTTTGTTCCGGCAGCTTTTTTCTCAAAAGCTGCCCTTGTTGAGTAGAGCAGCTCTTTTCTCCTTCAGCTCTGAGCCAAATTTTGAGAAGAAACGCCGCCCGTGGACCATCTTTTCCCACGGAGCAGATCCGCTTTCAAAAAGGTGTTACCCATCGAGTCACAAAAACAAGGGAAGAGCAACTTTAAGTCCACTTGGGGGTTCGATAGTGAAGTAAAAACTTGGCTTTTGCTTTACAAGCAGTCCTTGAGTTATGACGGCGCTCAGCAGCTTTTGGGAAATAGAATGGACCTTGAAAAAGCTGCTTATGACCCAATTCTAAGTTCTGAGGGCCGAGCCCCCCTTATAGCCAGGACCATCTGCAGCTGTTTGTAGCATCCCACGGCCACATGGCCGCATTTTACATTTTTGCTGGAAACTGGCCTTTACTTTTAGTTCCTAACCGGGAAAAAAAAAACACCCTTCTCGAGTGTTTGCTTAACGACCAGAGTGCTTGCTTAATTCCCCAATGTTCACTTATGACTGCCCCACTAAAAGGTCATAAATCGGACACAGTCACAAGGATGGGCTGCATTTTTAGCCGTTGATCCTGATCCTTAAAAAGGGCTGCCAGACCAGATATGGGACAGCAGAATAGAGAGAGACGGATGATGTGACTTGGCATATAACAGCTTTGTTAAGGGTGTGCTTGGTTAAAAAAAAAAAAAAGAGAGAGATTATAACTCTCTATGCCATATTTGCTTTTAAAGTCAGCGGAGAAGCTTTACCTGCTGCCTAATCCGTGGATTCCATCGAATGTAGTAATTAACCCAAAGCTCCAAGTGGCGCATGCTGGCGACTGGGTACAGCGCCCGGTTCAGTTCTTTCGTATAAAAGGGGTTGGTGTATTTTGACTTTGCACTGTTGATCAAGGACCACAGAGACAAGGTTTTCTCGCTCAGTTTCTGCAAGCAAAGAAACAAATCAGAACCGGTTTCAGGAACCACTGTCTGATGGAGCCAGGCTGCATGCACAGTTCACACGATGCTCGTCTTCCATCAGTATTTGGAGAATACATATTCAAAAACCCTCTTCAGATTCACACCATCTTGGTTAGTTGTAATAATAATATTAACATTTGTACGTATTTATATGTATGTATCTTAAGTGTTTTTTATGATGCACCCAGTCGGCCTAAATATGGGAACAAGCAATCCAAATTTAACACATATATGTATATAGCATGTATATATGTATGTTATGTATGTATATGGGTAGACAGATACTTTCTTTTGAGAGCAGGCAACAGAATTCCATTTTTAACGCGGGCCAGTGTGCTCACAGTAAAAAATGACAATAAAGATGATCTTATCTTGTAATTGTGTATGACTTGGCAACCCAATTCTAAGACGTATGCAAACAGGATATACATAGTCCTTGCTTAATGACTGCTCGCTTAATGACCAAAATTACCCATCCTCAAAGTTATATCTCCATACCCACATTGGCCACTGGCTTGCACGTATGACCAGCTACAGCGTCCTGCAACTCATACAGATGTTTTTTTAATGGATTTCCAGCAAAAAGCCCTGCCCGTTCATAATGACTCACTTCACAGCTTACAACAGGAATTGCAGATTCAATTGTGGTTGCTAAATGAGGATTAGCTGCATGTAGAAACATCCACCTGAACACCGTCCCCTTACATGGTATTTATGACTCCTCCTACCACTGTCCTATCACCCATTTCTTATCCCCCAAGTTGCTACTAGATCTGGACATGCAAGCAAACATGTAGTAGAGCTTCCATGTTGTATCACCAACATGTTAACTCACCTCTTTCTCTCTTATGGAATCACAGCTGTACAAAAATGTACCAAAGCGGCAGCTGTACAAATGATCCAGAATAGTAATCAAAAATTGTTCATTGAATTCGAAAGCTGTGGGAAACTAGAAAAAAAGAAACAGTAGGCAAAGTTTAGGATAAGATACAAAGTAATGTAAACAACCATTCTAAGTAGAATAGAGTCCAAATTATTTATCATTCGTGCTATTTCTGGTTTCCAAGTTATTTTCAAAGCTGCTTCAATGTTACATTTCACCACCCTCTATCATACAAACATATAGCTTCTAGCTGCTTGTATGAAGTACCTCAACAATAACCCAATTTCAGGCTGGTAACATTAAAAATAATTATGGGAATGTTAGAAATTAAAATTTTGTAATGATCCCTACAATGTATCTAAGGAGCCGTGGTGAGGCAGTGCTTAGAATGTAGTATTGCAGGGTAACGTACTGCTCACTGCCAGCAGTTCGATCCTGACCGGCTCAAGGTTGACTCAGCCTTCCGAGGTCACTAAAATGAGGACCCAGATTGTTGGAGGAGCAATTATGCCGACTCTGTAAACCGCTTAGAGAGGGCTGTAAAGCACTGTGAAGCGGTTTATAAGTGCTGGTGCTATTGCTAACTCTGCCCACTGCCAGAGGTTTGATCCTGATTGGCTCAAGGTTGACTCAGCCTTCCGTCCTTCTGGGTCGGTAAAATGAGGACCCAGATTGTTGGGGGCAATAAGCTGACTCTAAATTGCTTAAAGAGGGCTGTAAAGCATCGTGAGGTGGTATATAAGTGCTAGTGCTATTAAAAAAAAAACGCATTTGGGAAGTGCCTTCTTCATAGTGAAAAATTGGGTAGGCAACAAGGTCATTCTGAATTCCAGGTACTTCAGGTAGTCCTCAGGCTTCAACGATTTGTTTAGCAACTGTTTGAATTTATGATGGTGCTAAACGAAAGGGAGTAATGACTGCACCTCAAAGTTTCAGCCACTGCAATGCCCCTCCCCACAGCCAGGTGATCAAAATTGGGGTGTTTGGTGACTGGCTAGCATTTACGATTACATGGCAGGTCCCATATCTTGCTGTGTGGTGTTGTGTCCTCATACAGCGCCTAGATCCCAACCAGAAAACACACTAGTAACTTAAATTACAGCCGAGCCAATTAAATCTTCACCATTTTTAAGGAATGCAGCTTACCTGCTTGGACATTTGCCACACACAGTCAATAAACTGGAGGAAGATGGGGGACCGATCAGCATCCGCATGGTTTTTGTCTCCGTGACCAATTCTCTGAAGCGAAAAAGGAAGGAAAAACGAGATTGGCTCTAATCAAACGAGTTAGCTTTGCTTTAGAAGGAGAAAACTCTTTCACGGGCTTTTGTGAACAAACTGACTTCCCTTATACAGAATGAAGTAAAGGAAGAAACCCAGTTAAATTAGACTGAGTTTTTTTTTTCAGTATATCATTTTCTAACTGAAGTGGTTAAAAAAGTTATTTGTGATACATGTCACTTTTGGATGTTTGCAGTATATGGCAAGAGTCTTAAAATCAAAGTTTCAGGCAACAATACAACCAGAGGGAAAGAGCTCCACATGACTCTATAAAACAGGGGTCTCCAACTTGGCAACTTTACGACTTGTGGACTTCAACTCCCAGAATTCCTCAGCCAGGCGTGGTTGGGGACCCCTGCTGTAAAATGTTCTTTTATGAAAACATAAGCAAGACATCTATGGAGATTCTCAGTCATCCAGGTCATGGTTGTCCCAAAGGTGCTTTTTCAAAAGACAACTGGACTTTCTTGTTTTTTTCCAAAACAAAGTCCAGTTGCCTTTTGAAAAAAAAAAAAAGCATCTTTGGGAAAACAAAGACCACAAACACAAGAGCATCAGACTTGGCCTGCCATTGTGTCCACCTTTTCAATCTCAAAGCAATGTTGGCATTATCAGGCAGTTGACAAACGGCAGTTTAACGCAAGATATTTACTCACAATGCAGGCCACTAGGCTAACTGCATGGGCAACGTGTGCCGGTTTAAACGAGATTTAAACAAAACGGATTGAATCAGTTTTGAAAAATTGGGTAATTGTTTTGGTTCTTACCGAGGCAAACTTATGCCCAAAACTTATCCACTCCTTTTCCACCAAGACTTCAAAACCCACAATGGTGCGGTAGTAGCTGTCCAACATCAACATGGCCAGAGAGGTGAGCTGGGCGGTGCGGTCCCAACCATCGCTGCAATGTACCAAGACCGAACTCTTTCCGGAAGATACTTTGTCGGCCACCTGGATGGCGCCCGTTAAAACCAGCTGACAAGGAAGCAGGGAATGAAACTTGAGAGGGGTGGGGTAGGACCCGCCCCCCCTCTTGCTGGTTTAATTCAAGAACTCGGGACCCCAGGCCCACGTGGCATCGGCCTGCGGAAAGCCCGCCGAGCCTCCCCTGTACCTTGATATGTTCCAGCCAGTGGGTGGACTCCAAGCTTGACAGCCAGTGAGATTCCTCCACGTGAGGGTAGACGATGTCCTTGAGCTTTTTCAACGATTCCCGCATGACGTGAATGTTGTGGATATCTAGGAAGATGAGCTCAGCGTTGGGATAGGCATCCTCACTCTCATATCCACCACCAGTTGCCTTGGAGCAAGAGGAAGTGAGCGTTTTAGTTTCCTTCAGACAACCGTCGGCGTACATTCCCAACACAACTGGCAGGCTTGCAAAATAAATAAATAAATCCCAAGGGCTTAGATCAGGGGTCCTCAAACTTGGCCAGTTTAAGACTTGTGGACTTCAACTCCCAGAATTCTCCATGACTGACTGGCTGGGGAATTCTGGGAGTTGAAGTCCACAAGTCTTAAAAGTGGCCAAGTTTGAGAACCCCCGGCTTAGGTGATCTCGCTGTCCAAGCACAGGGCGAAATCGTCCTTCAGCTCTGATCAGATGCAAGCATCACCTTGGTGGGCTCCGATGCATCAATTAATATGGAACTTAATTAATTAATATTAATGTGGAACTTTGCAAGCATTGGTCTGGTTCAAAATTGCAACAGCACTGAGAAAAGTGGATTATGATGGGTCCTCACACTTAATGACTGTTGCAGCATTACAACAGTCATTAAGTGGTCAAAATTTGGGTATTTGCCAACCGGCCTGTATTTACGACGGCCGCAGCATCCCAGGATGACAGGATTGTTCTTGGTGAGCTAGTGACAAGCTAAATAAGCTGGATTTGCTTAACGACTGTGCGATTCACTTAACGACTGCTGTGATTTACTTCACAAGCAGGGCAAAAAAAAAATGCCATAAAATCAGGGGCATCTCATTTAACAACCGTCTTGCTTAACAATGGAAATCTTGCGTTGTAAGTTGAGAACTATCTGTAGTTATTTGTAGGCTACCTATCTGGGTGACTCTATGGTCCTTGAAATGCCTACATTAAAAGCATCCAAACATCCATATTCAAAAATTCCCCAAAGAGGAAGTGATGGCAAAGCCATTTCCTTCTACCTTGACAAAAACTGACTTTCTAACAGAGCCTGCGTGATGAAACACGATCATTTCTCCAGCGAGTACTGATTTAATCACAGCCTGAGGGTCCTCTAATCCCACCAGGAATCCAGGCTCCCCTAATCAAATATTTTTAAGTTTAAATGTCGGCATGAAGGTTGTTATTTTTCTTTGCCAAACAGACTTCATCAAAGTAAAAGGCATTACAAGAAAATAAAAGTTTTCATAACCTTTATCAACCAATCTAGCTGCTAAAACTGTTCCACGGGACTGGAGAACACAAGACAAGAAGTACGCATTGTGTGAAATTCCAAAAACCTCCAAGCAAAACTTTCCAAAATTATTTCCCAAATCAGACTTAAATCAGCCAAGTTATTTTATGACTTTGGGCCAGTCCCTCTCTTTTTGCTCAGCCAACTCACAGGGTTGTCGTTATGAGGAAAATAAGAGAAAGAAAGCATATTAGTTATATTTCCTGCCTTGGCTTGCTTTCAAGTAATAAAGATGGGATTAAAAACTCAAATAAATTTAGGTGAGAGCGCTTCTGAATCTCAACAGAATTCAAAACATGTGGCCCAGAAGCTGATATTCTCTGCCTTTCTGGAGAGAGTTAATTTTAACTGAGACAGTTAATTTTAGCTATGGAAGGGACTGAGTAATCCTGGGTGTGGCTGGAGAAACAACAAAGCAAAGGGAATAAGCAGGAGGGAAGGAATGCAGCCACTAGATTTCTCATAAACAAGAGGAAAAATTCTGCATTTCAGCTTACAAGCATTGAACTTTCCCCAAGTTTTAAGTCAAGATGACTTTTGAAAGAACGCTTTTATAAAGGGGTGATTTTCCAGGCCCAGTCTTGGATATGGCAAACAATGCAGACGGAACACAACAAGTATGCACACCCAAGTATACCTTTTAAATCAAATTTTCCCCGTGAATCCTTCTATTCCTTGAGAATGGGCAGGAACTGTTTGCTTCAGAAGTCATCTACCTCTTTAAAGAATTAGACAACTGAATGCTTTTATCCTCTGTGAGGATGCCAAAGCACTCTTGTTTTAAGCAAGCATTTAGCAACGGGGGAGGAAGATGAACTAGCCAATTAATTGATGGATGATTTTTTTTCCGGTGGCTTTATTGAAAGTTTTAGTCACTTGGAATTTACTGTGAATGTAAATAGGGTGGAGCTATTTCTTTAAATCTTGTTAGCAGGAAGTTGCACTCTTCCCACAGCCCAGCAGATTCTGGGGCTGTGGCGACACGATAGCAGCTTGGTCAACCGCTAATGTTGCCCAGGCAGGATAAAAGGGCTCCTTGCCTGTCAAACATCCAGGAAGCGTTTTTTCGAAGTCTCAAGCCGTTCCTCTCGTTAGCGCTTTCCAAATCTCTGGATGTATTTAAAAATGACCATTTTCAAAAGGCTGAGCCAAAAAACGCTCTTTGACTCAGCGTGCCTGGAGATCTCCAGAGGACCGGGAAGAGGACTAACCGCTGAGTTAAGCAGCATCACTGAAAAGGGCGTACGTCTCGACAGCAAGAGGATGGCTGCATACCTTATTAGCCACGGCATTGACGTTGGGCCTGGCGTCGAAGATGGTCAGTTTGGACAGCTGGCCGTTGGTTTCCCTTATGATTTCCAGATACCGTTCGTCATCTTTGTTCCTTTTCCCACCCATGCCCACAAGGGGCTGGCTGGAGCGGGTGATGACAGCCTGGGTCTCCGGATGGATCCAGGACAGCACCTAAGGGAGCAAGGCAAATATTCCCTCAGAGCCTGGCGGCTTTCCACAACATGCAGCTAGTCCTCAACTTAACGAGAGTTCATTTAGTGACCGTTACAAGCCACAACAGTCCCCTGGACTGCCAGGCGATCAAAGTGGTCAGTCCTAGAGGAAATCAACCTCGACTGCTCTTTAGAAGGCCAGATTCTGAAGTGGAAACTCAAGTACTCTGGCCACCGAATGAGAAGGAAGAACTCACTGGAGAAGGGCCTAATGCTGGGACAGATGGAGGGCAAGAGAAGAAGGGGACAACAGAGAATGAGGTGGCTGAATGGAGTCACTGAAATAGGAGGCGTGAGCTTAAATGGACTCCAGAAGATGGCAGAGGACAGGAAGGCCTGGAGGAACATTGTCCACGGGGTCGCGATGGGTAGGACACGACTTTGCAACTAACAACAACAATCAAGCTACAACGGCACTCCAAAAAGGGACTTACAGCTGCTTTTTTTACCCTTTTATGCAGCATCCCCACAGACATGTGATTAGCATTCGGATGCTGGACAACTGGTTCACATTTATGATGGTCGCGGTGTCCCTGGGGTCATGTGTTCCCCTCTGGTGAACCTTCTAACCAGCTGGGAAGCCAGACTCACTTAGCAACTGTGTCGAATGCTTCACTAACTGTGGCAAGAAAGGTCCTAAAAGGAGGCAAAACTCACTTAACAAATGTCTCACTTAACAACATAAATTCTGGGGCTCAATTGTGATTGTTAAGGATACCTGTGTATAATCGGGGAACGAAGCCCAAGATGGTGTTTCCTAGTCAGATGTGAAGGATCAGGGACCACACCTTAAATTCCAGTTAAGCTATACACAAGAACCTAGTCACCAATGGTTGGCATTAAATTGGCGCTAGATGAGAATGAATGGAATTGGGGGGGGGGGCTGGACAGGGATCCTTTATGGACATGTAACGATTCTAGGCTGATTCCTTTTTTTGACTTCCTTCCCCGGCTTCTGTTTGTCCATCTACATCCGGTCATGAAATGTCTGCAAGAAAACAGCCAAGCTCAAGAGAGCACCCAGGACCCCACAGTCCTCCTCCTCCTCTCCACAACCCCACCCCCTTCTAGCACTGATGATGTTGCCTAGTTGGGTCATGAAATGTCTGCAAGATAACAACCCAGCTCAGAGAGCACCCAGGACCCCTCAGTTCAACCCTGAGCTACAAAGACTCTGTTCTATTGTTTTCCAATTCTTGGTGCTGACAGGTCTCCGAAATAATCCTTGATAAAGTTATGAGGGATCAAAAGCATGGTACATTAAAATTTCCTTTAGCAATCCGTTATTAGCTAATGGAATAGTGAGCTGCAAGAGAGAAGAAAACTAACTCCGTTTTGATGTCATTCTTTCTGCGGAATGCTGAAAACGTAGGTTTTATTTGAGATCATTCTGCTGCACCCTTAACCACAGAGGTCCATCTTTATAGCCGACGTCACTTACCGGTATTCGACACCGGGATCGAAAAGCGGAGACCTTCTTGAGATCCTCGTCTGTGGCGTTATATGGCACCACCAGGAGCGATGGGTACGTGTCACAGAGTGCGTAGTGTTCGTTGAGAAAGGTGACCCTCCACTGGAGATTAGGCAAACTCTGCGAAAGAACCAAGAGGATCTTTGCAGGCTCTCTTGTCATAGGAACAAGATGACAATCAGCAAAGAGGAACAATTTGTGCATTATTTTGGTCACAGGGTGGCAACGACCCATCAATTTTCCACCAGTATCTCTACGGTTGGGGACCCAGAGTAACAGATGGGAGGTTTGAGACAAAACACCGGTGAGTTTTTCCTCCCTGTTTTTATTAATGTTATTGTAAAACGGTCAGTCCTAGAGGAGATCAACCCTGACTGCTCTTTAGAAGGCCAGATCCTGAAGTTGAAACTCAAGCACTTTGGCCACCTAATGAGAAGGAAGGACTCACTGGAGAAGAGCCTGATGCTGGGGAAGATGGAGGGCAAAAGAAGGGGACAACACAGAATGAGGTGGCTGGATGGAGTCCCTGAAGCAGGAGGTGTGAGCTTAAATGGACTCCAGAAGATGGTGGAGGATAGGAAGGCCTGGAGAAACGTTGTCCATGGGGTCGCGATGGGTAGGACACAACTTCGCAACTAACAACAACAATTGTAAGCCTGCTTGGCAACACCAGATATTTTTTTTCTGATTAGCTGATACCAGAATACATACAGGAGCGTCTGACATTCATTCTTGAAAAAAACAGAAACTCTTTTCTTCTACAGGAAAAAATATAATTTTTTTAAGACTTGCCCAAAAGAGTACTAAAAATAGCAATGGAGCGTAACCCCAGGGAAGCACCTTCCTCTACAACATGGGTGGGAAGTCAGATGTTCTGGGTGGAAGAGAGTTGCCGAATTTATTGCAAATTGCATACACTTTAAGGAGGGACTATAACCTCTCCTCCCTTTAGACTTGTCTTTGTTTATAAATCAGCAAAACCCATTTGTGCTCCAGTGCTGGTTTCCAGTTTAAAGGAATTCAAAATTTCTCCAACGTCTGCCTACAACTCCCAGGTTCCCTGACCATTCATAAGGCTGGCGGGACCTGGTGGGAATTGTAGCTCAGTAACATCTGGCAAGCCAATATCCTCCTTTTGTATTTTAAATATTTATTACAAATTTAAGAATAAATGACATTGGAGAAGCTTCCGTACTCAGACAGTAAAGCTAATCACTCAAGACAAGATGACCTTACAGGTCTCTAGACAAAGTCCTTTTCTTTAATTTCTCCTTCGTAACAAATGGGATGAATAAAATGGATAACACCCATCTCTTTACATGTAAGAATTGCTTGGCACAGTGAGATGGGCAGCATATAAATTTAATAAATAAATAAACCGGCGTATTTGCTGATCTGAATTCTCGCTTGTCTTCAAGCCTGAACCAAATGTTTTACCTCTATAACACATACCAGGTTAAAAAAAAAAAAAGAACAACGTAATACAGAACGTCAAGGTTTTATTTTATAAAAATCTGTTCCAGATGACGCGCAGACATCTACCTTCCTAATCATTTATCCATCCCACTTCACTTGCTTGATTTTGTCGTATCTTAAAAACAAAAAATAACACGCTGCCTATTTTCTGTTCTCTCAGTTCAATTTGGCCACAGAAGAGAAAGAAAATATACAGAAAACCTGAAAAACGAGGGTAGAGGAATGCAACGGAGAAGAGAAAAAAAAAATGAGCTTACATGTCTTCTGTATTCAACCATAGGATTGTAAACCAGCCAGCCACTTTCAGCAAACTTCTCTTCATTCAGGAAAGCAAAGAAAGGCTGGAAGGATAACAAGAAAAATTAGAAAATGGAATGCCAGGGGGAAAAAAAGAGCAGATTCAAGATGCCAAACAATCTGCTTGACCTACATTCTTCTTTACACAAAAGGGTTAACTTTCCCAATGGAAACGTGTTTTTATTTTATTCAAGAGAAACATACAGCCAAAGAGAATTTACCTTTTAAAGGAGAGAACCTTGTGAGTTTGAAGAATGTCACAAAACATTGACAAGAGCCAAAACAAAAAGGAAATTACATCCTTTAGGAAGAGAAGTCATTCCCCCCCCCCACCTCAGGTAAGAGGCCTGAACTCAACCATTAACTTTGAACTAGTATGCACCTACTAGTAAACACCCTAACGAATCCAGGAAAAATACCGTATTCCCTTTATCCTTGCCATTTTTAAATGTTTTTAGTTGTACACAACACTGTCAGAACAGGCAGCAAAGCTAAGAGTCAAGTGTGAAAACAATTCCCAAATTTGCTTTTATGTACTGTAGGCAAACCACACACCCCCCCCCCGCAATAAATTCAAAAGAGTTTACCAAGTTATGCGACTGTGGAAAAGCGTATTTTGTCAGGAGCTCGAATATATCTCTTCTGCTGTGACCTTCTTGTTTCAAAGCAAAGCGTAAATTCCTCATATCCTACAATTTAAAACAAACCCACACATATTTTTTTTTAAAAAAAACCCAAAATAAAAACGAATGCATGCAGTCAAGAATTAATGTTAGGTTAATTTGCACTAGCAGTTTTCTGAACTGAAAAGTGAGGTTTTAAGTCAGAGATGGGCAACGTAGCCCTTTCTTTCACAATATCTACTTGTCTAACTGCAGACTTTGGTCCTACCAAGAACATGGGGTGCCACCCTTTCTGCTTTTAAGAACTCTATTCAAATTCAGCCCAACCCACCTCACAGGTTGTGGCGAAAATCCTTATTTTCAATTCTCTTGGTTACGTTATCTCATGTAAGAAAGTATCAACGTTATTTTGATGTCTCACCTTACAGGTAATATCTAATCCGTACGAATTCTCTCCTCTGCTCGAAGCGCCCCCCATTTTCTCAATCCTTGAAATAACCCCCAAAGGCACGTCTAATACCACTATTGGATCCTGAATAGATAAAAAGGTCAAGATCACGTTAAAAGAGGATTCTTAACAGATTGCATTTCCGTACCTCTATTTGTCATAAAACACTTTGTATCTTGAAAGCTAACAAAGGTATCAATTTAGTGGGATGGACGCTGTCAGATTAAAAAAAAACAAAAACAGCCTTAATGGGCCACTGAGGCAAGAAGCATCAGTATAAAACAGCCGTCAACATGAAGCATTTAATAAATATCTACTAAATTGCTACTTACTGCAACTATAACAATCCCAGGAAATTTCAAGAGACCTGACCTTTAAAAAATTAAAATTCTGCCCTGTATCTCAGCTAGCACTCTAGTCATCAGAGGAGGATATAAAAAGAGAAACGCATGCAGTCCCCAGCTTATGACTAGTTGGTGAGTGTTTGACGTTACAACGGATCTTCCTAGAGCTACTTACAACCCCGATTCAAAACGCGATCCTGTGACAGCATTTAGGGAGCTTGGCAACCATGTATGTGATTTTTGCTGGAAATGGACACTTATGTCTGGTTTCTGGCAAAAAAAAGCCTTAGTGAATTGGTTCGCTTATCAACTGCAGCATTTGCTTAACGACTGCGGCGTTTTCCTTTACATTCCCTGCAAAAAAGCTCAGAAAACTGGCCAGGATCATGGGATGACCTGCTTAATGACCAGAACGACTAAGCGGTGGGCTCCATTATGATTGTAAGTCGAGGATTAGTTGTACAGCTTTCAGAATTCAAGAAAAACAGAGGGTGGGTGAGAGTCCCTTGGGCTGGACAATACATTGGACTATTCCATTCTTTGCTTTGGCCAGGAGACCGCAAAGGGACTCGTGACTCACAGCTTCAGAGATAGCATCAGGCTAAAAAACCTGGTCTCCAGAGCCCTTAATCTGTTTTGCAATCCTGATGCACTTGTGGGCAAGTAAAAACACATGTCTAAAGCCCTGGATTGAAAGGGAGAATTTGGCTTAAAAGCATCTGGTGCACAGCTAGAGAATCTTGTTTTCCATCCAGTTACCAGGCTGAGCTAACTTCCTTCCAGGGAAGAAAACAAGCCATCGATTCCTACTCCGTTCAGATCACTGGAGGTGGACAGAATAGCAAAATAATAGGGTTGGAAGGGACCTTGGAGGTCTTCTAGTCCAACCCCCTGCTCAAGCAGGAGACCCTATACCATTTCAGATGAATGAATGTCTTCTTAAAAACCTTCAGTGATGGAGCACCCACAACTTATGGAGGGAAGCCGTTCTCCTTGATTCTTCTGCCTTTTGGTGCTTTGGAAAATAGTTTGACCCTATGACTCTTTGTAGCAGCTCCTCAAATATTGGAACACTGCTATCATGTCACCCCAGTCCTTCTTTTCACTAGACATACCCAATTCCTGCAACCCTTCTTTATATGTTTTAGCCTCCAGTCCCCTAATCATCTTTGTTGCTCTTCTCTGCACTCTTTCTAGTCTGAACCTCTTTTTTTTATATTGTGGCAACTAAAACTGGACGCTGTATTTCAAGTATGGCCTTACCAAGGCATTATAAAGTGGTCTTAACACTTCATGTGATCTTGATTCTATCCCTCTGTTAGTGCAGCCTAGGACTGCCTTATGAACACACCTGTCATAATTCTGAATCTGACAACAGCAGGTACCAACTACCTCGCCAACTGCAAAATGCCACTCAGCCGAGGTCAACCTGGCAGAGAAGCCATCCCAGCAGTTGCCTCCAACACACAGCAGGCCCGTAAAGTTTGCTTACCGATTCCACGCTTCTCAAATAGAGTCTGTAGTTTGTGATGCAGACTCTCCCTTTAACAGGACCGTTGAAGGGACACATGTAAATGACTTCCTTGTCTGTGAAAGAAAGAGCAGCTTTGCACTTAAAATACGGCAAGGCAATCGAGACAATAACATGAGATTAAAAAAAAGGCAGAGATTACTGGGGAACCCAGAAGTGAAATGAACTACCATTAACGGAGGATCTTGTGTTGTGCGACTGGAGTGTAGTTCGGATAACCTTTTCACAGCTGAAAAGGCAAGCACGCACAGACATTTTTTTTTAAAGAAAAATGTGAAATTCCTCTTTGTTACTAAAGCATAGTAGAATTTTCTGAATTTGCCTTTGAAATTCTAAAAAGGCCCATTTCTCCAGCAGCACTGATTAGCAGAGGACGTATGGAAAGGCTCGAATGCTATTGTGGCAGATAAAATGAAAGTAAAACTGTAAATATGCTTGTGAGTTTTAGGGAGAAGACATAAATTTAGTTACTTCTGGATCCCTGGCCAAATGAAAGGGATTTTGTGCGACTCTTGAGGAAAACCTAACCCTCTTTTGACTATAGTGAAGGATCGACAAGATCCTTTCGAAATGGATCCCTCTCCACCCAAAGTGACTCTGAATATGCTCCAAACACGCAACAAATGCAACAAAAGCAGAGCAATCTAGCTGAATGGTTATTTCTGAGCTATACCAGGGAGCTATAAGATTCAGGCATGTTATCCTTAGACAGCACATCGCTTTATTCTTTCTGAAATAAGCAACTTGGGTTTGGGAGCGAGTGGTTACAAGTAGCCCTCAGCTTACGACCAGAATTTTCGGTTGCTAAGCACGGCAGCCGTTAAGTGAGTTGCGTTCAATTTTATGACTTTTTTTTTTGCTGCTGTTGTTAGGCGAATCGCAAGTCTGTTAAGCCAGTGGTTCTCAACCTGTGGGTCGGGACCCCATTTGGGGTCGAACGACCATTTCACGGGGGTCGCCAAACAAGGCTGTCCGCCATTTTTTCCCCCTTTTCTTTGGCCACGCCCCTGGCACCCGGTGATGTATAAGTGGTTGGGGGTCACCACAACATGGGAAACTGTATTATGGGGTCGCGGCATTAGAAAGGTTGAGAACCACTGTGTTAAGCAAATCCCGCTTTCCCCACTACTGGCTTTGCTTGTCAGAAGCTGCCTGGGAAGGTCACAAATAATGAGCTATGATGCTGTAATTGTCATAAACACCGGCTGGCTGCCGAGCGCCTAATTTCTGATCCCCTGACTGGGGATGCTGTGACGGTTGTAAGTGTGAGGACTGTTTGTAAGACACTTTTTTCCCATTGCTGTGGTAATGCTGAGCAGGTGCTGAACGGTTGTAAGCCGAGGTCTACCTGTGCACCCTATGGACTCTGTGTTTACCTGTGACTCTAGTTTCCCCTGGCAGACGAGGAATTTCTTCACTGTGTTCCCAGTTAGTTCTGTCTTTCACGGGCTGAGAGGGAGAAATAACAAGGTCAACATCGGGATTTTTGCTTTGAGGGCAAGATCCCACAGGTGTAAACCGCACAGAGCAGTTCTGACAGCAACTTGTTAACACTGAACAAATATCTCATCTCAAAGAAGCCCGGGAAGACACTCACTTTTTTAATGGAGGCACTTTCCAAAGAGTTTGAGTTGCACCGAGGTGTTGAGGAAGAGGAGGCCATGCTGGAGAATGGCGGGGAAACTCTGCTGAGAAAGGAGCCACGGTAAGAGGTCAAATCAAATCTCTCTTAGGGACATATAGACCCAACCCAGAGGAGACATTGATTTTAGTTGGACCACACACACCAGCAATTTCAAACAGGGGTTCCCCTTTACAACATTTTATAGGGGAACAGAAGGCTGACAAAAATAATGGGGACAAAAGCTGTTGCTCCTCTCCTAAGTGTCCCTTTCTCCTCCTAAAAAAGATACTTGGGAAAATTAAATGTTTAGTTTCAATACAGGGTGTCAGCCAGGCCAGTGCAAAATGGGAGGCAAAACGGAAGCTGAGCCAATTTCTATTAGATGAAAGGAGGTTAAAAAGACAGAAAGTTTTTAACTTAGTGAAAAGATACCAGGAAAAAAAAAAATCTGTTGTCAGCACCAAACCATGTTTGCAAATTAAATGCTCCGTCCCAAAAAAGGAAAAGAATGAAATGCTCTGTCCCAAAAAAATAAATGGAAATTACGGGACTAAATTGGAAGTGTGGCAAATGTTGATAAAGCTGCCCAATTGCGATGCCATTTATGACTGATGGCTTGAACGAAGAGTAATTTCTCTCCCTGGCTACAAAGCCATTGTTGTAAGTTGAGGACTCTCTGTATTGCATTCATTAGCTTTCCCCTACAACAGCTGAGCAGCAGAAATCAATGTGCTCAGGTAGAGAAAAACCTTCTAGCATTAGCACAGTGTGGGGACACAATGCAGGTCCCAAATTGGTGCAGACCGAACTTGTGCAGTCCGTGGAGTCTAAGGGAGTTGCAGGCGCTGCAAACATAAAGCATTGCATTAATTCAGGGAATAGCTCCGGAAAGCAAAAATGAGGATGCTGTCAAAATGTTCTGGAATATAAAGCAGCCCTTCACGCAGACGAAAGTTGCATTGCCACTGATAAAACACACACACACACACGCACACGCACACAAAAATTGTGCCCAGTGAGACCTCTTTATCGGCTTGGCAAGATCTGCACGGGAGGGCTGGCCCATCTTTTTAGGATGAATGTGTGGTTATGCCTCGGAAACGCAACTCTCCCTGGGATTGTCAATCAGGAGCCAAACAATGTAGGGGCATAAAATCAAACAGTCTATACGTGATGTGTCGGGAATGGTACCAACCTCCAATTTTCCGTGTGAACATCTTAGGGAGAAAATTAGACAATTAAGAGATATCAAAGAGCCCAAAACAAGGAGACAGATGCCATATCTTTCAGGTTTAGAGGCTGGGGGGGGGGGAGGTTTGTTCCCCGAAAACCAGCTCTCTCCTAAGACCTATGATCAGGGAGAGGTGTCGGGCTGAAATAATTTCAGGAAAAACAGAGCCAGCCTCCAGTTTGAATACCGTCCTGACTGCTGTGACCTTATTTCATTTCTGCTCTTTTTCCCCCCCCTCAGCAGTTCTCTACATAATGAAACTGAAACCCAAAAGAGGGAAGAGAGAATAACTTTCCCTCTTCGAATTCATGTTCTCCTATGATGGCTGCCACTTTTTTTGGGGGGGGGAGGGAAGAGGGGGATAAAGGACACTAGAATAATCTGGAACTGACACTGCGCTGTTCTCCAATTTCTGAAATAATACCTTTTAGATTTTTAATAAGGGGATGTGTGGCTTGCTTGGCGATTCATATATACAAAATAGTTCTTAACTTAACCCCCCCCCATCCTTCGTTTGGTGACCATTCAAAGTTACAACAGCTCTGAAAAAAGGGACTTATGACCTTGCATTTATAACCATTGCAGTGTCCCCAAAATTATAAGATCAAAATTCAAATGCTTGGCAATTGGCCTGTGTTTGCGAGGGTTGCAGCCTCCCAGAGTCACGTGACCTCCGTTTGTGACAGCCTGGTTTGCTTAATGGCTACACAATTCCCTTAACAATGGCAAGGATTTGCTGAACAACAATGGCCCCCCAAAACAGTCATAAAATGGGGCTTGATTCACTTTGCAACCAGCTTTCTTAGCGATGGAAATCCTGGCCCCCTATTGTGTTCGTAAGTTGAGGACTACCTGCATTTTGTTATCGGCACAGTGACTGTTTCCAGAACACCATTTAAAATTCGTAGACTTAGCGGCCGTGTTTCTTGCTTCCACCGTCCCTATTTTTAGGTGCAGAGTCCTCTTCTAAGACATTTCTGGCTCAGAGAAACAAACGCTGTGTTCGAAGATTTGTCTATAATTGAGCCTATATTAAGCGTATGTGGACTGAGATCAGGGATGACTCTGAGTTAATTATAGTAAGAAAGCTAACCGCTGCAGGCTGGCTTATCTGGAAGTGAGTAGGATAGAACCATGTCAAATAAATAAATAAAGGGGTTACTGGATGCTTTTTCACACAGATTTTGCAGAAGCTCCTACTTCAGTGGTTAAAAGCAAGGCTCAACCCCACAGGCTTTCTTTCCAGTAACTTGAGCATTATTCTGCAAGGGAGATGGCATTGATTAAAGACTATCCAATAAAAAGGAAGGAAAGCCCTTGCATGTCCAGAAAATGTTCTCTTTTCAAGGAGAAAACTAAGAAGTGTGCTTCTTATGGGTGTATTTTCAACTGTTAAAACAAAACTTATGGGTGTATTTTCAACTATTAAAACAAAATGGGATTTTTCTCGGCATGCAGTCCTAAAACACTAGCGCACAAAAGCATTCTACCGGAAGCTGAACGTAAATAACAGATCAGTAAATCCTTTTGATTTTGATAACTGCAGCCGAAAACTGCCTGAAGGCCTGGTAAATAAAATAAAAGTTTGAGCGAGCCTTTTTTTGCCTCCTCAAAATAGCATTTTAGCAACTCCAAGGGAGTGCTTGTCCCTTCCTGTGCTCTGTTGTTTAAAACACAGCCATGTTTTTCATCCTGGCATTTTTTTTTGTTTTGGATATCAAGTTACCTCCCCCAAGAAACAAAACATTGTAGAGTAAAAACAGAAGAAGCTGAAGCTACCACACCAGCCTGCGTATAGTAATTATGTCTTAGTAAACTTTACTCTGAAAGGTCTAAGAACAACACTTGCTTTGACTTGGCTTGCAAGTTGTGGAGACCACAGCATAACAACTACTTGGAAAGATGGCCCTGTATGAGAACAAACACACACACAAACACACACACATACACTTGGAAACTAGTCAGGCACATAGACCATTCATGCTGTCTGACTATCTCCTTGGAGGCAGAAATACTGAGATAGTATCAATGCTACAGGAATATAATATAGTGTCAATGCTACAGGAATATTATACGATGTATTAATTTCAAATGCAGCTACATTGATGTCATCATAAATACACAAGAAAGCAAACAAAGTAAGAACACTGTGAGTCATTCTAACACCACAGCATTCCTAAGTACAGAAGTTCACTCCCTCCACACAGCTTAATTTCCAATGCTGAATCACTCAGGAACACAATCTCACAACACTGCTTTCCATCATACCTCTTCAGGCTTAGATTCCTTGCCTCCTTCATCTTTACGGAAAATGCGAGAGGGAACACAAGCACAAGCATATGGATGCAATCTACACCCTCTCCAAGACTAATGAAAGTATACAAGAAAAACCACGCTGAGGATCCTTTCGGCACAGATTTCACGGCAATAGCACGCTGCCCTCTTATCACAGGGAGGCAAGCCCCAAAACCAAACAAGTCAAAGAGCAGAGCAGAAACTCTACATGTAGGGTGGATCCATATAAAATTTCATTCATATAAAAGAAAGATAGCCTGGGTCCACGTTCATGGCTGCAGTTTACCAGTTAGATTACAACAACTTGCCTCCAGAAGTTGTGGATGCTCTAACACTGGAGGATTTTGAGAAGAGATCGGACAACCATTTGTCTGAAATGGTGTAGACCAGGGGTAGGCAACCTTGGCTCTTTTATGACTGGTGGACTTCAACTCCCAGAATTCCTGAGCCAGCATGGCTCAGCTTGGAAACTCTCCCTTTCCCCTCAGCATGGCTGTCTCAGGGATTCTGAGAGTTGAAGTCCATGAGTCATAAAAGAGCCAAGGTTTCCTACCCCTGGTGTAGACTTTCCTGCCTGAGCAGGGGGTTGGACTAAATGACCTCCAAGGTCCCTTCCAACTTTTGTTATTCTGCCCAACTGGGCACTTTGACTCAATTAGAAAAAAAAGGAACACGTGAAGCAACTCTTGTGCGCTATGAGATGGAGAGATGCAGATTAAGGATGCGTACCAGATTTATTTTATTTATTTTACATGCCACCCATCCTTCTGTCGAGTGACTCTGACATCGTTGTTAATATTTTTCAATATTTGCTGTATTAAAAGAGTTAAAAAGGACGTCTTTGAGACCCCCACTGCATCTCACCATGGTGACCTGGGATATTCAATATGGTTTTTTTTTTTCTGTCCCAACACGGGTGCAAAATCATTTTGTCTCCCAGGACCCCCGAGAGGGTCTTGGAGGGGTCTCCCCTCAGGCCTCTCTTTGGGAAGCATCGTCCTAAGTAAGATGTATACAGGCAGTCCTCGGCTTACGACCACAACTTGGCCCCAAATCTATGTCGCTAAGTGAGTTGTGCCCCATTTTACGATCATTCTTGCCAGGGCTGTTAAGCAAATCAACGCAGTTGTTAAATTAGTCCCATTAATGGCTTCCCCATTGACTTTGCTGGTCAGAAAGTCGCAAAAGGGAGGATCACGTGACATTCCCCCCCCCGGGACACTGCAACCGTCATAAATGCGACTCAGTTGCCAAGCATCTGAATTTTGATCACGTGACCGCGGGGATGGCTGCAACGGTCATAAGTGAGAGAAACGGCCCAAATGTTTTCAGCGCCGTTGTAACTTTGAATGGTCCCTAAACGAACTGTTGTAAGTCGAGGACTCCCTGTATAAGGAATGAATCTATCTATCTATCATCTATCTATTTATCATCTCTCTCTCTCTCTCTCTCTCTCTCTCTCTCTCTCTATCTATATATATCTCCACCTATTTAGTTCTCTTTCTATTTAATCTCTATCTTCTATCTCTCTTTCTAATTTCTCTCTATTTAATCTCTATCATTTTTCTAATTTCTATGTTTAATATCTATCTATATCTACATTCTATCTGTCTGTCTATCTATCCATACACAGACCACACATATACACATACATACACACACACATACATACATACATACATACATACATACATACATATATAAACATTATTTTGCAAAGCAACAGACCCCCGCCCCCATTTCTTGTGAGCCCGTCCTCCCTGCCTTTGGACAGGTAGCGCCTCAGAGAAAGGCGAAGCCCCCCCCCCCGAGAGGCTGGCTTTCTCCTTGCGGGGAGCCGCCCCCCCCCCGGCGGCCTGCCCGGCTTCTGCCCCCTTGCCAGGACTCCCCCACCCCAAAAGCCTCCCACGGCGGCCCCCTCTGCCTCTCCCCCCGGGGTAGGCCGGGCCCGCGGTCCCGCCGAGGCGCCCACTCACCCGCTGCTCCGCCGGCGGCCGCCTCAGCCTCACCGACGCCCCCTTCCCCGCCGCCGCCGTGGGCCTCGGTCACGTGACGGCGGCTGACAGGAAGCCGCCGCCGAGCTCAGGGAGCGAACGGGCAAGCCGAGCGCCGCGCGCGGAGCACGCCGGGAGATGAAGTTCTCCGCCGGCCGGAAAAGGCGCTCGGCGCCCTCGCGCGGGGAGCGCTGGGAATTGTAGTTCGCCTCGCGCTCCCTCCGCTACGAGGCGGCGGGGAAAAAGAGCTGGTCGGCTTGGGTCGTGACGAGGAGATGGCTCCTGGGCGCCCGGTCCGGTGGGATTTGTCTGCAAAAAGATGCAGTGCACCTGCGGTGACCCCGTTTAGTCCTCGCAGAAGCTTCCCCCTCCCCATGCACACATCTGGCTAAAATTCTGCATTGCAGCCCAAAACCTGGACGGTTTTAATCCCAGCTTGCAATGCAGAATAAGCAAGTGTTGGTCTGATCTATCTATCTATCTATCTATCTATCTATCTATCTATCTATCTATCTATCTATCCATCCATCCATCCATCCATCCATCCAACTTTCATTCATCTATCTTTAAAAAACCAGTTTTTACAAAACAAATAACCGAAAACATTCAGTGAGTGCAATTTTTCTCTGGCAGTTTATTATGGTATGAAGGAAAAAACAGTTTGGTGTATTTGACATGAATGTTATTTTACAAATGAAGGAGGAAGTTTGGCTATTAAAATATGGTTACACAAAGTAGGAACATTTTTTTTGAAGAAGTGTACAGTACAATGGATTTTTTTTTTTTGATAAACAGACTCTTTAAATATACAATGAAAGAAAAAACATCCAAAGTTAAGTTATGTTGTGTTTTTATCGACATCTTTATCTCGGGGAATTGGGGCAGGAGAGGGGGAATCTGTATTTTAAAAACAGAATACAAAAAGTAATCATCATCATTTGGAGCCAAGAACAAAGCATTGGTATGCTACAAATATACATGGTTGAGGTGGGCAAATCAGAAAGACAACTGTTTTTAGATCTGGGCATCCTGGCATAGATAATTTTGTAAAATAGCCTTGGCATTTTAATGCGTTCTCAAGACCAACATTTGATGATTTCTCCAGCGGCAGCTTGGTGTAACCACAACATCCGCAGGTCTTGCTTCCTGGTAGTTCTTGACTACCAACCATTCAAAGTTACGACTCATCCTAACAGCCTGGATTCAAAGGTCTGATGATGGTGACTCCTTCTGCAGTCATAGGCTGATCTGATGCTCAGCAACACGGCCACAATTATGGCTTATTTACATGGTCGTATTTTAGGATGGTTTTCCCTGAAAACTGGCACTTACATCCGGTTTTCAGCAAAACCACACCAATAAGAAAACATTGGTTTGCTTAAAGACCGTGGTGTTTGGCTACTTTACAACCACATTTTCTTAATGACTGCCACAACAAAAGCCGCAAAGATGAGTTTTATGTCTGTCATACAATTATCACGGACAGATACAATTATGGTCCTATGTCAAGGACTGCCTGTACTCTCACGGGGGGAGCCTTGCTGATGAGCATTTGGGAAGAAAGAAGCTACCTCTCTTGGATATTATTCATGGGGTTTCTTCACACATACAAACACATTGCTCGAGGTTTCTAGGAAAGGCTGTGCAGACCCCAGAGGTTCAATGGTGTCCCTGCCTTGGGATTCCTAATATTTCAACAGGTTCTTTTTTCAAAACAAAAACAAAGAAAGGCCAAGTAATTAGAGGGGAAACTACGAAGCACTGGTGTCTTTACTTAAGAGGTAGCACAACACAGGAATTGTTAGAAAACAAAAACAAAAATGAGGCAGGTGTACAAATAAAGAGAAGGATAAACAGGGAGGGCTGGAAGAGAGCATGGAATATTCTTGTGAAATTGATTTTTCTTTTTTACAATTTCCAGGATCGGCTAGTTTGGAGCAATCAGGTTTTTGGGGAGAACGTTCCCACCATGCGTTTTTTACACAGACCAGATTGGACTCAAAGGGTTCCCAATGTGTGCCACACCCCACCCCAAATTTTGCGTCCCCTTAAAATTGTGCTGTGAGGAGATACTCACTGCGTGAAGAAACCCCCAGGTGAAAAAAACAAAAACAACATTTTTTCATTTCATGTAGGAGCTTGTCCTACGGAGCTATTCTGTGAAGCTGTTTTGGCGGCTGATCAAAAAATGGGGATTTATCCAATTTGCACTAAGGAGGAGGGAAGTAAGAATCACTGCAAATTGTTCTTTCAGTTCATTCTGTTTTCCAGGGCACCCCCTCATTCATACGTTATGTCAAAACATAAAATATTTGATGCTGTAATACACAGTATTACTGGAACTAACAATAATATTTGCATATTTAGACCAAAGTGTAATTCCTATAATATAAGAAAAAAAGTAGTCTATAAGGTATTTACAATGTCCAGCAAAGAAGTATAAATACTTCCATATTTAATGTTTAGGAAAACATAATTTACAAAATATTCAAATATGTACACGGCCGTTTGAAAAAAGAAAACTAAAACAAAACCCAGAGGACAAGTTAAGCCAAGTATACATCTTTTTTTTCTTTCGATTCGGAAAGAAAGAAGATTTAGAATATGTTTTTGTCCCTGCTTCGGTTCCGTTTCAGATCCTGCAAATTATTTACACCTCCTTCCGTTTCTCTCGAGAATCAGACATGTCCGGCACTCTGAACGTGCTGCCCCAAAATATCGTCTAGCAATGTCAAACTATTTAGCAAGTCTTCATCAGTGCCAACACTGTTCTTCATCAAAGAGTCAAGCAAGTCAACTTCGCTGCACGCTCCGGGTAGCATGGCGTTGCTCTGCTGTGGTACAAAGTCGTATTGCGGCAATAACTCCAAAGGAGCGTTCATCCGGTTGAACGTGATGGAGGACTGCCCTGCCGGGCCTGGATAACTGGGTGGCCCAACGTTGAGTTGGTTGAATCCCGAGACCCCTTGGGGCATTGATTTCAGAACATTCATGGTGGCTGGCAAAGAGCCTCTGCTTAAACTGTGTCTCAGGTTCTGATTATTTGGAGGGATTAAGCTTTGGTTCGAAGGTCCAACGTTCATTTTTTGCATCTGTCTGGCCTGCATCCCGGGGACAATCTGGTTGGGCGGAGGCCCAGCTTGGTGGGAAAAGGGCTGGCTGGGGATGCTTGACCTGATGTTCTGCTTGGAGAAGACGGGGTTGTTGGAGAACTGGTGCAAGGTGGCCTCCATCGGATTTTGAGTGGGCATCCTCGGGATGACCGTGGGCGTCCACATCGGGGCGGAGGAATTCGAATAGATGGCAGGCATTCTGGCCATGGCTGGTTGCCTCAAGTGCTGCTGGACAGAAGAATGGGTCACTAGAGTCCCAGTGGCAAAGGTGGGAGCGGCCATCACTGGCCGGGCTGCGGGATGGCTGTGGACGGTCTGACATCCCGAAGTCATGCCCAAGGAGTTCTGGCTTCCTCGGAGCGGGAGGTTGAAATCGGAATTCGGGGGGAAGATGGCCGGCTGCTTGTTGGGGTTGTGGGGGATCATCACCATCGCTCCGCTGCTCTGGTTCACGGCGGCTGGGCCAAGGCCAGAGGCCAGCGTGCCCTGCAGCATCCCTTGGGCCGGAGGCATCAGGCGGTGGGTGGAGCCAGGGCCTTGCATGGTCTGGCTGCAGTCGGTCGCCATGGACTGTGAGACTGCTGGGAAAAAACAAGAGGATCTCGAGTTAGCGAGGGAACAGACGCACGCGAGTCATGTCTTCAAACTCATCATCATCATTATTATCATTATTATTCCGCCAGATGTTCAGACTGGATTTGGCATTTTGTCTACCTATCGAGTCCTTACCCAGGACCTGGGATAGGCAGATGTGGATGTTTGATGGTATTACAGATATCGTCGCAGGATGGAAGCAGTTCCTAGTAAGGCCGCCTTTTGCAATTGACTAATAGCGAATTTGTCAATGCCGATGGTGTTCAAGTGGTGCTCCAGTTGTTTTGGGATTGCACCCAAGGAGCCTATTACTATTGGTACTACCCTTGCTTGCTTTTGCCACAGTCTTTCTATTTCTATTTGGAGGTCTTTGTATTTTGTTATGTTCTCCAGTTCTTTCTCGTCTATTCTGCTGTCTCCAGGCACTGCCACGTCCACCATCCAGACTTTTTTGTCTTTCTTATCAACAATTGTTAAGTCTGGGGTGTTGTTGTTGTTATTATTATTATTATTATTATTATCTGTGTTGTTTAGCAGGTACAGATAATCCTCAACTTACAGCAGCTGATTTAGTGACCGTTCAAAGTTACAACATCACTGGGAAAAAAAAGAAGTGACTTAGGACCATTCTCCCCAGGATCAGCATCCCCAGGATCATGCGATTTACATTCGAATGCTTGAGAACTGACTCACATTCATGACGGTCACAGAATCCTGGGGTCCTGTGACCCGCTTTTGCGATCTTCTGATAAGCAAACTACCTGTATACGGAGTGCTTCTATAAGGAAGACCAGTTCCTGGTGTGTGCTATCACACTTGGCCAATAAACCTATTCTGTTCTGTTCATTAAACCTGTGCAAGCAACTTACACAACCATTTCCTTTTTTAAAAAAATTACACGCGGTGGCTGAATATTCCTTCTTACCAGGAAACTGGTTCATCTGTTGGCCCACAAAGGGACTCCTTTGCTCAGTCGCCACGCCCATCATGCCATGCCTCTGCTTTTCCTAGGAGCAACAACGACAAAAAGCTGTGTCCACACAAGGCCCATTTCCTTTGCAATGCAAATGCATGTAAAAATAATTGCTTCCCGTTTCCAGCTATAGATTCATGCAACTTTCCCTGGAATTTTTTTTTCTTTTTTAAATATCTGCCTTTGGTCTCCTTCTATATCAGTGTTTCTCAACCTCACCCGCTTTATGATAGGTGGACTTCCACTCCCAGAATTCCCCAGCCAGCATGCTAAAAAAACCAACCTGGAGCTGTTGCTGCTGTTGCTGCTGCTGTTGTTGTTGCTGCTGCTGCTGTTGTTGCCGCCGTCTCATAATTTGCTGTTTTAGGAGTTGGTTTCTCAGGGTGTAGTCATTCACCAAGGGCGGAGCCGGGGCAGGCACTGACCCTGAGTTGGCGGGCACTCCTGGCTCCTGCATTCGAGCGCCGATGCCAGCAGGCGTCTGGTCCTGGAAGAGAAGGAAGACCAAGAATCAGGACCCTCCCCGTCAGATTGCAGCATAGCAAATTCATTCAAGCCTACACAGGGAGTCCTCGACTTAACGACCTCATCGGAGCCCAACATTTCCGTTGCTAGGTGAGACATTTGTTAAGCGAGCTTGGCCCCAGCTTACGACTTTTCTCGCCACAGGTGTTACGCGAATTGCTGCACTTGTTAAATTAGGGGCGCGGCTGAAGCTGGCTTCTCCCAATGGACTCTGCTTGTCAGACGGTTGTAAAAGGGGGCCATGTGACCCCCCCACCGCCATGGAACGCTGCGACCATCATAAATACGAGCCGGTTGCCAAGCGTCTGAATTTGGATCTGCAACGGTTGTAAATGGTCCTAAGTCACTTTTTTTCAGTGGTGGTGTAACTTCAAACGGTCACTAAACGGACTGGTGTAAGTTGAGGACTGCCTGTACACAAGAATCTGGTCAAGTCAAGTTCAACACTTTAACCAGATATGGGTCAATGGAATTCAGGATGGGCTGGACTCAGATATTTGTGGGAATTGCACTGGTGTCAGAAGCATCGAGATGCTTCTAGGTTGAAAGGATTAGCCAGTGACAGCTCCCTAACAGGGCTGCCTTTCATGTCCTTGGCAATTGCTGGAGCAAAGGTCAAGAGCTCAATCCTGCCCATGGCAGCTCTCGGGTCTCCAACGTGGGCTTGTTAACCTCCAATCCAGCGTCCTAACCAGGCGAGCCACCGTGCTCCTTGTTTATGGAAACATAGGGATTCTAGGCTAATGACATATTTCACTCCGCCTCCAGCTGTGCCTGTTCTTCTCCTACAATGCTCTGCTGAATCTAAAGAGGAAGATGACCATCAAGACTTCTAGAGACCTTGGTACGCTATCCCAGGACAGACCCAGTAGCTCTACAAGTGGTCCTTGACTTATAACTACAATTGAGAGCAGAATGCCTGCTGCTAATTACATTATATTTAATAGCGATATGCTCATTCTTTTCCTTGTCATGTTAACAATTAACAATTTGATGGCCCATGTTGGGTAGCCTTTTCAAGGTCAAGACATTTGTCGAGGCCCCTACTTAGGCAACCCTGAAAGAAATCTATCCTGGAGTTCATTGAACATTCTCTTTTCTCAGAAGAGAACTTTCTGTTTTTCTAATTGATATTCAGACTTCCTTCAAAGCCGTTTTGGAGTTTATTTTTAGAGGAAGCAAGGAGATGCAACTGCAAAGGTTGGGTTTTGATATGACTAATCCTTCCTTCATTTGGCAACCTCTTTGGTAGCTTTGATGCTCCTTGGAAATCTGATCTCATCGTAGGAAGTCCAGAAAGACAGAGAACTTCAGAAAGGATAGCAGAATAAAAAAGGAGAGATTTGTCCACAATTTTGGGCCATCCCATCCTTCAAAAGACAGGTCAGCCGGCACCACCCAGCAGAACTTGACTAACCTTTTCTTCTTCTTGAAGAAAGCAAACCAAAAGCATCTTTTCCCTCAATCTGAGGAAGAAGAAGAAAATGACTGAACACCAATGTAGTTTCAGTTCCTAACCCTCAACAACAAAAAACAGGTCCTCTCTGAACATTAAGGAGGAGTCAGGCACTAAGACAGAAAGCGAAAGAATAGGCGCTACCAACAAGTTTGTGTTTGCCCAGCTCCTGCCACATAGCAGTTTGAAATCATGCAAATGAGAGCAGATAAACAGGAACCACTTCAGTGGGAAAGTAACAGCCTTCCATGCATCTTTGGCATATACAGCCACATGACTACAGAAGCATCTCCAGACAACGCTGGCTCCCTCACCTAAGAGCTGAAGATAAGCCTTCAGCATCCCTTTACAGCTCCTTCCTTCAACAGTGACAAGTTATCCTCTCTTTAATCTGATGATCCTTCACGGAGAAAAGAGGAAGAAACACTACCTAGAGCCGCTCTACTTATTACACTTCCCAAGAACAAACAATTGTACTAAATTGCTCTCACTGGAAATTTTTGATTAAGAATTAAGACAGCAGGTGGCCTTCTTTTGAGATGCATACTTGGGTCATCGGCCAGAGACCCCAAACTGGCAAAAGCTTCTGTCCAACAAGATAATTTTATTCATTGGTCTGTTTTACAATCTACCTAGAACCCACAGGAGACAATTCTCCATGATCCCTCCAGCTTAAGAAAGAATGACTGATGCTTCTGCTCTGACACTTTCCAGAGAGTGGAAATGAGATGTATGTAACGTATGAATGCACACCAATTTATAAAACAGTCCGGCATGGGGGCCAACTGCACCATCCACCTTTTGTCCACCATCTGCTTTAAAATTCACCAGTCTCCTGTAGCCTTCTACATTATTGATGATCCCTTGTTATTACTGGCGTACATGTTGCATAGCCAGACTGTTTGAAACAGGACCACACTTCCTTTGTTTGGCACATGGAAGGCTGGATCCTTTGTTTGAGAGGTGGTGTTATCAGGAGATAAGCCACCAAGAAGCGGGGGGGGGGGAACTGCCGTTGGACATCTGATCACAAGGGCCAGACCAAAATGAGGAAAACAGGAAGTCAGCCCGGAAACTTTGGACTGTGTTTATGGAGAGCAAAGCAGGACGGGAGGCGAATAGAGACAGAGCGACATTTGCACAGTAAGAAGCATCGTTGGAGAATTCTCTCCCTCCTGGTCTTTGCTTAGTAGACGTTTTTAATCAAAGACGATCCGGGAAATTGATTCAGTTTTTGAGTTGACCCAACGCAACTGCATTGATTCACTGGAAGAAACTAAAGGGTGTGTGTGTTTGCCCATCCCACAAAAGCAGTCAAGAGTTTTGTGGCCCTGCAAAGAGTCAACACTTCACAGCTGCAAAAAAATAAAATAAAAAAATGTTATCCTGGTGACTATCTCTACACCATCTGGGCGGCCAATTCAGCTCCCTGGTCCCAAGCAAAGTTATGATTGCGCAACGGCGTGAATTCCACACGAGTTTGTGCGAAGCTGCAAGATGCTTCCTTTGTTAAGTAGATGTTGACCTGCTTTTTGTGTGAGGCGTTCATGATAGCAGCCACCAGGCCAGGTACTCCAGTCCTGCTTACAAAGCCAACAGCTGCTACCGCTGAGTCCTGGAGTCCTCCTCAGAGTCAGGCTGCAGAAGGCAACCCAGTGGGACATCCGATGGATGCCAAAAATCCCCGTGGCCTCATCGGTACTGAGATTCTTATTCTGAAATGAAATATTTCAGAAATTGGCAGCAGGTCGAAGTATTTCCATGTGGGTTGATGCCTGGACAGTGCCTGGCCGGTCCGTTTCCCTGTCTTCACGTCAATACCGAAGACATGGCTAATATATTATTTCCACGGTCACTTTGAGGAAATCTCCTCTTGACATTCAATGGGCACCTGCAATTTGAAAACCTCACACCATCCTTGTGTACCTTGAGCTCGGTAAACAGTGGCCTTCCAGTTTAACCCCTCTTCAGATCCTTCAAGAGCCCTCTCATCTGCCTTAATATTCTCTTTTTGTAGCTACGCCCACCACTTCACTCCCTCTTCTCTCCTCCTGACATCCAGTCTCCTGTGGATATTTGTCGGAGGTGGCTCAGAATAAGTATCGGCGGGCTGCACAAAGAGCCACCTGAACGACGGAGGTTTCAATCGGCTTGCCCTGTGTTTGAACGGTGTGTGCAGGCCAGTTCTTGTTTCCTGGTATCCAGGATGCTGCTTATAAGCGCTTACATGTGCTTAGAGCTCAAAGCTTTGTTAGAGATCCCACACGCCCACTTTACGGTCTCTTTCTGTTGCTCCCCTCTGGGAGGAGGTTTCAAAGTATTTATAGCAGGCCTGCCTGATTCTGCGACAGATTCTTTGCCGTCCATCTGGTATACTTGCAATATTCTATTCTATTCTATTCTATTCTATTCTATTCTATTCTATTCTATTCTATTCTATTTCCATTCCATTCCATTCCATTCCTCTACTTTCTATTCTATTCTATTCTATTCTATTCTATTCTATTCTATTCTATTCTATTCTATTCTATTCTATTCTATTCTATTCTATTCTATTTTCTACTCTACTCTACTCTACTCTACTCTATTCTACTCTATTCTTTTCTTTCTTATTTCTATTCCATTCCTATTCCTATTCTATTTGAAATCACTGCAGTTGTTAAGTGAATTACAAGATCCATAAGTGAACCACACTGACAAGAACGACCTATGGCTGTTTTTCACACTTATAACCCCTGCAGCAGTGGATCATGTCATCAAAGTTCAGATACTTGGCAATTGACTCATATTTATAACGGTCGCACTATCCTTTTGCGACTTCTGACAAGCAGTCAGCAGGAAAGCCAGATTCACTTAACAGCTGTGTTACTAACTTAACAACTGCAGTGACCCACTTAACAGCTGTGGGAAGAAAGGTCGTAAAATGGAGGAAAGCTCACTTAACAGCTGTCTCGTTCAGCAACAGAAATGTCAATTGTGGTCCTAAGCCGAGGGCTACCTGCGTGGGAAATTATAAAGGCCGAGCTCAGCAATCAAATGACTCTCATTATATCAAAGCATCCTGTCCATAACTCCTACCCCACCACTGTTGAGGAAGGGAGAAATCTGGGAGTCTTTTTTTTGTTTTCAGGAAGCCCCCCTCCCCATGTGAAAGAGTTTGGGAAGAAAATTTGATAAGGAAAACGGAACGGACTGCTAACCCCCCCCCCACTTTCCAAAAGGCTTCAGTGCAGTGAAGAACAATAATATTGCCCAATAAGGAGAACAGAGAAAGAGAATCCTGCAGAGTTTTTTACAAGATTGTGTTTTCGGAGAAGACAACAACGAAAAGTTCTTCATTTTCGCCGCTAGTGGGAACTGTAGCCTCCCCTTTCGACCAAAAAGAGAGACAAACAAGGGAAACAGCTGCGAGGGACTCCCACGTGACCAAGACAGCATCAAAGCTTTAAGGAACATGTGTGTGTGTGTGCGTGTGTGTGTCTGTGTCTGTTTTGTTATGTGCACAT